CCTTTCAGTAATTTCAGTACTTTAATACACAGTATGACTACCAATGATATGATTCATCAACGTAATATAATCCTGTTTTGTTTTTAAAAAGAAAGGAAAAATAAACTTTATGACAGGTCTTCAGGTAAAATGAACTTTGATTTGTTGTCGTGCTCTCAGGCCATGATGTTACTATTTCTGGTGTAAACAATTCAAATTATCAGCTTTTCAAACACGTGAAAAAATTCCCCAACAGACAACAGTTTTCTCATCCTCAAGTATAGACCTTAAACTTAAAAATTCCCTAACAGACAACAGTTTTCTCATCCTCAAGTATAGACCTTAAACTTAAAAATTCCCTAACAGACAACAGTTTTCTCATCCTCAAGTATAGACCTTAAACTTAAAAATTCCCTAACAGACAACAGTTTTCTCATCCTCAAGTATAGACCTTAAACTTAAAAATTCCCTAACAGACAACAGTTTTCTCATCCTCAAGTATAGACCTTAAACTTAAAAATTCCCTAACAGACAACAGTTTTCTCATCCTCAAGTATAGACCTTAAACTTAAAAATTCCCCAACAGACAACAGTTTTCTCATCCTCAAGTATAGACCTTAAACTTAAAAATTCCCCAACAGACAACAGTTTTCTCATCATCAAGTATGTACCTTAAACTTAAAAATTCCCCAACAGACAACAGTTTTCTCATCATCAAGTATGTACCTTAAACTTAAAAATTCCCCAACAGACAACAGTTTTCTCATCATCAAGTATATACCTTAAACTTAAAAATTCCCTAACAGACAACAGTTTTCTCATCATCAAGTATATACCTTAAACTTAAAAATTCCCCAACAGACAACAGTTCTCTCATCATCAAGTATGTACCTTAAACTTAAAAATTCCCCAACAGACAACAGTTTTCTCATCATCAAGTATGTACCTTAAACTTAAAAATTCCCCAACAGACAACAGTTTTCTCATCATCAAGTATAGACCTTAAACTTAAAAATTCCCTAACAGACAACAGTTTTCTCATCATCAAGTATGTACCTTAAACTTAAAAATTTCCCAACAGACAACAGTTTTCTCATCATCAAGTATATACCTTAAACTTAAAAATTCCCTAACAGACAACAGTTTTCTCATCATCAAGTATATACCTTAAACTTAACAATTTCCTAACAGACAACAGTTTTCTCATCATCAAGTATATACCTTAAACTAAAAAATTCCCCAACAGACAACAGTTTTCTCATCATCAAGTATAGACCTTAAACTTAAAAATTCCCCAACAGACAACAGTTTTCTCATCATCAAGTATGTACCTTAAACTTAAAAATTCCCCAACAGACAACAGTTTTCTCATCATCAAGTATGTACCTTAAACTTAAAAATTCCCCAACAGACAACAGTTTTCTCATCATCAAGTATATACCTTAAACTTAAAAATTCCCCAACAGACAACAGTTTTCTCATCATCAAGTATGTACCTTAAACTTAAAAATTCCCCAACAGACAACAGTTTTCTCATCATCAAGTATGTACCTTAAACTTAAAAATTCCCCAACAGACAACAGTTTTCTCATCATCAAGTATGTACCTTAAACTTAAAAATTCCCCAACAGACAACAGTTTTCTCATCATCAAGTATGTACCTTAAACTTAAAAATTCCCCAACAGACAACAGTTTTCTCATCATCAAGTATGTACCTTAAACTTAAAAATTCCCCAACAGACAACAGTTTTCTCATCATCAAGTATATACCTTAAACTTAAAAATTCCCTAACAGACAACAGTTTTCTCATCATCAAGTATATACCTTAAACTTAAAAATTCCCTAACAGACAACAGTTTTCTCATCATCAAGTATGTACCTTAAACTTAAAAATTCCCCAACAGACAACAGTTTTCTCATCATCAAGTATGTACCTTAAACTTAAAAATTCCCCAACAGACAACAGTTCTCTCATCATCAAGTATGTACCTTAAACTTAGAAATTCCCCAACAGACAACAGTTTTCTCATCATCAAGTATGTACCTTAAACTTAAAAATTCCCCAACAGACAACAGTTCTCTCATCATCAAGTATAGACCTTAAACTTAAAAATTCCCCAACAGACAACAGTTTTCTCATCATCAAGTATGAACCTTAAACTTTCATCTGGAATGACCTGTATTTGTATACCTAGCAGTTTTCATAATAGATTTAAACATTTAGTAACATGAAATATGTTTGAGTAAGAATTTCAGAATCATGACCTGTTGTTACTTTATAATTTTTGATTTGGAAACTGAAAGTTAAAGCATTTGGTAAAGTGCTTGCTTATAGTGAGCTTTATAATTATTTATGTCACTTTTTTGGAAATTTATTTTAAAAAACAAACAAAACAATAAGCGATATTTGACATATCGAGAGTTTCCAGTCTTGTGTCCTTGTGAAGATAATATGTCATACACAGCTATTGTAGTTGTTTCCTAACATAGACTATCAACAGGAGAGAGAACCCACACTGACTGCCCTCAGCTTGTACACAAAGAAAAATAGAAAATCTGTCATATTTCTGGATAGCAGTCAAGTTACATTACAGGAAATTGAGAATGGCAGATTGATGACATAGCAATGCAAACCTGTTGATCAACACAGAATGTTGAAGTGCCATTTGATCACAATTAGGTCGTCAATGTCTGGTGTTATGGATGTGCATATGTCTGCTGGCCTATAAGTAGAGGCGAAACGCCAGCACCTTTTGTTTACATGTTGTTCACCGACAAAAAATACATAACAACTAAGTGTGCAAGTTAACCATGGATAATTTTAGATAATTATTAAAAGTGTTGATTTTTAGTAAGTTATCTGACTTTACGGTGAAATATTTTGTCCAATAGATTATAAATAAAATTGTGTTAAAAATCAATGCTTTTGTTCCTTCGACAAATCAAGATGAAATCAACATGTTATGATTTATAATGTTGATCAAAAGTGAGAGAAGGTGGTAAAACACATTACAACAAAATAGCTTAATTATCAATACACTATGTACCTATTGTACGCCCACCAATGTGTAGTACAGTGCCTACCTTAATACTAACCACATGTACAGTAGCTCAGCCTTGTAGTTCCGTAGGTATGTGCCAAAACAATTCCATTGACCTTATTGGTATGTACTGAAAACATGGCTAGTATATTTATCAGTTATACCACATGTAGCATGGAATAAGGCAATAGATTTTGCTTTTGTGCCTTTCAAAGTTATTGAAATTGCAAATTAAATTTGCACGTTTTTTCAGTCGTAAACTTAAGGTCTTGATTTCTGTGACTTTGGTTAAATTTTGACATTTATGTCTGTTAAGGACAGAATGTGGTAGACATATTCAACAATGTAATTGACTTTTCTGTGATTAACATGGTATTTGTAAACCCTGACATTGCACCTTGTGCTCTAAAACCTGTCTGTAAAACTTTCTCTTAAAGTTGTGCAGCATGATCCCATATACTGGTATCATGCTCTGTATGTCCCAACTAAAATGTACTTTCACTAACATTCACACAACACTGTTGAGCCTGCTATTACACAACCTACATCTGCATCAGATTGTAACACTCAATTACACTACCACCAGGTCAGCATAGTCAATCCTTATGTAGATTTTTCATGTTCAAGTCACATGGGCCTTACAACATCCTTGCTATATAGCAAATGTAGTAGAGATCATTTTTTATTTCTTTGCCTCCGCTAGGATTCCAACGTTGGACCTCTGACTTATAATCCCCCTCCTGGAAAACATATCCTCAAGTTTCCCGGGGTTACATCAATGCTGCTTTGTAACTATCCTGAGTCCCTACATAGTGCCAATGTATCTGAGGTCACTTTTTATTTCAATACCTTTGATAAGATTTGAATCTCCAGCCAACACAAGTCTTACAGTTATAAAGACAATCAGTTTCTGTAGCATAGAAGTATATTGTAGTTGTGTTTACCAAGGAAGCACCAACATGCACTTTCTCTGACTTTGATACAATGTTACTATGATCAACAGATCTAAGGTTTACGATATTTATATTGTTGATATAGGAAAGATTTTTAAGGTTCTGTGTGTCTTATAGCCATCACACAGATCAGCTGTTAGCTTGCTAGGCTATTTATAGCCTGTACAAAAAATTTACACCACAAAATGGCCCAACAGTACACATGTACCTCTGTGGAAAGAATGTAAAATATGTTTGGAAATAAGTTAATGAAGTAGTTGATGCTATTATTTTACAAATACATGTACACCATGTCTTAAACGACAACTTTTTGTCATGCAGTTATTACTACACCACTTTTCTGTTTGGGAGAAAAATGATATCATCTGCACTGTTTGATTTATCTCTCTTCGTCCATACATTCTAAGTTTCTTATACACTAGTTACTCTGCGATAAGGTCGTAACTAACCAGATGCTAAAACATTTTCAATTATTAAATGGAAGATATCTGTGCATAGATGATCATACATATTTTAACTGATTTCTGACAAAGTTTGGAAACTGGAAGTTTGAAATTTTATTTCATTTTCAGTATACCTACCACCACAGACCCTACCACCACAGACTTCCGAGATCAAGGTTCTGACAGGATTTATCAAACGGGCGTTATATATATATAATAACAAAAAATCAATTGTAATACGAAACAACATTAGCTAGTGTAGAGTAACTTTTTAAATGAACATTAATGTTTGTTTTTAAGAATCCAGAGTTAGCAGATGGTGTATATATTGGTCATACTAATTACAGTATAACAAATTGTTAAAATTTTATGTCTTTAGCTTAAATTTTCATTCATTTTTAACTAGGACAATGAAAGATAGTGTAAACATTGGTAAAATAAGAGGATATACAGTGAACCAGTGTACTCCTGAAGTCTGAAACACCAATATAGCATGGAAATATATTTCTGAAAGTTTTATATCCAGTTGTTTTCAGGGAGTATTGATCAGTTTCACCAATACTTTTGTTTTTTTTGTTGTAGGGGAAACTGGGAAGTATTATTGTGGTATGTGGGGCCTGACCTGCAGATGTTGCAATGGACACTGTGGCCCAGACAATGGATGTAACTGTACCCCTTGTCAACTACTGGACAAGGAAGAGGAAACTCGGCAACAGGAGGAAGCTCACCGACCCAAACCCTCCTCACCCCTCATAGAGTCCTGGACATGGGGACAACAGCCAGGTAATATCACTGACCCAAACCCTCCTTACCCCTCATAGAGTTATGGACATGGGGACAACAGCCAGGTAATATCACTGACCCAAACCCTCCTTACCCCTCATAGAGTTATGGACATGGGGACAACAGCCAGGTAATATCACTGACCCAAACCCTCCTCACCCCTCATAGAGTCATGGACATGGGGACAACAGCCAGGTAATATCACTGACCCAAACCCTCCTCACCCCTCATAGAGTCATGGACATGGGGACAACAGCCAGGTAATATCACCGACCCAAACCCTCCTCACTCACCCCTCATAGAGTCATGGACATGGGGACAACAGCCAGGTAATATCACTGACCCAAACCCTACTCACCCCTCATAGAGTCATGGACATGGGGACAACAGCCAGGTAATATCACTGACCCAAACCCTCCTCACCCCTCATAGAGTCATGGACATGGGGACAACAGCCAGGTTATATCACTGACCCAAACCCTCCTCACCCCTCATAGAGTCCTCAAAATGGGGACAACAGCCTGGTAATATCACTGACCCAAACCCTCCTCACCCCTCATAGAGTCATGGACATGGGGACAACAGCCAGGTAATATCACTGACCCAAACCCTCCTCACCCCTCATAGAGTCATGGACATGGGGACAACAGCCAGGTAATATCACCGACCCAAACCCTCCTCACCCCTCATAGAGTCATGGACATGGGGACAACAGCCAGGTAATATCACTGACCCAAACCCTCCTCACCCCTCATAGAGTCATGGACATGGGGACAACAGCCAGGTAATATCACTGACCCAAACCCTCCTCACCCCTCATAGAGTCATGGACATGGGGACAACAGCCAGGTTATATCACTGACCCAAACCCTCCTCACCCCTCATAGAGTCCTCAAAATGGGGACAACAGCCTGGTAATATCACTGACCCAAACCCTCCTCACCCCTCATAGAGTCATGGACATGGGGACAACAGCCAGGTAATATCACCGACCCAAACCCTCCTCACCCCTCATAGAGTCCTGGACATGGGGACAACAGCCAGGTAATATCACTGAACAAAACCCTCCTCACCCCCATAGAGTCATGGACATGGGGACAACAGAAAGGTAATATCACTGACCTCATCTCTACTCATCCTTGACCCTTATCAAAGGTCTCAGGGGTCAAATTTGTTAAAACCTTTGAAACATCTTCAGACTAATCAAAAGGCCTAGAAGTATATGATATGTCACTGATAGGTCACTGAAATGAAGCTTGACAAAATTGCTAATTAGAAATAGCCATGATACATATACAAGGTCACAGAGGTCAAATTGTCACCACCTGTGAAAGACAGATAAGTCAAAAGTCCCAAGAAACAGGATGTTTAGTGGAAAGATAAAGCCTGACAAATTTTGAGAAAAAGGGAGTGAGATTTACCTATAATCCAGGTCATAACTGTCACTGCTTAGAGTTGAGTATTAGAAGCTGTTTGCTGTTGATATTGGTTAAAATTGATTGTCAATGGTGTACATGTTAATGTATTTGTGATAAATGCTGATTCTATTTTTTATGAACATTGAATAACAGGTGAGCGATGCAGGCTTATCGACCTTCTTACTATGTACAATGTACTCTATAGATACTTATACTTGAAGAACATTTAATTTTGCTGTATTGGCAGTCAATAAAGATAGCTTGAAACTAAATAACTTTTTTTTCAGTGAATCAAAATATCAGAAAACACATGATGCTAGGCCATTATGGGTTCATAACAGTTGAGAGATAAACATAAAGCTGAGTATCCCTGAAATAGTTGTATTCCAGACAACTGCAGAATATTAACCCCGCAAAAACAACTAAAAATTACATCGCTATACATTTACAGATACAAACCAGCTATGGGAATGCCTGGCTTCTCAGCTTTATGAGCATCAGAAGCTTTGTACAGAAGCAGCATGCAGCTCCATGTCTGTGACACGCTTACAGCAACGCCTGGCGGTTATGGAGCGATACTTCATTGCATTGAGTCGCCAGTCACCAGCCGAAGGCCGCACTCCCACCAAAAAAAGCCAGGCAAACCAGACCAACCTCAGCAAACAGAAAAGGTATAGATATAATTAACCGTGGTAATGTATATGGTTTTGGATACTTTGATCCCAAGTCATCTTTACTTAAACTAGATCAGCATAGGTGTGGGTTACAGGAATTCGAGTGATAGATGAGGACACTTGCATGATTTTGTAATTCCTATATATGTAAGGGCTTTAGCTTTCTGCTGTAATTATTGCAGAATTCTGAAATCACAGCCACATGGAAATTAATTGCGTATATGTAGAAATAATGGTCGTAACATTTGACTGAGTTGGGCTTATAACATTGTGATATTGGAATGGAAGTTTTTATCAACCTTCTTTTCCTGAACAGTTAATCACATCTGAGAGACTTTTGACCAAGAAATCATAGATTACTATATACGGATTACTGGCATACTTGTAAAGGATTTGCAGTGATCACTCAAATATCACCTTTCTCCAAATATTAAACTTTTTTCAGAAGGAATATTAGCAAAAACTGTAAAAATAAGATTTAATTGATTGATTCATCACCTTCTTCCTTCTTACCCAACAAACCCTGCTGTGTTTGTAATCAAATGGCAAACATAAGTTGTCCTGATTCCATTTATTGAAACAAACTAAAAAAACTGTTTTCTAGTAAATATTTTGAGACGTATGTAATGATAGCTGCTCTTGGTTTAGTTTACGGTAAATTGATTTAAAAAAAAAAAAATCATTCTGTATACTTTATTTACTATACATATGTAGTAAATTTTCTATAATTCAGATTCATATTTACCATTTAAGTTCTCTTCCACAACATTAAACTAGAACAGAAATTTGTTTTATCAAATGGCAAAATATTTAAGAATGATTAGGTATGTGTGAGTATTTTTAGTTTTTTCAGTGAGATCCTTCCTTTACCTTTTCTTCCTTTCTTCCCCAGTTCTGTGAAGCCTGCAGAGAAAGCTACGTTGGGTCTGGCTCGTGTTGGGTCACGCGCTGCACTCAGTTTTGCTTTTGCATTTCTGCGGCGTGCATGGCGGTCAGGAGAGGATGCTGATTTGTGTAGTGAACTGCTACAGGAGTCGTTGGAAGCTCTTCAGTCCCTCCCAGAGGCCACGTTATTTGATGAAGGTTCAGTTTCATCTGTGTGGCTTGAGGTCGTAGAAAGGGCATCTAAGTTCCTACACTCTGTAGTGGCTGGGTAAGGTCCTACAGCAATCTTACTATTGTTAATCTTCTGCCTGGTACCATAAATATTTTCCAAAATTTAAATATCAGTAAGTGCCCTGAAAGGGTTTGGCCATGACTTTTTTAAATCCTGTAACATCATGATTAGGGATTTCAACAAATATTTGATTATTTGTTCTGTATGGCAATATTCAAATTAGAAAATGATGTTTAAATATTTGTTTTCATCATTGTAAGAATTGGACATTTAGATAAGAGCAAGTACAGATCAAACAATAGTTGGTTCCAAGATTCCTCTGGGATCTCTTGTTGAGTATGATTTGTTTTGTTTCCTTTGGAAGTATTTCAAACTTAGAATTTTGAGGTAAGTATGATGGGATGATAGTATGCACATATTGATCCTGGCTAAACCCAGGGGCTGATGGGTGAGGCCGAAACGGGTCAAACTGACTCAACTTTCAAATGAAATAATCCTCAGTGATGGGAAGCATCTTGAAGTACTTTACTAAAATTGTGAATTTCACTGCCCCAGGGTCTTTATGTCTTTAAGTAAGAGGGTGGGTCGGGGTTTGGAGACCAGCTTTAGTGGTCGTCTGTTATAAAAAAAAAGTTGGTTTCCAAAACACTTTAGATCAAGTTTAAAGGTACAGTTAAACCTGCTGTAAAGACAACTTGCATATAAACAGGAACCTGTCTATGTAGACCAATATAGTACAATTCATGTGAATTGGACTCAGGTTTACTGTAAATACATCATTGAATGAGAGAGGTTTAAAAACCTTAATGAGATAAGTTAGAATGAACCTAAGACATGTTTACATGATTCATCTTAATCTTTATGAAATACTGTGCTAGTGATAATTTCACGACATAGATTATTGGAATGCTTCATTTTGTATCCTGTTAACCCAAATTCCTTCCTTCATCAAATTGTTCATTGATCAGTACAACTGTTTGTCAGTAAACCTCAATACTATGTAATGATCACAAAGTAGACTAAAAGGATATATTCTCTTATAACTATCCTAAATTACTATATATAAAATATTTCTTAATCAAGAGGATTGATAAACTGATTTTTGTTACATTTGTCTTTCACAGTGACTTAAGTGGACCAACAAGCTCTAAAACACCAAGTAAAATTCCAGTTCAGGACCAACAAAGTGCATTATCTCTCTTGTTGGAACTCTCCATTCAAAGAGGCTCGTTAAGTCACATCCTTAGCTCGGTACTTCTCCTTCTGAATCTGTGGAACAACAGTCGACATGAGTTTGATAATCGTGTCAGCAGCAGCCTCCACAGTGCCCCACTTATTCCTTTCCTGAAGCGTTTCCAGAACATCCAAATGGTCAAGTCCCATCATTACGATGTCTCAAAATGGGAGGAGGTGGGTAAATTACGTGGATTCTTAAAATGTTTTAGATATTTGGCCTGTAGCATGTTTTTCAACAAGCAATATGTCCAGAGTAATGGCATTTGTACAGTGCATATATAAAGAATATGATCTCAATGGTTGCAGAAAATGTCTTGATGAACCAACCAATGTCTTCTGTTTAAGCTGTAGAGTAGTTGAGCAATTTATTTTAGACCTATTTGGCCTCTTTCATATATAGATGTTTATAGTCAGATAACCCTTCAGGCGTGTGGGCCTCTTGTTTGTATTACAGTCAGAAGTGTATACTATTTCCATGTGTAATTTGTATTACTGTCAGAAGTGTTAACTGTTGTTTAAACACCTATGTTTTGTATTACAGTCCGAGGTATATGCTGTAAGTCCTACAGACTGTTTCTTACATTACCTGTCCTATCCTGACAATACAGACACACCGGTGGACCTTAAACAGTCTGCTGTTGTCATCATGTCGCAGCTGGATCGATTCTGTAGCCCTTACCTACCGCCATCACATTCACAAAAAGTAGGTAGCGTCTGCAATCTCACTTAAATTGACCAAACTTTCAGGGGAGTTTTTGAATTATGTATCATATTAAACATATTTGTATTTTTAAATTAGACTTTTAATGCTCTGTAGGAAAAGTGAACTTGATGAAGTGTATTGTTACACTTGGTTAAATGTTCACAGTAAAGGCCAATATCTCCTAACCACTCAGTGCAGTGTTCACTGTAAATGTGGTATTTCTGATAACTTTACTTGGTACAATGTTAGCAGTAAAGTTTGATAATTCCTATAACAAGACTCAGTGCAGTGTTAACAGTAATGGGTGATATTTCTGATAACAAGACTCAGTGCAGTGTTAACAGTAATGGATGATATTTCTGATGATGTCAAGTAATGATGAAATGGAGTCCCAGTCCACTAAAGGTGCGGTCACGGTGGGGAGAAAAATGTACATAGGGACAGTACATGGTCTCCATGTTAGTGGCTGGAGTGTGTAGTCACACTAGAGAGTCGCCACAGAGGAGTGTGGGGTGGGCCAATTTTTTTATTCGCTCCATTCAAGGGTCCTACACTGGCTAACATGGTGGTAATTCTAAGAGGATGATTTGTAATGCATGTCATCTTTTATCTGAATGATTACATTACCAGAATATGTGTAGATATTTCAGAATACACAACTTTTTACACCATGTGAAGTTTCTATAGTGATGGACTTGACACACTGGTTAGATAGTGTGATAGAAATGCACTGGCCTTTCACATAGCAACTGGGATTCACTTCCATGGTTACATGGAAAGTCCATAAATCAACAGCCAAGCTGTGTGTTCTGCCAAGGTAACCCAAACCCTTCCATCCAAGCCAAAGAGAGATAAATATAACTTGATGTAATTTGTTGTGCTAGATCACTTTTAAGTGTTTGTACATTTCTCTGTTTTTACAGTCACACAGAAACAACCTCACACAAGAAGTTTATAGCTGGGGCTGGCAGGCATGGGCAACAGGGACGAGCAAGCAGGGGCCGCATCTCCTCGAGTTCTTCATGGATGTTGGAGGCATCATGCAAATCACTTGTGCTGAAAGATGTATACTAGTGCTGGCCAAAAATGGGAAATTATATACAATGTATTACAGTACAGAGTCACCGGTATGTCCTAGTGTTGAAACATATACCTCAACAGTTGCAGTATTTAACAATACTTAAGACATTATTGATGGGTTTGAAATGTGTATAGTTCCTTCTTTAAGTGATGTTTTTATTTGTCTTTAAACATTTCTTTGGTACATGTTATTTACAAGTGATTTACGCTGGTTACAAAAAACAATATTCACTCAACACACCTCATTTCAATAATGCTTGTTCCAAAACACAGGGGCTGCAGTTGGTGACTGGTTTTGGTGACAGAGAAGTAGTTAAGATTTCATCTCATCCTGATGGTAAACATTTTCTAGCCCTTTCAAGTGACGGTGAAGTATTCTCCTGGGGGAACGGAGATGGAGGTCGACTTGGACATGGGGACAACATGTATGTATTGTGTAAACATTGGTATCTCATATATACTTCTTACAGATGGCATTTCACGTTTACCCGCTGGACTTGAGATACAGGAACTTTCACATATTTTCTCTACACATCTGTGTCATTTACTTATTTACACTTCATTCAGAATTGGATATTAAAGGTCTGAAATATTTTTCTTCTTAATAATAATACTAGGTAGAATGAACAAATTAAGGCAAGAGATGAATTTTCTGTAAAGCTAATAGCTTGAGAATGCTTCGTACAGCTATCAAAACTTACATAGGAAAAGTGGAAATATAGTGTTTAGATTGTGATGTGTCCTACTGTCACCATGACAGTTGTGGTGCTAGCAATGATTTACCTTTATACTGTGTCTACCACTCATACACCTTTATGCCACAAAATGCCATCATGATGTAATTATTTGAGCAGAAATATTTCCCAATAATCAGAAACTGGTTTTGAGAAGGACATCTCATGTGATATTTTGCTGCTTTTGTGTTCAGATCTCGAGAGGAGCCGACATTGATCTCGGCTCTGTCAGGTAAACAAATCGTACAGATATCTTGTGGTAGCACATACAGTGCTGCCCGCACTGTCAACGGAGAGCTGTACACATGGGGTCGGGGTAACTACGGTCGATTAGGACATGGCAGCACAGATGACCAATGTCTTCCAGGACTTATCAAGACACTCAAGGGCCACCGTATTCTAGACATGGCTTGTGGCAGTGGGGATGCCCAGACCATCGCCGTCAGTGACACAGGTATATATATTGGATATATCATAGCCTCCTGGTCAAAGGACACAGGAAAAGTTAATAAGAATTCTGTTACTGAACATAAACCCTTTGATGAAATTATGCAGTTTATCATAAAGATATTTATTCCAATTTTTCCTTTCCTTTTTGTGAAGAATTATTATTAGAAAAAATGGAGAAGAAATTGTACCATTGAATGTTTTAGGAGCGGTATATTCCTGGGGCGATGGAGATTATGGAAAACTTGGACGTGGAGGTAACGATGGATGTAAAACACCCAAAGTCATAGAGAGGCTTATTGGACAGGATGTGCATCGTGTGTTCTGTGGAGCACAGTTCAGTCTTGCTCTCACTCGCTCTGGTGGAGTTTTCGCATGGTAAGATAAAATGAAACTATGTGAAGCAGACCTAAAACATGGAAATATCAAAATTTTCATATTGCATTAAAATCAGACTTGTTTAACAAGGTATTTGTGTTGGCTTGATTTAAATAATGTCAAGGATTTTATTTATGATTAGTCCCAGGAATGTGAAATGTTTGTAATAAACTGAATATTATCACAGCTATCATTTTAAAATTCTATGTTTATGACAGAATCTACTTATAATGCAGGGTTTAAAGACTTACAGAACTGTCCTTGATTCTTTTAGTAGTGGACAACCAGATTTTATGGTGGTTTGATAAAGAATGTCCAACTGTGTCACAACTGTCTTTTTAGAATCTTGAAACTTGTGTTTCAGGGGGAAAGGAGATAACCACAGACTGGGCCATGGGTCAGAGGATCATGTGCGTCATCCCAAACAGATTGAAGCGCTAGCTGGTAAAAAGGTGGTAGACATAGCCATTGGGTCTATGCACAGTGTAGCACTTACAGAAGATGGAGAAGTATATGGTTGGGGGCGCAATGAACATGGACAGATTGGAGATCCCTCGAACAACACAATTCCAGAACCCACTCTCCTCACTGGTGTAGATGGCAGAAACATCATTGGTGCTTCATGTGGCCCCTCCCAGGTACACAGAGCTGCTTTTGATCTTAATTAAGAAGTTAAGACTTGACAAGACTCTCTTAAGTAACAGTTTGTATTTTTTATGCTCCCTGAAAGAGAGCATATAGATTTGTCCGTCTGTCCATCCATCATAATATTGTCTGGAGCATAACACAAAAACTATAAGAGGTATCAACATGAAACTGCATAGGTAGATAGATCTCAACAAGGAGAAGGGCAATACTGAAAACCATCACTCTCTTTTGCATATTTTAGGAGTAAATGCCCTGTGTTATTTTTCATACTTAAATTTGAAATTAGCTGTCGCTTTGCTATGGATTATGTTGCAAGTTAACCCAAAATTCCTGGTAAATTTTGTACGGGAACATAACCCATCTCAGATGGCTCTTGTTATTGTGATACTCATCCCTCTATTTCCCTCAAATCATTATTGATAGAAGCTGAAATTGGTCATCATGTGTGTGTATCTGTATGTTAGATCCTGTTAAAGAAATACATATTGATAACACATTGAAAAAAGTCCCTTATACAGTCTTTCATTGATGATGATAAACTGTGTTATGTTTTAACAGACATTTTCTTGGTCATCTGGCGGTCAATGGACAGTAGGAAACAGAGTGCCCTTTATTGTGGATGTATGTAAAGGCACATTTGACCAACTGGAAGAACTGCTGTCTGAAGTATGTGAAGAAATGGACGGGCGGTCAGACTGGCCACCACCTCAGGACAAGGAATGCATCGCAGTGGCTTCACTCAACCTGCTTAATCTCCAGGTAATCTTTCTTCATTATCTACATGAAACACACAATGGACTTTTAACATCTGAGAAAAATGGCAGGATTTCAGTTTTTTCCAGATATAGAATCTGTTCCCAGAAGGCTTGAAAGTTGATATAAAACAGTTCCTGAAAAAAGATCAGTGTTGAATCATATAACAAAGCCTAATTGCATGTAATTTATTGCCATGAAATGATCCTGTTGAAATCATTGTTGAAATTTGAGACTGATAGTAATCAGTATTTCCATCCATTTTGTAATATGAAATGTTTACATTCTAAACCATCAGAAATCCATGTGAACTATCTGTGGAATTTTATTTTAGCTTCATGCTGCAATATCACAGTCAGAAAATATGGAGACTCTTGGCTTAGGATCTGGGAGCCCCCTGGTGACAAGTTTGAAACAGAGAGTTGTATCCCTTGCCAGTAATGTTGGTGTGCTCAACACAGTACAGATAGCTGCCCAGAATGCTCTCCAGAGTGGCTGGTCAATCCTTCTGCCCACAGCAGAGGAGAGAGCACGGGCTCTGTCATCCCTCCTCTCTAATGGTGGTAGGTAGCTTTAGGCCAACACTCTCTATAGAGTGACTCTCCGCTAATTCAAGGTCTTAACTTGCATTGGGGAAGGTCTTGGGAGCTTTCTAAAATTTATCTTTTTTTTTTTTAACTTCAATTTAGAAGTTTTTTTAACTTGCATTGTTAGCTGTAAGCATGTCTTGTGGCTGGAATTTGAGTTCTTGATCTTTGTGTGTTGAAAAAGGGTCATTATCAGGTATCCTTAATAACAAGGAATTATGGCCATTTTCTACTTTTGTCTGTTCACATAAGCAGTTTTCTGTTACAGCTGCTGGACATGATGTGGCTGTGATGAGTCCAGGGCAAAGGTTTATGACTGACCTCCTGGTCAGTTCTTTGATGGCTGATGGCGGACTCCAGTCTGCTCTCGATGCTGCAGTCAAAAAAGAAATGGTGGAAATAGAGGAGAAAAAAGTACATTTACTTGAAAATGTCAGATGTTTAAGCATGAGGCATTGCAAAAATATTTGCTTCTGTGATATTTCAAAAAATGATACTTTTTTTTGCCACAAATCCTGATACAGTTCCTATTCTGTTAAGGGAGGGCAGCATACAAATCATTCTGATGGTCATGGCATAGGCTTTTAGATGAAATAGCATTGATTTTTGATTCTTGGCAATGTATATGGATAGGCTAATTACCAGATGTTGACATATTGTTGGACAATGTGTAATGATACTGGAGTCAATAACTAAAATTTAGCTTGTAAAATTCTATAGAAAAAGAAGCAAATTAAAAATCTTTATCAGAACATATTGCGAGTATATATCCTGAAAAACATGCTCTACCTGATGGGATCTCAACAGCTTAATTTTAATGATGTGCTAAATGATGTATTCACTAGGAAAAGGAGAGAGAAAATGGAGATGCTGACTCTGACAAATCAGAAGAAACAAAAACAGAAGACATACAGACAGAAAGAGACACAGATGAATATGGAACCACTATCCCTCTGTTACAACTAATACAACAGTTGCTAAGGTAAACATTCTCTGTTACTGGTGACACAACATCTTACACAGTGTGTAAACATCACCAAATGACAGGTGCTACATCAGCCACTAAAAAGGTAAAACAGTCACCTAGTGACAGGAGATACAGCAACCAAGGTAAAAAAAATCACAATGTTAAAGGTGAAATATTTAACAAATCTAATGCCTTAATTTCAAGCGACAGCTGAGGTAAAGAAAATTACATCTAAAACTAATTTTTTGGAGATGGAACATATCTACAGAGAACAATATTGTGTAATGTGATATTTCACAACAATGGTCTTAACTTAGAAATATTAATCAGTTTAGCATGATGTATTTGTGATACATGATACATATATTTACAACTTAACGATTTTGAAGTAAACAATCATTTTTATCCATTCTAATAATTGATCATCCTACTAATATACTGCGCTCAAAATTTTAAAAACCAAAATCATTATTTTTGATAACTTTACCATTTTATGATATTGTTTGTTGAAAAATGTGTGTGTGCCTAAAACCTGACATGTCATGTGCCATTGTTGTGTTGAAAGACTGAGGAGATCTGGGGTATCTTACTTCATTGACTTTGTAATTTTGACACAGAAACTCGTCAACCCACTCACTATCTCAGTTACACAACCTGGACCGTGACAGTGGACTCAAGGTGGATGAATCCGACTCAAAAGAGGCATCACCTTCCCTAGACCTACTTCTTCAGGTTCAGCGCCTTCTTGTAGCTCGAATATTCCCCCGGGATATGGACAAACAGTCTTTCTCGATGGAGATTGGTACGGATATACATATGACTCATATTATATGTAAAGTTTCGTTTTGAGTTCATAAAAATATATTTATCATAGACTGTAATGTCTTACTCCAAATTTATCAAGTTGGGAGCTGTCTTGTTATCTATATTTCTGCTAAAGTGACGAGATTCAGACAGAGTTGTATCAGACATGGAGTTTATTGATAGTGATACAAAGTGTAGGCTTAGCTAACAAGCTTATTATTTGTGCTGTCACATGTTGTTATGGTTACAGAACTGGAAGCCCAGGGTACAGGACAGCTCCTTCGGAAGTATGTCCTATTGCTGTGCAGTCATGTATCAGATGTTTTACAAGTTGCGGTCAGTCTGTCCCATACCAGTCCCAAACACTTCTCCATTGTTTCCAAGGTCATACGCAAAGATGTCACAGGTATGTGAATCAACAAAGCCAGTTTTGACTAAACCCAGATACAATAAATGACATGATCAATCTCTACATAGAACGTAATAACATACAATAATTTCAGGAAAAGTTTACATTTTCCATTATAATTTCATTGTTAAAATTTTTTATTAAAGGTATTTTGTTGCCGGAAATGGTGACCTGCATGATCCTGCTACATCTAAAGAACCCATTAGTGATCTACCAATCACGATGTATCACGGTCCTCGAAGGCCTATTGGACCTGCTGAATCAGTACAACAAAGTGGCACCGGGTCTGGACCGTGACGACAAGGAAGATCTGGCCTGGCCCGGAGTGTGGAGTCAGTGTTTCTCTATATCAATGGGATGATTTTCTGTTTTCAAGGAAGACGAGAATTATAGGTCTTACAAGTCACAAATCAATAAGCTTTCTTAAGTTTTCAGGCATTACTAGAAAACTAGAATTATAGGTCTTTCGAGTCACAAATGAAAAGCTTCTCTCTTTACAACAATACTTGAACACTAGACACTAGGTTTATTCCAATAACATAAACTATATATGGTGTAACCATTCATTCATGGCACCATGAATGTAGTACAATTTCATCTTTGTGACAATTTTGTTATATGAAGCTTGAATCTTCTAATTAAAGATTATTATGAACGACAGGTTACACTCTGGAGAGGTACCTACAGAAGCCAACAGAAGATGTACAGTTGATCCGTAAACCTGATCTAGAGAACCACAACAAAGATGGTGGCCTGTGGATTGTCATCCATGGCAAGGTGTATGATGTTCATGACTTCAAGTCACAGGCCCCATGTGGCAGTGAAATACTTAGAGAGTATGCAGGTCTGTTCACCATAGCTGTTTTTTAGGGGAACATTTAGGTTTTATGAAATTTTTATTTCAATAAATCTTAGATTATTGATTTATGCAAATAGGTCAAAGGTCAAAAAGTGAAAGATTGACATTTGAATTGTTTTTTTATGACACTGGCAAATTAATTTGTGTAGATTGATAGATATTACTAGGTATTAGATATGTTACAGTTGTAGTGCAGACATTTTTGCTTTAAGAACAGATTTGATTAATATTGGTCAGGTCGAGATGCGACGTCAGCATTTGAGGCAGTTCATCATCCAGAGGATGCTCGGGAGATGATGCAGGGATTTTGTGTGGGACAGTATGTGGATGTGAGTAATTCTGTATATAATGATTTTAGCAATGTTAGTTCAGTAATCTAATATGTAGTCCTGAATGACTTGTCCTTTGACCTACAAATGCTATAGTGATTACAGGCAAGTAGGTCTTTTCCTGAGGATCAATCATTTAAAGAGATCACAGGTGAAACATTTCTCACATTATACACATCTACATTAATATACCTGTCAACAGAACAGGTTATCAAACCTGAAAACATTGTAAGGCCATTCCTCAATATTCCTTGCAAATCCTGACATATTCCAATCATTCTTATTCCTATATCATACATCATTTCTCTCCCTTACTGCAAAGTTTCTGGTAATTTTAGGACAGTTTTCAAAATGACCAGCAGTTTGCCTTGTTGCAGACTTGGTGTTACATTGTTGCAGTTTTGTTGTAGAACATGCTAAGCTTCCATCTGAAGCAGAAAATGTAGATTTATAACATGTGATAAAGCAGTATTCATACTTTCCTCACTTATGACTGCTGCGAGTCATCTCATACCAGGTTATGTGATAGATTTTGACATAAAAAAAATGGTGTATGTACTTAACATTTACAGCCAGAAAAGGACATAGTGCAGACAGCTGATACCAGCTCTGCCTCCTCTCCACTGATGGACATTGAGCGGGCTCTGGGCATACTTCTGGGCCTGCATGCTGCATACATGGCCTGTAGCACACCTCTGTCCCAGGAAGAACAAGAATACAATCACTGGCTTCAGTCCCAATTCTTCACAGGGGGCCTCCAGGTCCTCCAACCAAAGAACCGCTTTGAGGAAGAAAAGGGGGAGAGCAGAACTCCCTCCTGTAACACCACGCCAGGTGATACCACTTCTAAAAGTAAAAGCACATTAATAATTTCTTCATGTTTCATTGATAAGATTTAATGCTGTTAGATAGATTGTATCTAGATCTGTTTCATTTCAAAATTACTGTTTTGTACACTTATGATTTTTTTTCTGATATGTTCCTTGATTGACTTTAAACTTTAAATGTTTCCAACACATTTTATGAAAAAAGAAATGCTTGTCACCATGCAATGTAAATTTTTAAAATATAATCTTTATTATTCAAATCGCCCTACATCTGTGTTCCGTCTGTTTATCCGTCCATCCGTTGTCTGTCTGTCTGTAAAAAAATTTTCTTGAGAACAACAGGTGGCCATCTTGGATTTTGCCTAGTAAAGTTTGTTATCACTATTTCTTAAAAGTCACTGTTTTTTGTAAAGATGTCTATTTTGACAAAGATTGATATATTCCAACAAGAAAGTTTGGATAGCATTAAATCTTCTTCTAAAGGGTTACCTGTATCAACGCCTTGTAGATACATTGTACATACAAAAATATTTGAAAAATCTGTGAGTATTAAATATTTGAAACTAATTGCAAAACTGAGAATGTCAGCACATGACTTGGATAACAAAAGGGGGAGATACAGAAATATTGATAGAAATACTATGTGTATAATGTGATAATTGACATGTTGAAGACAAGTACCATTTGTGTTTGGCAGTTTTAGCACTGACCATGTCTGAATGTGGCAGTTTTAATACTGACCATGTCCGTATGTGTCTATTTATCCATTAGACCATTCCTTATAAACTGAATATGTTGGCTAGCTTGTGATTGAACTGTATATATCTTCAAACTGTTATATTATCTACAATGTGTCAGAGTTTCAATGTCTAGGCCTATTTTGCTAACATTATTAAAGTGTATTCAGGGTAAAATTTCTTGTTTTTAGTATTACCATTCCAGAGTATTATCAATGTAACTCCATTATCATCTTGTAACCCAGTCTGAATCTTTACAATCATACAATGGTGTCCTAATTTTCAGCTTGCTTACTGTTTATTGCACAGAGCAGTTTATCCACGAAATCAGGATATATTCCTTTCTAAATGACAAGTATGACATTTTATGTATGTATGCAGGTACGCCACCGACTTCAGAACCACAACACTTTCCTGATCAGGACAAAGAGAAACTGTTTGACCGCCAGGCCTCCCAGGCAGATGTGTCACGGCCTTTTCTCCAATCCGTCGCTGAAGGTCGTATGCAGGACCACTTTACAAAATCCTTCCTTGGTATCATGGAAAAGTATTTCAAACAGCATATGCTGCACATAGACTTTCATCAAGATCACCCTGTTGAGGAAGTGGGCAGGTAGGATCACAATAATGGCACTTGACAACTTGTGCATTGTGCATTCGTAAACAGTTTAACAATTTTGACTTCTCAAAAATCCCTGAACCTATTTCAATGAAATTTTGTACAAACCTAGACTAAGATGGACCAAAATAGTGAATTATATGTTGCCACCCCATAGGGGCCTGAGGGATGCGGCCAAAAGCAGTCAAATTGGCTCAAATTTCAAAAATTTTCTTCTCAACATCCAGATATGGTAGAATCAAATGCTCTTCACGGATTGAAGCATCTTAACGTGCTTTACCAAAATTGTGGATTTCATGGCCCAGTGTGTGGCACTTCCTTGTGGGGAGGACGTTTCCAGGACTTTATATAGGAAAAATAGATTTTTGAGCATAATTTGTTTAATTTCCATAAAAAAACATTTTAAACTTGGCTAGAACTATGAGCGAATGATAATGGCTTGGTGGCATGCACATATTGATCCTGACTGACCCCAGGGGCTGATTGGCGGGGCCAAAATGGGTCAAATTGACTCAGATTTCAAAACTCCTCTTCTCAACACCCAGATATTCAAATGTTCTTCATGGATGGTAGGTTGTAAGGTACTTTACCAAAATGGGTCTCACATTTCTTCCTGGGGAGGGGGTTAACTTTACTATTTTTGTAGAAAAACAACATTTTGAATGTTTATTTCCCACTAGAATTATTAGTATAGGATGACAAGTTTTGATGGTATGCATGTATTGGCACTGTCTTACTTTTATGTTGCAATTTCATTTTCATGGTATTTGAAAGCTATTTAACCTTCACATTCAATATTGGTTACTGTCATGGTCGCTAGGCCTCTTGTCAATTTGATATTTTTCTATATTTCACTGTAATAAAATACGGTTTGAATTGAGCTGGACAAGTGTTATGACTGCCTGTCTGTACACCCAGCTGGTGATGCTATGTTTCAGACTTCTGATTGCACTGTTACTGCGACATCATGACCTTGGACATGTAGCCCTTTCTCTTGTTGAGCACGGCCAAACAGAGCAGAGCAAAGACCCTCTCCCAAGGTCTATTGTGGAACTATTTAAAGTTGTTTCTCAGGCAAAGCGTCACCTCATCAAGGTAATAGCTCATCTCAAATGTGTTTTCAAATATGTTTATGTATGGCAAATGTAAATTTATTGTGGAGATTTCCGGAATGATTTTCAAATTTGACAAAAAAAAAAAAAAAAATAAGGAAATAGTGTTAAGTTAGCTGGTGAGATAACAGAACATTTTGTCTGAATATTTCAATTATTCATGATTCACATCATATTAGATCCCAATGTATTCATTTGTAAGGAGCCAATAGTAAGATATTTCTGTTTCTTAAAGGTCCATCAAGACCAAGCACGGTCTTATAAGGAAGTTTGTGCACCTGTCCTAGAACGATGTCACTTCCTGTTCAATGAACTTCGTCCTGCAGTAGGGAACGAAGTGAATGCTATCACACGTTCCCAGCTTTTGAAGAGTGTGCCTCGATGGAAGGAGGTGGTCAACAGAGTCATGACTGAGAAAAAGAAAACCAAAGGTAAATACCACTCATCTGTCTGTCGTGCTCATCTGATCTGAAGTCCCTGTAATATTGTGAGAGGACAACATTTCTTTGTCTCTTATTTCATATAGTTGCTGATTAATTGACAAAAACTAAATTATGTGTAAAATATTGACAATGATGGGGAGCTTCAACAATAAGTTGTATAACATGTCATTGTTAATGCTAAGTTTGGCATTATTTTAACATAGTTTGTCAGAAATAATGGTGATGAAAAAAGTAAAAAAGTCTTGTTTTTCTTAAGTCTGAGGAGATTTGATATAGTTGTGATATTAAAGGTGATTTTAAAAACTCAAGAACTTCTTTCATAATTCTTGATTTTTTTTAAAAAAAATGTATGATTTATTTTTTAAAACAGTCTAATCATGTTTATGTTGTCATATGTCAAAATTGTTGTTATGGTAAAATTCAATGAAATCACAACATACTAAACTAAGTATTTTCACTTAATTGAAAGTATGAAAATAAAAGAGGCCCTTAACTCTCTGATTATATATGGAACTCGTCTCCCAAATGTACATATAAAGGTAACATGCTTACAGTTACAACATTATTTTTTTATCTATCAGATCATAAAAAACAAGAACAGAAAATTTCATATGAAACAAATCAAAATCACATTTGTACACAATTTTTTTCCCAGGTCTGTCTGATGTTGTTGAGGAAACAGAGTCAGAGATAAAAGAGGCTAGTATTATGACAATGTCACTCTCCCAAACAGATGACATCACTGGGGCCACCGGAGGGGAGAACCCTACACAAACTAACGACCCTTCACAACTGGAGGAGAATACTGATGGTGGAGAGGTTAAAGTTTTCGCTAAGGGGACAGCCCCTCCGATTGTTACGGAAACTACTGCGTCAGATGTCACAGACAAAAAGGTTTTGTATTACAATTGTGTTTATGTTAATTGGCAAAAGATACACAGGCTCTTTCAGAAAGTCTCATATGAAATGAAAACAAATTTAGGATGACAAAATTGAGAGTAGGCAGTTGTTTTGTTGTGTTACTTTAATTTCATGGCATAATATCATTGGTTATCCTTTTGATATCATAATCAGTTTCTGAGTGGCACATCCAATGAACAATGCTCAATGGAATATTGCCATGGTGACATTATGCACAAAAATATTACAAGGGCAATTTCACTTGAAAACAGATTGATTATGTGATAAAATGCAATATTAAAAAAAATGATGTGATGAGGACATAAGTTTTACAATTGGTTACTATTGTGCTGCTATTGTCATACTTCCACCTGGTTGGTTCAACAATAGTAAGTTTACCCCAGAAATCAAATTTACTGTAATTTGCAACATTTTTTTCTCGGTACCCAAACATGGAATTGAATTTTTGTGTGTGATTTCTCTTACTTCAAATATGATAAGAATCCTTAGCATGGAATGGCAGTTACTGTTATACACAGATTACATTTGCATTACAATGTAGTTATAGTTATATTACTTTGTTTAAAACAAGATTATATCTGTGATATGTGCATCGTAACTCAGGGTACCATTCAGGCCTTTGGGCCTCTTGTTTGGTATAGGTTTCTGTGAAGGTCCCTTCAGTGGTCTACATCTCAGTCCAGTACTGTGCTATTATCCTGATAAGATGTTGGGGGTACTAACAATGACAAAATGAAGAAAATCTTCAAATCATTCATTTCATTTGATAACAGAATTGATTTGTTTCATTGTAACTCATTTCTTTTTAATTTTTGTATCAGTCTTATTTTCAAATGTAGTTTTGAGGTAAGATTTTGCAATTTGCATTTGTCAGGTATTGTGTGTCATATGTTCATAAACTTGGGCTTCTCATAAACCCCTGAACTGATTTCAATGAAATTTTGCAGTAAGCTTCCCTGGCCTAAGATGAACCAAAATAGTGAATTATACAGTCTTCATCATACAGTGACCTGAAGGGGTGGGGCCAAAAAGGGTCAAATTGACTCAGATTTCAAAACTCTTCTTCTCAACACCCAGATATGTTAGAATGAAACTCTTTGTGATTGGAAGGTGTATTTGCTGAAATTGTGAATTTTACGACCCCAGGGTCTCACATTTCTTCCTTGGGAGGAGGTAAACTTATAATTTTTATAGAAAAAATGAATTGTTAGGTCACCTGAGAACAAGTTTCAAGTGATCTATTTGTCCTGTGTCATCCGTAGTAAACAATTTACATATTTGACTTCTCCATAATCAAAAAGAGCAGGGTGCTGATATTGGGCCTTTGTTATGCTGCGATGAATGGCTACTTACTTTTTTTCTTGTGACTGACCTTGTCCCATTTTTAAGGTCACGTGGGTCAAATATGTTAAAATCTTCAAATGACTTCTTCTCAATGACGGAAAGGTCCAGACTGTTGATATTGGTTCTTTTAACATAATTGGATAATGGGTTACAAAGTATTCAAATGGCTTACTAACAAGGTCTCTGTGGGGTCAATTGAGTTGTGATCTTAAAATTTCTTCTTTCAACAAGCAATAGGTCTGGTGTCATGATCTTAGTGTTGTAGCATGGAATATGATTTCAAGTTTGCAGAAAATGTTTTTATGAACCAACAATATCTTCCGTGTAAGCTGTACATTAGTTAAGCACTTTAGGCCTATTTTTTCCACTTTCATATGTATGTATTTATGGTCAGATGACTTAAGATCCATGGGGCTCTTGTTTAAATGAACCTTCATAATTTTAAAGGTTGATTCCTGGAGTCATATCGTTGGTGCAGTGACAAGCTCACAGAAATTTAGCTGGCTACGTCAACGCCTTACCGGCAGTAAGATGGAGATGCCTCTTGTAAACAACATTATTGAGTTTGTCTTGTATGAACACCCAATTGACATTGAAAAACTCCGTAGATCGCTTCATTACCAGGTAAGTCTACCTGCCCATCTCTTTTTGCTACATAGCAGAAACTTGGCAATCATAATGTCCTTTGATTCAAACTCGTACAGATGTTGTTATATCAGAAATCATGAAGATCACTTATTTTCTTGACCAAAATTAATGAAGCTGATTGTTTGTTAATTACAGGTGGAGCGTGCCCAGCTGCGACTGAAGGGGATACAGAGTATGCTAGCTTTGGTACACAAAGATCACTTAATACCATCAGTTAAATATGCTGTACTGTGTGGATGGCAGGGGCTGCTCACAGTTGGCAAGATGGCCTGGTAGGTATCTACAAACTTTCTGAATTACAAGGACGTTTCTGTCTTAAAAATAGGTTCTCTTTAATGCATAAATGATTGTAGGTGATGACGTTTTCTGTTTATAACACTAAATCTATTGTTTACAGACTCTCTAGCAATATAATTGACTCCAACTTTGTTTTATAGGATCTTTTACTTTAAATCACTTCGTTTTTACCAAAACTTTTTTTGCAAAATGACCTTTGCTCATGAGAGCCACGTGACTATATCTGAAGTGATTTAGTCATGTGATACATGTTGTTTCCATACTGAATTGTATTTAGCTGAGTGCAGTCTGGTATGTACTAGACAAAAGAAACAAACATGCTTTTATCAACAACAGGGGGTGGAGTGTGAGGTGACTCCTAAAGATACAAATCAACAACATGTTGTGCCTACTTCTGACGTCTAAACATGCTTTTATATCTGAAGAGTAGAGTGAATTGTTTCCAAAGTGAGATGACAGAACTTCAAGAGGCCAGACTTATTGAGCATTCTGTTTCACTACTGTTTATTTTGTAATTTAATAAAATAGATATTTTGCATGCTATAAAGTATTATTGTTAACATTATAGCATCTTTCCAACTATTGTGGTACATGTCCTTGACTTCTGACCTCTGACTTTTGACCTATAGCTGTACATTTCAATGACACCATTTTGTGAAGATTTACAGTCATCCAACTTTGGTGTCGTTTAAAAGTGCAAAGTTCTAAAGATGTTTGAATTTGAAAGTGATATATTTCTAGCAGATTTGTTTGTGATATGATAAGGTATATATAAATTTAACAAAAGTGTAAGTTCGATGAAGTTAACAATGGAATAACAAAGATATCATCAAAAGATTCGGACAAATTTCTGGGAGATTTGAATCTGCGATTGGCTCTCCTAGCAGATTAATGCGATAATAAATACTACACAAAAAATAACTGATTTACAGTATATAAAAAGATTACCATTGAAGAATATTAGATGACAGTCAGTCTGATAGGTTGTAGTGTTTTATTGTCATTATTCTACATTCTAGTGAACCAGTCCCCCACTGTCTGTCCAATGTGAAGCTGATCCCTCCCTGTGACAGGATCCTCCTGGAGCTTGCTTTTTCTCACCTGTACAGATGGGCTATTAACGAGCTTCGTAATGGCATTATACAATCTGACATGATGTTTAAGGCTCGGGGCATCAATCCAGCTGTCCCAGGCACTGACTCAGGGAAGGTAGGCATAGTGTAATAATAGTGTTAGATAAGGAGGGTGAAAAAAAAAAAAAATCCTGTAACTTGCAATGCCATTGTCGAGATACACGTGCCACATTCAACAACGAACTGTTAAAGTTTCATCAGTCAGATTTTCAATCATTGTTACAGGATAAATAGAATACATGGTCAGTGTCTTATAATATAACCGTCGTTTTGGCTAAGGGCAGAAATACAAAATACAGCTTACATTTTAAGACACTGATCACGTATTCTCTATATAGATGGATAATGTTATGAAAAGTATCATTGGCATTTGACTTTTGTCTCTTTCAATTCCTCCAAGTCATTGTGAAACCTTTCATCTTATTCTGTATTACATGACTTCTTGTTGAAGGAGAGATTAACCCTGGGTGCTCTGCCTCACTCTCGTTTCCTCCTGGCTACCATGGGTATCCTGGTGTCAGAGCATCATTCCAACAGTCTCAGTCTACTCATGAACTCAGGTGTCTTAGGACTTACACAGACCCTGTTACGTCTAGCAGGTAGGAAACCTTGTTAATGGTTTTATCATTATAGACAACGGATTTGTACTTTGTTGAGATGACTTTGTTTTTTTGATTGAGCAACCTCAAAGTAAAGATATGTTGAGTGATATTTTGCTGTAAAGAAACAAACTTTGTTTCATGAAGGAGGAATGAATAGAATTAAAACTTAAGGAAAATTACACAAACTTTTCTTATTTTGATTTCATACATAAATAAAAATGTAGGAAAAGGCACTTTAAGATTCCTGATATAGGTACTATTAGCCATTCTGCCGAGAAGATTGTATTCTAAGGGAGATAACTTTCTACTATTGGAATGGTGATAGGTCCAGATCCAGAGCGAATGGCACAGGACAACTCCAGTTCAATATGTGCTGTCCTTGAGGAGCAGAAACACAAGAAACAGTCACAGCCTGTACCCATCTCAGGGCCAGAGTTGGCAGCTATGATGAAAATCGGGATGAGAGTTGTACGAGGTGTAGACTGGAAATGGGGAGACCAGGTATGGAAAATTATGGAAATTTATAAAGTAGAAAGTTGTAATCTTAATGTTTCTTGATTTTAAACTGGTAATTTTTAAGTGTAAATGTTTTTCAGAATAGTCTTCTGTTGTTCTGAATGATCAGAGATTAGCTTGTTTTATAGGATGGACCTCCTCCCAGTATGGGGCGTGTGATTGGTGAGCTAGGCGAAGATGGCTGGATACGGGTACAGTGGGACACTGGCAGTACTAACAGTTACAGGATGGGCAAGGAAGGCAAATATGACCTAAAGCTGGCGGAACCTCCAGAGATGCCAGATAATGATGAAGATGAGGAAGAAGAATTAGACGTTGGTCAGTATGCGGGAAAAAGTACTCTACTGTCTGTCAACCGAATGATGGTGAAACTTTGTGTTTATGATGTTTGTAAATTGATCTATGTGTTGTTAGTAGCTCTCCAGGTCTAAAAAGAGAAAACATCTGCAATATGTGTAAATTTTCAAATACAGAAGTAGTTGCAAATTAATTTGTTTGGAATTTGTCTTCATGATATCGTTAATTATGTGTATGAACATTTAGTTTTAGAGATAAAATGTTTTTCCTGCAGATTCAAACAAACCAGAAAGCAGACACCCGACTGCCTTGTTGAGGAGGTCAACGCTGCACCTGCTGCGGTCACTGGCGATATGCTGTGCCCTAAACTCTGAAAGTACCCAGAAGGAGGCTGTCACATCTCTGTGTGGATTGATGCGAAACATTGTGGATAGTGGCTGTAACTATGGCCTCAGTTAGTATTCCATTGTAAATCTAGCAATATCCCATAGAGCAATTGAGAGGATTCCATTGAAACAGGCAGAAAGTGTTTGGTATTGTCTGTAGTGAATTTACCAGGTAACACTGGATGATACAGAAAAGGGATAGGTATTGTCTGTAGTGAATTTACCAGGTAACACTGGGTGATACAGAAAAGTGATAGGTATTGTCTAGTGAATTTACCAGGTAACACTGGGTGATACAGAAAAGGGATAGGTATTGTCTGTAGTGAATTTACCAGGTAACACTGGGTGATACAGAAAAGTGATAGGTATTGTCTGTAGTGAATTTACCAGGTAACACTGGGTGATACAGAAAAGTGATAGGTATTGTCTGTAGTGAATTTACCAGGTAACACTGGGTGATACAGAAAAGTGATAGGTATTGTCTAGTGAATTTACCAGGTAACACTGGGTGATACAGAAAAGGGATAGGTATTGTCTGTAGTGAATTTACCAGGTAACACTGGGTGATACAGAAAAGTCATAGGTATTGTCTAGAGTGACTTTAACACTTGGGAAACAGACTGTTGATCTCAAGTGAATTTAACACAGGGAGAAACAGAAAAATGTTATGTGTTATCTGTGGTGAATTTAACACAGGGAGAAACAGAAAAATGTTACGTGTTATATGTAGTGACTTTAACACTAGGAGAAGCTAGTAGTAAGCATGAAAACACCTTTAGCAAATTATTCCTAGTATATCATAACCAAATATTATAAAGCATTCTTATGGTTTGTAGATGCCAACTCCGTGTCAGCCCAGGTAGCCTGTGAACAACATTACAGTTGGTGCACCTTAGGATTTATGCGAGCCATTGCCACTGGGACATCAATATGTCACGCTTTCAGCACCCAACGCTGGGTAGATCTTCTGCTGAAGATGTTAGAGGAAGATAACTCATTGCAGATGACGAAGAGTGTCACTAGACAAGTAAGCACATGCTTACAGCAGTATCAAGCAAAGTTTAACTGTTCTTTCGTTTGTTTTGAGCAGAAAAGAAGCAAAAATTGTACAGTTCATTACATGTCTTCAACTTCACAAGTCATGATATTTTGCCATAAGCAGATATGACTGACCTGACAATCTTTCAAGGTTGAAAGGGTGCAATGAAATATAGATAAAGCATCCTCTTTTAAATAACTACAAGAAATTTTCCTACATACAAATATTTGTTTTGATAGAGTAACTTTGCTGATCAAGTTCCTGAACAACAGCATTTGTTTGATTTCAGATCCTTACCCTGAAATTCTTGAGAGCGGTTCTGCCATCCTGGGATTTGTCAGTGAAAGAGTCTAGAGTGAAAGTTATTGTACATCAGTTGTTTGAGATGTTGGGACGAATCCTTATAACATGTGTCGCTGATCCAACACTACTACCTCAGAGTGAGTGACTAAGTCAACAATTCTTGGAGATTTTAACATTATAGTACAGAGAAATTATACATATGTTGTGTGTGAGGTCAGAACCCAACAGAAATAACAACCTGTATGAATTATTATACTTTTGTCGTGTGTGAGGTCAGAACCCAACAGAAATAACAACCTGTACAAAGAAGTTTAATAGAAGATTGTAAAGCTGTCAGTAGTAATGTCAGTAAAGGAAGTTACAGTGACACAAACTTGATGCCATTTGTACAAAAACATTTAATTTCTTTGTACCTATTGTAGATTTGACACCTTAAAAAGACGAAAGAGCCTTTCAACTGCGATATTGAAAGGCTAATATAATGATTTGTTAAATTATCTCATGTGTTGGTGAAGTGAATTTATTTACAATTTATTGTCATTGCAACAGTGGACACTCCCCGAAAAGGTCAGAAACAGCGGGCACCTGTGTCCTTAACTGCTTCTTACACCAGCACCATTGCAGAGGAGCTTGTTGCACTGCTCAGGAAACTACACACATGTGACTGTTGGAACAGACACATTAATGACTACATCATCTCACGCCTCTCCAATATTTCTGCTCTGATGGTGGACAGAATACAGCCTTCCAATGATGTACGCTAATGATCTAATCTTTCCTTAGTTTCTGTTTCATATTGTGTGATTAGTGATAAGATGTTTGATGATTTCCATTATGTTATTCTTTTCTCTGTTTATAAAACTCCTGTACTCCCCACAACACAGTCAGGTAGGGGTTGGAAGTATGCTGAAATCAGCTTGTCAGTCCATCCATCCATCTGTCCTTGCATGTCTGGAACATAATTTTGCCCACAATTCAGCAAGAATCATTGTATACATTGGTTATACTAAGATACACCCCCCCCCCCCCCCATTCAATTACAGAGTTATTTCCCTTACTTCAAATTTCGTGTCCAGAGCATATCTTTGCATGCATCAATTACTAGATAATGAAACTTGATCTATTGTTAATTCTAATGCAATGTGCAGTATACCTAATTCAGTGCCTGCAACTCCTTAATTACAGCATCATTATCCACTGAGCCTGTGTAATTTGTCTGATGTTACTAGGCCTTTACAGTAAAGAACATGGTTTTAGATAGGATAATCCTATGTTCATCAGGATGTTCTGTTTCAGGACCCATGTATGGTAACGTCACCAGATCCCCAGAGAGGTGTCATGGCTGCTCTAACTCTGATTGGTGGAATTGATAACAGGCCTCATCTGGGAGGACGGGTTTGTCATGATGTGTTCCACCAAGGCACAATTGCTCGCATCACACCCAAGGGAAAAATACATGTCCAGTTTGATGATGGCTTTCTCCGGGCCTGCAGACTTACAGAACTGTCTGCTGTTAGTTTTTATGATTTTAATTACTGTTCAGACTTGATATGACATGCTTCTTCTGATCTCGGACAAAGAAAACTGATAACTCAACTATTGAAATCATTAAACTTTTCTAAGGCTCGAAACAAGATATGTTGGTCATTATATTTATATAAATGTATCATTCATTGATTAATAAGATGGAAAAAAACTGCATTACTGAAGTTTAAATGATAGAAAGGGAGATAAGTGGTGTTAAATGTTATGTTTAAATGATAGAAAGGGAGATAAGTGGTGTTAAATGTTGCATTTAAATGATAGAAAGGGAGATAAGTGGTGTTAAATGTTGCATTTAAATGATAGAAAGGGAGATAAGTGGTGTTAAATGTTGCATTTAAATGATAGAAAGGGAGATAAGTGGTGTTAAATGTTACATTTAAATGATAGAAAGGGAGATAAGTGGTGTTAAATGTTGCATTTAAATGATAGAAAGGGAGATAAGTGGTGTTAAATGTTACATTTAAATGATAGAAAGGGAGAAAAGTGTGGATAAATGTTATGTATAAATGGTAGAAAGGGAGATAAGTGGTTTTAAATGTTACATTTTACAGTGCCCAAGTTTGGAGTTCTGTGTGGACAAGCTGACAATGAATGACCGTGTTTGTAGCATGTGGTCAGGTTTGATTAGTTTGGCCAGCACTGTGTCAAAGCCAGAGAAGGAGATGATAAAGGACCGTGCCCCGTTGGCTGCCAGTATGGCTAGTGTGGAGTCTGAACTCCTCTGTATGTATTAACACAGTATCTCTTATTGCTGTTATGTGTTAGCTTTTTATATAGGTATTCAACTTTTGTTATCAAATGTTTATTTAGTACAATTTTAAAGTACTTGAAAATGAGTTTGTGTGTCAGGGTACCATGGCCAAGCAAGCTATTTATAGAAAAATTGTGTCATCATTCATGCTCTGTCACCAAAACTTTAGAGTAAGTCAAGTGTAGTTATATATCAGAGGTCAAGAATGAGGTCACAGTACTGTCTGTAGATAGAGTTTGACCCAAGGTTTTATTGGAGGGTTGTAGGGTTGTATATATCAGAGGTCAAGGATGAGGTCACAGTACTTTTTGTAGGTATAGTTTGACCCAAAATTGTATGGGAGGGTTGTATATATCAGAGGTCAAGGATGAGGTCACATTGCTGTTTGTAGGTATAGTTTGACTCAAAGTTGTGTTGGAGGGTTGTTGATAGGAAATATGCGTATGGACTGTTGTGTATATGATAGGATTTCCATTGTTTACAATACTTTGTCTACTTGGTGCCTGGGTAAGTTTTGATATCCTAGAGTGTCCTCTGTTGTGTTGACGTTCTGAGAAAAGGACTCCTAGGAGTTCTATTTTCCGCTATTGTCAAGCAGAAATACCTTGGAGGTAAATTTATAGTACAGGAAACACTCAGGTCTGCTTCATTATTTCTGTGAAAACTCGACCTTTTTTTTGCGATCAGCTTTCAGTGAAACCATTTAAAAAAGAAAGATACTTTAACAATATCCTTTACTTTGATAGTTTTGAAGAAAATTCTTTCCATTCTACGCTTTTTTTCCTTTTAAACTTTATTGGATTTTGTACTTTATTACAGCGTCTGCCTCCTTTGATCTGTGTGATCTTCGGCGCCAGCAGCTGCGTCTCTGCCTCATCAAGGCTTGTCGTGTGCTGTTCAGTCGTCAAGAAAAGTTACGCCTCATTATGAGCCAGAGCTTGAACCAAGAGGCAGCACCTTCACCTGATCCAGAACTTTCTGGCAGCGACGATGAACTAGGTGATGGACCAGAGCCACCCTCTACTTTATTTCAGCAGCTGATGCTGAGCGCCACACAACCTTCACCATTAAAGGCTGTGTTTACACGAGAGGAGTTGGAGGTATGATGTTAGTCTTCATTCCTAATGGAAACATCAAATTTATAAATAAGTTGTTGAATACTTTTCTGCCAAAAACAGGGCAAAAGATTTTACATTTAGAGGGAAAGTCTTTTTTGTGTCATTTACAGAAAATGTCATCCCAGCTCTTATTGTATTATCAAGTTTAAATTTGTTTATTTTGTTTTAGTCTGTTTAAAAGAATAGAGAAAGGAACTTTTTATAATCTTTAACCTGAACAGACACAATAAATGGTTTCAGATCTTCAGTTTTCCATGTCGCTCACTTTAAATGTATATATTTTAAAAACGAACCTGGATGGGGGTTCTTGATGACTGTGTCCTTGTTTTGTTTTATTTACCTACAAGTATTAGGACTATGTAAGTAGTTTGAGGAATTCGGGGGTATTTGAGTAATCAAAGGTTGGTCATAGATTGTTGGGTACCGACCATCTGAATCCATGAATAACATATTCAACACAGAATTCTTTGATCAGTCAAATTTGAGATTACATATTAAGTTTGGATTTACTACTAACTTCAATTTGTCTCATATTTAATGAAGAGAAATGTATTTTGAACATGGCTGATTTTTACGTCAAACGAAACAAAAATTTCTCAGAAATGTCACGATAAAACAGTCAAATTACATATTAAATGACAGTACAGGTATGTAATCATACTATGACAATCCCGTTATTATAAACACAGGAGCGATCAGAACCATTACCCAGAAGTTTGATGCAGTTGTGACAGCGGACACTTGTTCAATGAATAGAGGGGGGAAATACTATAAACATAAAGAGGTGGAGGAAAAAATGTTTTCAAGGAATGCAGGGTATTGGGGAAATAATGTTTGAATGAATCTGAGGCTAAATAACTAGAACTATATAAGGACACAGTCATGAGGAAGTGGCCAGTTGGACAAATAGGGGGTATTCCAAGAATACTTGCAGGTTCAGATAAATGGGGATTTACTGTAGTATCTTTACTTTCTCTCCAGGCTGCCTCTCTCGCGGTATGTCAGTACTTAACAGCAGCTAGTTTACTGGATCAAGACGAGACTGACTCTTCAGACTCAGAGAGTGAACATGAAGCATCTGTTCCATACAAGACTCAGACATCTACCAACACCACCAGCAGCCGAACTACAAAGACCAAGAAAGCCAAGGCAACATCTCAACAGCCTCCTCCTACTGCTGTTGTCACACAAATTATGGAGATGGGGTTCCAGAGGAAACATGTGGAGATTGCGATTAAATCTATGGGTAGATATCAAGTGTTTGTATGGAGATGTGTTTGTATGGAGATTGCTATTAAATCTATGGGTAGATATGAAGTGTTTGTACATATGTCTAAGTGTTTCGTAAAAAATCATCGCATACATATTGAAACAGGTGTATGTGCTTAAGAGTACACTTTCTATAAGATCATTATCTAGCTGCAATCTCAGCAAGGTAGGCACAAAAATGATGTAAATGTCTCTTTGTCAGGTACATACTTGTGTCATGCTTCTTGTTCTGAGTCTTTTGTCCCTGTCCAATCTTCCAAACCAGAGAATTATGGTTGCTATGCTATTTATCCTTATGTTAATCACCATGAAATAGTAAAGCATTAGTTTTACATATGAATCAGAAACAGTTTGGAGCTTGTGGACTAACAAACAGAATCACACCTTAAACAAAAACATCTTTTCAGTGTTTCATATTCAAATCATGATATAGGAAATCCATGATTACTGAGTATCTCTGAAGAAATTCATCATTCTGTAGCATTACACACGTTCTGCTGTAAACAAGGGTACATGGGTAAACAAGGGTACATGGGTAAACAAGGGTACATGGGTAAACAAGGGTACATGGAGATGGGAACTGTGTTGTTTTTTCATTAATGTCTAAATCTTTAACCAAGTAAAATAATTATATCCTTGAAATATACATGTAGAGGATGTTGTAGCTGGAGGGTCACTGCAAGCCGAGGGAGACAGTCCCCGCCCAGAAGCACTAGTAAACTGGCTGATAGAACACCCTGAGATCAGCGCACTGGAGGAGTCAGACACAGAAAGCCTTTCCTCAGTTGACTCTTACCCTGAATCAGACTCCACCTCGGAGGACTTTGATGACCTAGAAGCCTATGATGGCAATTCTAGTCTAGGGGTGAGTGGTATTCTAATAGAATAGGGAAGCTGTACAATTTGATTGGACATCAGGTTCACTGATAGAATCTGTACTTACCATTAACACCTAGAACATGATATTTAGAGATCTTTTGTTTCAATTTAAATAGACAAATTTAATTATCACTTGAGAAGGACTGGATAGATATTCCATATAAAACTTTGGCTTTGTTTGGTCCCAAGTTTACATTAATTTTTTTCAAGTTTTTAATTTTGGGAATTATTTAATCAAGAAGTGGGCTGACAAGTCACCATCTTGGATTTTAGTAATGATGGATCAAAGTCATATGTAAGTTCCCTTTCGTCCAAAGTTGTGATAGATAAAGAAATGGGCTAGAAATTGGATGACAGGTGGCCATCTTGGATTTTGCCAATGAAAGATTGTTGTAGCTATTTCTTTAGAAGTACTTGATGGATTTTTCTCAAGTTTCATATTTAAGTTTTCTACGGTCCCTAGTTCTATTTCTTATGAGAAAGTTTAAAATTTCATGTAATTAAGAAGAAGAACAGAGGAAAGAATGGAAAAGAAGAGAAAAGATCCAACTTTGAAGAAACAAATGAAGACCAAACAGTTGTGGGCACCAAGATCCCTTTGGTTAGGCAAATTAAGTTGAGAAAATGAGATGTCAGCTGTACATTGGTAGCACCCAAAATCATTGACATGTTTGTTTCTTATTTACTTTTTTTCAGTAGTGGAAAGAATCTGTGTTTGCGGTATACTAGTGTATAACACTTAATTAGTTTAATTAACTTTAATTTATTCTTTGCTCTATAGTTGGCAGTATACTCAATTGAGTTATCAAATCTTTTGACAGATTTCAACAGAGCTTGGAGCAACTGGTACAGTACAGCCATATAAAAGACGAGCTGATTTCCTCAGCAATGATGAGTACGCTATGTATGTACAGGATAACATTCAGACAGGCATGTCTGTTAGATGTTGCCGCACATACGAAGAGGTACAGGAAGGAGACATCGGAAAGGTTGTCAAGGTCAGTCCTGTTCTTGTATCTGTAATGTATCTATTGTAACTTAAAGAAGTAGACAAGGTCAGTTTTGTATCTGTAATGTATCTATAACTTAGAGAAGTAGACAAGGTCAGTTTTGTATCTGTAATGTATCTATAACTTAGAGAAGTAGACAAGGTCAGTTTTGTATCTGTAATGTATCTATAACTTAGAGAAGTAGACAAGGTCAGTCTTGTATCTGTAATGTATCTATTGTAACTTAGAGAAGTAGACAAGGTCAGTCTTGTATCTGTAATGTATCTATTGTAACTTAGAGAAGTAGACAAGGTCAGTCTTGTATCTGTAATGTATCTATAACTTAGAGAAGTAGACAAGGTCAGTCTTGTATCTGTAATGTATCTATAACTTAGAGAAGTAGACAAGGTCAGTCTTGTATCTGTAATGTATCTATAACTTAGAGAAGTAGACAAGGTCAGTCTTGTATCTGTAATGTATCTATAACTTAGAGAAGTAGACAAGGTCAGTCTTGTATCTGTAATGTATCTATAACTTAGAGAAGTAGACAAAGTCAGTCCTGTTCTTGTATCTGTAATGTATCTATAACTTAGAGAAGTAGACAAGGTCAGTCCTGTTCTTGTATCTGTAATGTATCTATTGTAACTTAGAGAGGTAGACAAGGTCAGTCTTGTATCTGTAATGTATCTATAACTTAGAGAAGTAGACAAGGTCAGTCTTGTATCTGTAATGTATCTATAACTTAGAGAAGTAGACAAGGTCAGTCTTGTATCTGTAATGTATCTATAACTTAGAGAAGTAGACAAGGTCAGTCTTGTATCTGTAATGTATCATTAACTTACAGAATAGACAAGGTTAGTCCTGTTCTTGTATCTGTAATGTATCTATAACTTAGAGAAGTAGACAAGGTCAGTCTTGTATCTGTAATGTATCTATTGTAACTTAGAGAAGTAGACAAGGTCAGTCCTGTTCTTGTATCTGTAATGTATCTATTGTAACTTAGAGAAGTAGACAAGGTCAGTTCTTTTCTTGTATCTGATTTCATATGGAAATGTTGTTAAAGTCAGAATTTCTTGTATTTGGTGTAAAGTGGGAAGTTTGTCAAGGTCAGAACAATTCTAGTATCTGACATAATGTGGAGTGGTGGTCAAGGGTCAGAACTTTTCTTGTTTCTGGTTTAATATTGAAAGGAGGCCAAGGTCAACACTGTTCTCATGTCTGATATGTTGTGGAGAGGTTGTATCTGACATAATGTGGAGTGGTGGTCAAGGTCAGAAATTTTCTTGTATCTGGTATGACATGGCAACGTTGTCAAGGTCAGTACTATTCTAGTAAGGGTTTTAATTTTGAAAGGAGGCCAAGGTCAACACTATTCTCATGTCTGATATATTGTGGAGAGGTGGTCAAGGTCAGTACTATTCTTGTATCTGAAGTAATGTGGAAATGTGATAGAATTATTGATGAGGGTGTTTCCATTTGTTCTGTATGAAAACAGGTTTACACAGCATATCTGTTATAGAAATCTTGCATCAGAGATGGTTATAGGAATTATAGTGCCTTGTATCTCTCTGTCCACTCTTTGTTTATGGCAATCATCTCTAAATCTTAAAGTATAGAGTTATCGTCACACTAAGAATTATAATAAGAGCTTAACATGTTAATGTATGTCAGGAAATGTTAATGTATGTCAGGAAATGTTAATGTATGTCAGGACATGTTAATGTATGTCAGGACATGTTAATGTATGTCAGGACATGTTAATGTATGTCAGGAAATGTTAATGTATGTCAGGAAATGTTAATGTATGTCAGGACATGTTAATGTATGTCAGGAAATGTTAATGTATGTCAGGAAATGTTAATGTATGTCAGGAAATGAAACTGGTTATATCTTAGAAATAGATAGGATATATATACAGAGGGACCTTTACTGACCTGATGGTGTCCTTGTTTGATAAGATATATATATATATATACAGAGGGACCTTTACTGACCTGATGGTGTCCTTGTTTGATAAGATATATATATATATATACAGAGGGACCTTTACTGACCTGATGGTGTCCTTGTTTGATAAGATATATATATATATATATATATACAGAGGGACCTTTACTGACCTGATGGTGTCCTTGTTTGATAAGATATATATATATATATATACAGAGGGACCTTTACTGACCTGATGGTGTCCTTGTTTGATAAGATATATATATATATACAGAGGGACCTTTACTGACCTGATGGTGTCCTTGTTTGATAAGATATATATATATATCTACAGAGGGACCTTTACTGACCTGATGGTGTCCTTGTTTGATAAGATATATATATATATACAGAGGGACCTTTACTGACCTGATGGTGTCCTTGTTATAGATATATATATATATATATATATACAGTGGGACCTTTACTGACCTGATGGTGTCCTTGTTTATAAGATGTATATATATATATATATATATAAAGTACCTTTACTGACCTGATGGTGCCCTTGTTGATAAGATATATATATGTATATATTATATATATATATATATATATATATATATATATATATATATATACACAGAGGGACCTTTACTGACCTGATGGTGTCCTTGTTTGATAAGATATATATATATATACAGAGGGACCTTTACTGACCTGATGGTATCCTTGTTTGATAAGATGTATATATATATACAGATGGACCTTTACTGACCTGATGGTGTCCTTGTTTGATAAGATATATATATATATACAGAGGGAATGAAACTGGTTATATGTCCTTGTTTGATAAGATATATATACAGAGGGACCTTTACTGACCTGATGGTGTCCTTGTTTGATAAGATATATATATATATATAGAGGGACCTTTACTGACCTGATGGTATTTGATAAGATGTATATATATATATACAGAGGGACCTTTACTGACCTGATGGTGTCCTTGTTTGATAAGATATATATATATATACAGAGGGACCTTTACTGACCTGATGGTGTCCTTGTTTGATAAGATATATATATATATATATACAGAGGGACCTTTACTGACCTGATGGTGTCCTTGTTTGATAAGATATATATACAGAGGGACCTTTACTGACCTGATGGTGTCCTTGTTTGATAAGATATATATATATATACAGAGGGACCTTTACTGACCTGATGGTGTCCTTGTTTGATAAGATATATATATATATATATATATACAGAGGTACCATCTTATTTTATCTGTATGTTCTATATTACAGTTGGACAGAGATGGACTTCATGACCTTAACATCCAGGCTGATTGGCAGAGGAAAGAGGGAACCTACTGGGTTAGATACATCCATGTGGAACTGCTCGGACATCTAGGTCTGAGTGGTGGTAAGTCTCATGTGTAACACCTTGGACATTTTCATCTAATTGTTGGTATATCTGATTCATGTGTAACACCTTGGACAGTTACATCTAATTGTTGGTATATCTGATTCATGTGTAACACCTTGGACATTTACATCTAATTGTTGGTATATCTGATTCATGTGTAACACCTTGGACATTTACATCTAATTGTTGGTATATCTGATTCATGTGTAACACCTTGGACATTTACATCTAATTGTTGGTATATCTGATTCATGTGTAACACCTTGGACATCTTAGTGTAAGTACTGGTAATTCTTATTCATGTGGTAACCCTTTGACATCTAGGTCTGAGTACAGTCTGACTTTGAAAAGATAATATGAAAAGAAATTATCAGACTCTCATTTTATTTGTCTCTAAAGATTTTGAAAATTTCATTTCAAGAAACTATAATATTATTTTGTTTAGGTTCATCTCAACCTATCAAAGTTGGTGATAAAGTACGAGTGAAGCCAAGTGTGACCATGCCGACATACAAGTGGGGCTCTGTGACTCACCACAGTATTGGCACAGTGACAGGTAAGGCACCTATAATTTTTAATTAATTCTAGATGTTACAGGTATCAAAATTATGATCAGACAGATGCTTTGGATATCAATTTGCTCACTCTACATTGCAAATATTTGTTTGGTGTTTTGATCTGTTAATATAACATCATTATGTAAGGCACCGTCTATTCCTTATCTTTACCTTGATTACTAAACATCCACCTGTCTGCTTAAGTAGACATCACCAATATATATATCACAGTTCATATCAATATTACATGACAAGTTTCCACTTCACTTAATTTGGTTATGTTTTTACTGAGAAACACTTCTTAGCCAAATAGTTGGGGTTTAAAGTATGAAATAAAATGACATCTTTTAGCTGAAAACAAAACTTGAAGGCAGGTATTATTTGACATAAATTTGTTTCAGCATAATTGAAGATAAGGATAAGTACCCCAAAAGTGCATTCAACAGCAATTGAACCTGTTTTAACACAAATTCTAATTTGTCATTTCAACAGCCATCAATCCTAACGGCAGAGACTTGACAGTGGACTTTCCTCAGCAGGCTCATTGGACAGGCATCATTGATGAGATGGAGATCGTCCCCAGTACACACCCTGGGGTCAGGTAAGACACTAGACAGGCATCATTGATGAGATGGAGATCGTCCCCAGTACACACCCTGGGGTCAGGTAAGACACTAGACAGGCATCATTGATGAGATGGAGATTGTCCCCAGTACACACCCTGGGGTCAGGTAAGACACTAGACAGGTATCATTGATGAGATGGAGATTGTCCCCAGTACACACCCTGGGGTCAGGTAAGACACTAGACAGGCATCATTGATGAGATGGAGATTGTCCCCAGTACACACCCTGGGGTCAGGTAAGACACTAGACAGGCATCATTGATGAGATGGAGATTGTCCCCAGTACACACCCTGGGGTCAGGTAAGACACTAGACAGGCATCATTGATGAGATGGAGATCGTCCCCAGTACACACCCTGGGGTCAGGTAAGACACTAGACAGGCATCATTGATGAGATGGAGATTGTCCCCAGTACACACCCTGGGGTCAGGTAAGACACTAGACAGGTATCATTGATGAGATGGAGATCGTCCCCAGTACACACCCTGGGGTCAGGTAAGACACTAGACAGTTATCATTGATGAGATGGAGATCGTCCCTATTACACACCCTGGGGTCTTGAATGACATCCCAGATTTGAACAGTGAGATATATCATCATATGTTTTGTTGATGCTGATGTAAATATTTTTATGGTTATACTATATTTGACATTCAAAAGAAAGGTAATTACCAATTAAATCCCCATAATTTCTGATATTGATTAACTATTTTTAGCATTTTAATACTTCCCAAAGGGAGAGCATAAAGTCACTGCATTGTCTGTCCATTTGTCCATCCTTACATGCATCTGTCCGTCTGAGGGCATTTCCAGGCTATAACTTCAAGACTGTTCAATTCAACTTCCCAGAATGTGTTGTATATATTAAGTTTGTGCCCTATTTATGCCTTTTGCTATTGATGACAGTTCATTTTCATATTTTTTGTGTTACCATGAAAACAAATTAAAAAAAACAAAAAAGTGTTTACTTTCCTTTCCAAGCTACAATTTCAAAAATGGATCCATTCAATTAAAAAAAAACTTTCTGTGTATATATAAGGCTAGTGCCCTATTTTTGTCTTTTGCTTTTCAATGTACTCTTATTTTCTGAAACTGTTTCTCTTTGTGAACTTAGATTGAACTTTTTCTATTTTTATTTCTTTTCAAAATGTCATCAAATTCTACTGATTATGCTGGTAATAATTGTGTTTGGTACTTTGTTACTTACAGCTGTGATGAATGCCAGGTCTTCCCAATCGTGGGTCCCAGGTTCAAATGTAAACTGTGTGAAGATTTTGACTTTTGTGAAAATTGTTTTCGCTCAAAGAAACATCGTCATCCATTCAACAGAATTTCAGAACCAGGTAATTCTAACTGCTTGTTGTTTTGTGACATCATGCTTTGAATACCAAATGCCCAGAGTGCTGATATTCAGCCAGTAGCATGCTGGGATAAAGTGTTACCAATTTTGTTCATGTGATTGACATGTTTTCTGTTTAAAGGTCAAAAGGGCCAAATGTGTTTAAATCTTCAAATGACTTCTTCTCAATAAAAAAAAAGGCGGTTGATATTGGTTCTTTAATATAAGTGGGTGAAGGGCTACCGATTTGTTTAGATAATTGACCTTGACCTATATTCAAGATCTCTTGGTTAAGTGAGTTGAGATCTTAAAAGTTTCTTTTTCAGCAAGCAAAAGGTTAGACATTTGAGTAGCAGCATGTATAAAGAATATAATTTCAAGGTTTCACAAAATGTTTTATGAACTAACAATGTCATCTTTGTAAGCTGTAGAGTAGTTGAGCAATTTATTTTAGGCGTACCTGGTATTAAGCCTCTTTCCTATATAGGTCTTTATAGTCAGATGACCATTAAGGCTTTTTGCTCTTTGCTTTGTTGCTCAGTGAGTATAATAAACCATTGTCTAATTGGAAGTTTGGAATATAATTGATGGAGAGTTATTGAACATCATACCATGTACAATAGGATTTTCCATGAGAAGTAGTGTGGAATGGTCATCTACTCCTTATAAAAAATCTCCAGAATTTGGTATTCTTTACTTGGTGCTTACCTTTATAGCTGTCAATAAAATAGAAAGTATTTCTACTGCAACATGAAGATGACAGTGTCCAGCCAAAAAAGGACTTATCAATTAGTAATCATAGATATTGTAGATTTTATTAAATATATAATCATGGTAGCAGGTTTTGTATATGTATTTAATTCCTGATTATAGGAAGTGAGCCAGTACTTGTTGGTAAACCAGGAAAACACAAGAAAAAACTGTCTTTCCCATTGTCTGGCTCAATGATTGATGACTGGCACAGTTGTGTGAAGAGTTTGATGGTCTCTTCTCGAGAAAACCAGGCCCATCGTCTCATTGAAGGAAACAGTGGCTACTGGCAGAGTTCAGGTTCACAAGGGAAGGTTAGTATATTTTGTACACCCATACCTATTTATAGGTATCAGGAAATTTGGATATTTAACCAGTTTTAAGATCACTCATATCAAAAAGATTTTGAAATTTGTAATGTCTTAAAATATTTACAAAAATTTTAAATTATCATTGACAATTTCATAATCGTGATAATAACACCTTGCATTTGATGGCAAAGTTGGTAATTTCAAATGTTGATATTTAGCAGAATTATACTTGTACAATGAATGATAAAAAGGTTTTGTATTGATATTTGACTAGCACTGGATCCGTCTGGAGTTACAGCCAGACATCCTCATCCACCGCCTGTACATGAAGGTAGACCCTGCTGACTCTAGTTACATGCCGTCTGTGGTGGTTCTTAGCGCTGGTGACTCCATTAATACCATCAAGGAGAACATAAAGACAGTGACCATAGGTCCTACAGATACACTTGTCACCCTGCTGGAAAACATGAATGATGTGAGTGGTAGTTCCTGTACAGTAAACTATATAAGGCTTCTCTATCGGCGACTGATATATACTGACAATGACTATAACTAGAACTCAAGAAATAGCATGGAGGAACATTATAGTCTTTCACGATTATGTAACTACTTACAGCTTCACCTGGTACCTGATTTTCTGCTTTAGGATGTATATATGTTTGTGTACAGTATACCAATAACCCACGGAGCAGATTAAGTTAAAACTCACACCATAGCATAACTATAGTCTACACTTGATCAGATTTCGGTGGGAAGTTAAAAGTCAAAGGTCACCCTTGGCCACCTTGCAAATAAAAAAAAAACATGGTGTGCAAAATTTGGGGTGGGAGTATATGTATTTGAGCTCTAGTTCACTTCTGGTTTAATAAGCTCACCTATTCCATGAGTATGGTGACTAATATAGTCACTGTGCTCAATGTCATTTTAACAGTTACAGGTTTTTGATGTATAATTTCTGTTATATTCATGCTGTCCATAAAAAGCTCTTGCTGAAATTCTCTTTCAAACATTTTTTCTGCAGTATTTCCGATTTGTGGAAGTCTCAGTGAAGCAGTGCCGCAGTAGTGGAATAGACTGTAAGGTACACGGTCTGTCTGTTATTGGCCGTCTTCGAGCAGATGAAGATGACATGGCTGCCAGCTATACATTCCTTGCCTCCGACCGTGAAGATGAAGACGAGGACAAGACTGTAACTACTCCCATTAATAAACGCAGGTCAAAGGTTCCCAGCAGCAAGGAGATACAGACCCATGTTTTCTGCTGGGGACTCAATGATAAAGACCAGTTAGGAGGGCCGAAGGGATCTAAGGTAACAGGGCCTAGTTCATTGCTGGTATTGGAAAGATCAGGTTACAATTACAATTCAGGGTAAAACATTGGGGTGAGGTATTAGTTTCAGAAAACTCAGATGAACGAAACAGATATATGATGCAGTTTAATTCATTGGTTGGCTCTACTGTATCTTATCAAAGTTTTCATTAGAAGGTGCTATTCATTGGTGTGACTATTGTAAAATTATTTCAGGAAAATGAGAGGAATGGGGTAACAAATTTAGAGAAAGTATTCAAACAAAAGTATAGGGGGATAGGTTTGAAAATCTGTGGAACAAAGTTGAGGGAAAGTTTTATCACAACATCAGACAGAGTGGGAAAGAAAAAGATAAGTTCAGGGGACAAAGAAGGGGTCAGAGTCGGGGAAAAATTGGAGAGAGTAATCAGAATAAGGACATCTGTATGTCCAGAGTAATGACAGCAGACTAATACCATGATTCTAGGAAAGGGATTGACAGATGAAATGAGAAACGAGAATGCTTGTTGTATGCTAATAATGAAGACATGGCAGTCATCAGAGTTGTTTAATTTCAGATTAAACTTCCGTGTCTCAATGAAACTTTGTCTGCTTTGCGATGTGTACAAATTGCTGGCGGGTCCAAAAGTCTGTTCTGTGGTAAGTATCTCCTTAGTAGACAGCAACTATTGTAGCTTTTCAGGTTTGACACAAGTTCATCAAAAAAATTTCATCGGTAGTATTTTCTTGCCTCAGATCAGCATTTGAATCTCAATCAAATGAATTTGTAAAAGTTTGTTTGTTTCAGAAAATTCTGATAATTTCAGTTCGTTACATGTTTGTTGGATTTTGTGTGTTATAGTAACACAGGAAGGAAAGATGTTTGCCTGTGGTGAAGCTACTAATGGCCGCTTAGGTCTAGGAATTAGCTCAGGGACAATCTCCGTGCCACGTCAACTCACCTCCCTCAGTCAGTATGTCATCAAAAAAGTGGCAGTTCACTCAGGTAAATATCATTTAGCTGGCTGAATACATTACTGTCTGTAACAGTTACTATTTTATTCTTTTAGTCACTTTTCATTAGCATTGCTTTCATTTAACTTCTGTTGCTAAAAAATGCATATGGCAGGAATTCTTTGTCACAAGCTTCTTTGCCATGGTTTTATTTTAATCTTTTTAGGTCACCTGATACAAAGTCTCATAGTTACCTATTGTGATAGCCTTTTGTCCAACGTCATGTAGCGTCCAGCTTTTGCCATCCATCTGTAACCTTTTTTTTTTTCATTTTTGACTCCATCCTTTGTTAAACCCCTGAATCATTTTCAATGAAACTTTGCAAAATTGTAAATAATATTGTCCCTGCCCCCCAGGGGCCTGAGAACCTGGGCCAAAAAGGTTAAATTGGCTGAAATTTTAAAAATCTTCTCAATACCCAAATATGGTAAAATGAAATGCTCTTCATGGATGTAAGGGTCATGATATTTACCAAAATTTTTAATTTTATGACCCCAGGGTCTCCCATTTCCCTCTGGGGTGGAGGTAAAGTGTTCTATTGCTTATACAGGAAAATTATATTTTTGAGCATAATTTGTTTATATTCGATTGAAAATAGATCATACTTGATTAGCATTGTTAGTATAGGATGACATTTTGATGTTATGCACATATTGACCCCGCTGACCCCAAGGGACTGATGGGAAAGGCAAAAAAGGGTTATATTGACTGAAATTTCAAGCATCTTCACAATACCCAAATATGGTAATATAAAATACTCTGTCTGGGTGAAACCTGGGTTGTGTATGTATGATGACACCTGGGTTGTGTAGGTCTGGTGACACTTGAGTTGTGTATGTCTGGTGACACCTTGGTGATGTATGTCTGGGTGAAGCCTGGACTGTGTATGTCAGGGTGAAGCCTGGGTTGTGTATGTCTGGGTGACACCTGGGTTGTGTATGTCTGGTGACACCTGGGTTGTGTATGTCAGGATGAAGCCTGGACTGTGTATGTCTGGGTGACACCTGGGTTGTGTATGTGTGGGTGAAGCTTGGGTTGTGTATGTCTGGTGACACCTGGGTTGTGTATGTCTGGTGACACCTGGGTTGTGTATGTCTGGGGTGACACCGGGGTTGTGTGTGTCTGGGTGACACCTGGGTTGTGTATGTCTGGGTGAAGCCTGGGTTGTGTATGTCTGGGTGACACCTGGGTTTTGTATGTCTGGGTGAAGCCTGGGTTATGTATGTCTTGGTGACACCTGGGTGACACCTGGACTGTGTATGTCTGGGTGACACCTGGGTTGTATATGTCTGGGTGACACCTGGGTTGTATATGTCTGGACAGAACTCCAGTCACAGTGTGGAATAAGGGTGGCCTGTGTATGTCTGGGTGACACCTGGGTTGTGTATGTCTGGGTGAAGCCTGGGTTGTATATGTCTGGTGACACCTGGGTTGTGTATGTCTGGTGACACCTGGGTTGTGTATGTCTGGGGTGACACCTGGGTTGTGTGTGTCTAGGTGACACCTGGGTTGTGTATGTCTGGGTGACACCTGGGTTGTGTATGTCTGGGTGACACCTGGGTTTTGTATGTCTGGGTGAAGCCTGGGTTATGTATGTCTTGGTGACACCTGGGTGACACCTGGACTGTGTATGTCTGGGTGACACCTGGGTTGTATATGTCTGGGTGACACCTGGGTTGTATATGTCTGGGTGACACCTTGGTTGTGTATGTCAGGGTGAAGCCTGGACTGTGTATGTCTGGGTGACACCTGGGTTGTGTATGTCTGGGTGAAGCCTGGGTTGTATATGTCTGGTGACACCTGGGTTGTGTATGTCTGGTGACACCTGGGTTGTGTATGTCTGGGGTGACACCTGGGTTGTGTGTGTCTAGGTGACACCTGGGTTGTGTATGTCTGGGTGACACCTGGGTTGTGTATGTCTGGGTGAAGCTTGGGTTGTGTATGTCTGGGTGACACCTGGGTTTTGTATGTCTGGGTGAAGCCTGGGTTATGTATGTCTTGGTGACACCTGGGTGACACCTGGACTGTGTATGTCTTGGTGACACCTGGGTTGTATATGTCTGGGTGACACCTGGGTTGTATATGTCTAGGTGACACCTTGGTTTTGTATGTCTGGGTGACACCTGATTTTTGTATGTCTGGGTGACACCTGGGTTGTGTATGTCTGGGTGATGCCTGGGTCGTGTATCTCTGAGTGACACCTGGGTTGTGTATGTCAGGGGGACACCTGGGTTGTGTAAGTCTGGGTGACACCTGGGTTGTATATGTCAGGGTGACACCTGGTTCGTGTATGTCTGGGTGACATCTGGGTCGTGTATGTCTGGGTGACACCTGGGTTGTGTATGTCTGGGTGACACTTGGGTTGTGTATGTCTGGGTGACACCTGGGTTGTGTATGTCAGGGTGACACCTGGGTCGTGTATGTCTGGGTGACACCTGGGTTGTGTATGTCTGGGTGACACCTGGGTTGTGTATGTCAGGGTGACCCTGGGTCGTGTATGTCTGGGTGACATCTGGGTCGTGTATGTCTGGGTGACACCTGGGTTGTGTATGTCTTGGTGACACCTGGGTTGTGTATGTCTGGTGGCACCTGGGTTGTTTATGTCTGGGTGAAGTCTGAACTGTGTATGTCTGGGTGAAGCCGGGACTGTGTATGTCTGGGTGATGCCTGGACTGTGTATGTCTGGTGACACCTGGGTTGTGTATGTCTGGGTGAAGCCGGGACTGTGTATGTCTGGGTGAAGCCGGGACTGTGTATGTCTGGGTGAAGCCTGGACTGTGTATGTCAGGGTGACACATTGGTTGTACACCTTGGTTGTGTATGTCTGGGTAATGCCTAGACTGTGTATGTCTGAGTGACACCTGGGTTGTGTATGTCAGGGTGACACCTTGGTTGTGTATGTCTGGGTGAAGCCTGGACTGTATATGTCAGGGTGACACCTGGGTGGTGTATGTCTGGGTGAAGCCTGGACTGTGTATGTCTGGGTGAAGACTGGACTGTGTATGTCTGGGTGAAGACTGGGCTGTGTATACTGTAAAGGTTGTTATTTTTGGGAGACTGTTTTATTCACTTTTTTCACGGAATAGATGAAATCACAAAAATTGATTACTTGAAAATGAAAAAAGAATGTAAAATATCCAGTTCATTACTTCTAATAAATACCTTTAACTACAAACTTTTGGTAAAATGATGATAAATTTGAACGATTTTGAATAACCAACTTTGTTATTGTGTTTACAGTTAATCATGTTCATGTTTTTAGGAGGAAGACATTCCTTGGCTTTGACTACTGATGGCAAGGTGTTTTCCTGGGGAGAGGGGGATGATGGAAAATTAGGCCATTTCAGTCGCTGGTCAGTACTTATTTTTTTTTGTTTTTTGCCAAAGCAAAACTGGAAATAAAAAAAAAAATTTGAATTCCTTAAATGAGAACAAGGAACAATTCATATTTTTTTTTTCACTGTGATTCCCAATCCCTCTGAAATACAACTTATAGTATATTTTATGTTTGACCTGTGATATTTTCACACTGTAAACAGAATTTCCAGGATAGAGAACTTATAGATGAGAGTAATTGAAAGAGGAAGGAAAAAAAGGACATTAATATTAATGCATTTTATCAAGATTTTGTTTATCAAAAGTTTGACCTCTCCAAGCCATTGGATGTTATTTTATTGTCACATTTTCTGATTAGAAAACATTTTCAATGTTATGTGTGTAGGAATTGTGATAAACCTCGTCTGATAGAGGCCCTGAAGTCAAAGCGTGTGCGTGATATAGCATGTGGAAGTTCTCATAGCGCTGCCATTACCTCCAACGGTGACCTGTACACCTGGGGACTGGGGGAGTATGGACGACTCGGACATGGAGACAATACTACACAGCTCAAACCAAAACAGGTGAGTAACCCTGTCACATCCCATCAATTTGATAGAAGATCCAAATACATTATTCCAAGCCTGCAAAAATTGGACATTTTTCATTAATGAGGATGGTTTAACAAGCTTAAAAAAAGAAACCTTGATTGGGTGTTAAATTGATGTTTCTTACTAACAATTATTGTGAAAAATCTGAAAATTGAACAGAGGAAATGTTGATATGAAGTATTGAAGATGCGAGCCACACCAGAGACAAAGGTTAAGGAAACAAGACCTCCAACTTGTGAGTACACCTTTATGGTTCCAGGTAAAAGTCCTTGCCAGTCAGCGTGTCATGCAGGTAGCCTGTGGCAGTCGAGATGCACAGACATTAGCTTTAACTGATGAAGGTCTTGTGTACTCCTGGGGAGATGGTGACTTCGGAAAGCTTGGGCGAGGCGGTAGTGAAGGCTGCAATGTGCCACATGAGATTGACCGACTGCGTGGTCTAGGTGTATGTCAGATTGAGTGTGGAGCGCAGTTTTCCCTTGCTCTTACAAAGACTGGCCAGGTTTGGACTTGGTATGTATACAAGGAGTTCTGTGGGATATCCCATGAGAACACATGCATGGAAAGATATGACACGATATTGCAGTGTTTAGCACAGGTCCACCCTAATACTGTAAACTTGTATATATTTTAACAGTAATGTTATTTTAGCACTGTTTTGCAATAAAACAATTGTGGTCAATTATTATTTAAATATGATATAATGGCAGTGTCTTTATGCTGTTTATAAACTTATTATTGCAAATGTCAACTTTATTATTTATTTTCTTATTTGTCAGCAAGTGATTATGTGCCAAGATTTGACTTTGCAAAATTAAGTACATTCGCTAGCATGTTGTCTTTTTCACATAATGTTATTAAAAAAATTCAGAAAATAAAACTGGAGAATTAGTTGTTTCTGATAATCTAATCATGCTTATTAAGTGCTGTTAATTCATCATGAAATGCTTGAAATCCTGTAATCAGGGGAAAAGGAGACTACTTTCGACTGGGACATGGCAGTGATGCCCATGTAAGGAAGCCCCAGCTTGTTGAGGGACTGAAAGGGAAGAAGATAGTACATGTTGCAGTTGGAGCCCTCCATTGTTTAGCTGTAACTGACTCTGGACAGGTAAATTACATTTATATCACTGGACAGGTAAATTACATTTATATCACTGGACAGGTAAGTTACATTTATATCACTGGACAGGTAAGTTACATTTATATCACTGGACAGGTAAGTTACATTTATATCACTTGACAGGTAAGTTACATTTATATCACTTGACAGGTAAATTACATTTATATCACTGTTACATTCATATCACTGGACAGGTAAATTACATTTATATCACTGTTACATTCATATCACTGGACAGGTAAATTACATTTATATCACTGTTACATTTATATCACTGGACATGTTAATTACATTTATATCACTTGACAGGTAAATTACATTTATATCACTTGACAGGTAAATTACATTTATATCACTGTTACATTCATATCACTGGACAGGTAAATTACATTTATATCACTGTTACATTTATATCACTGGACATGTTAATTACATTTATATCACTTGACAGGTAAATTACATTTATATCACTGGACAGGTAAATTACATTTATATCACTGGACAGGTAAGTTACATTCATATCACTGGACAGGTAAGTTACATTCATATCACTGGACAGGTAAGTTACATTCATATCACTGGACAGGTAAGTTACATTTATATCACTGAACAGGTAAGTTACATTTATATCACTGAACAGGTATTTATTTACATCATAGTCAGCCAGGTTTCAGGTGAGGGCACATTTTTCACTGAATTAATTCAAATTTACATTTTAACCAGGGAAAATTGAACCTGCCTCTACATACCACTGTTCATGATTGTGAATGCTGATTTCATTCAAGTGTCAGGTTTAGTTATACCTGTTCTTGGGAAAAGGTTGTGCCAACTTAATTAATTAGAATTAAGAATTAATGTTTCTCCCAAATTTCAGAATTCTTATTTTACCTGATTCACCAATCTGATGTAGATTAGCCGATGGTAAATCTGGATGATTTTACACTTTTCTAATGACCTCTTTAATGATATTATGATCCAACTTGAAGGTTAATCTTATTTATATACAGGTGTATGCGTGGGGAGATAATGACCATGGCCAACAAGGAAACAGTACGACCACAGTTAACCGTAAGCCAGCCCTTGTCCATGGACTGGAGGGATATAAAATCACACGCGTGGCCTGTGGCTCCTCACACAGTATCTCCTGGGCAACAACTGATCTGTCAACCCCTACTTCACATGAACCTGTACTTTTTTCATCCTCCAGAGATCCTCTCGGAGCTTCGCTTCTTGGCAAGTTTAGCCTTTCACACTATCTCAACTTAATAATTGGTATGCCCTTGTTGTTTTATGGAGGGGCATGTAGCATCATCCATGTCCATCCCATCCTGTCCTAAATAATTGTCCACAATCTAGCAAATTCATTTCTGAACATTTGCAAAATTTTGCAGAAGTAAAGTATGATTTTACATTAAAATAACATTCTTTTGTAGCTGTTAACTTGTCATGCACAATTTCTGCGTCAGGTTTGTGGTGATTGATTTTCAGGAAATGGGCTTTGATCTACAATATCATAATCTTTGTTTAGTATCCCTGATTTAATTGGCAGTAATTCATTTGAACAAAGAAATCACACACAAATAAAAGAGGCTATTGTTTTACATACAGTTCCTTGAATGGGTTCTAGGTCAACATTGCTATTTATAGAAGTTTGTCAAACCAAATAACAAAATAATGAAATTGAAACATTGCATGTCTTCGTCTCTACCCATACGTGTTAAAAAGGCTCCTTGTTATAGTTACTGTCATACCCATAAGTATTGAGGACTGACTGCTTGATAAGATTCTATCACAGCCTCAATCAGTACTGGTATGATTACCATGGCGACCATGTTACTGTACAGACAATCACTGACCAAGGCTTGAGGACACTGTACTGATTACCATGGCAACCATGTTACTGTACAGACAATCACTGACCAAGGCTTGGGGACACTGTACTGATTACCATGGCGACCATGTTACTGTACAGACAATCACTGACCAAGGCTTGAGGACATTGTACTGATTACCATGGCAACCATGTTACTGTACAGACAATCACTGACCAAGGCTTGGGGACACTGTACTGATAACCATGGCGACCATGTTACTGTACAGACAATCACTGACCAAGGCTAGGTTACATTGTACTGATTACCATGGCGACCATGTTACTGTACAGACAATCACTGACCAAGCCTTGGAGACATTGTTCTAGTTCATATCTTACAAGAACATCATATTTGTTAACTGCAGACAGTTTGATTGAACTAGTAGAATGGTTGAATACATGTATATGAAAGATTTCTTTACACAGAAAAGTTGATTAATGTAAAATAATGTGAGTTTATTGGATGTGTTGGACAATGTCTGTGTTGTGTTAGCTGATTGGCCAATAGTACAATGTATTTACTCTCTGTATGAACAGGTATGAATGAGAGTGTCACAGATGATGCCCATTCTTCAGCACCTTCACCATCCACGCAGACCACTAAAGTGATTCGTCCTTCACTCGCCAAGATCATTCTATCACAAGAGACAGATCTCGCCAAACAACAGGCTCTTAACCATGTTCTGACAGCGCTACAGATCACTTATGCCAGGTAACTGTCCCAAACCATGTCAGTTAGTGCTTAATAACAATAAATAATTAATAGATACATTATGTATTTTACAACAATTACAAAACAAGCTATCAGCTTATATCAATCACTCTTGTGGGCCTGGATGGATTGGCCTTACTGGACAAGGAAACTGAAGAACCCAGGGAAAATCCATATGGTAAGGCAGGTGACCCATTCCTTTTCACATCCATTCCAGGAATCAACACTTGATGGCTAGTTGTAAGGCGAGTTGTCTAAAACAATAATAGTTTATTATTTTATGGAACTTCATATTCTCTCTATTTTGTTACAGGGACACAATTGTGAACTGTATGTATTCTGTGTGCTATTTACTGTCATTTGATGTTACAGGGACACAATTGTGAACTGTGTGTATTCTGTGTGCTATTTACTGTTATTTGATGTTACAGGGACACAATTGTGAACTGTGTGTATTCTGTGTGCTATTTACTGTCATTTGATGTTACAGGGACACAATTGTGAACTGTGTGTATTCTGTGTGCTATTTACTGTTATTTGATGTTACAGGGACACAATTGTGAATTGTGTGTATTCTGTGTGTATTCTGTGTGTATTCTGTGTGCTATTTACTGTCATTTGATGTTACAGGGACACAATTGTGAACTGTGTGTATTCTGTGTGCTATTTACTGTTATTTGATGTTACAGGGACACAATTGTGAACTGTGTGTATTCTGTGTGCTATTTACTGTTATTTGATGTTACAGGGACACAATTGTGAACTGTGTGTATTCTGTGTGCTATTTACTGTCATTTGATGTTACAGGGACACAATTGTGAACTGTGTGTATTCTGTGTGCTATTTACTGTTATTTGATGTTACAGGGACACAATTGTGAACTGTGTGTATTCTGTGTGCTATTTACTGTTATTTGATGTTACAGGGACACAATTGTGAACTGGTGTATTCTGTGTGTATTCTGTGTGCTATTTACTGTTATTTGATGTTACAGGGACACAATTGTGAACTGTATGTATTCTGTGTGCTATTTACTGTTATTTGATGTTACAGGGACACAATTGTGAACTGTGTGTATTCTGTGTGCTATTTACTGTCATTTGATGTTACAGGGACACAATTGTGAACTGTGTGTATTCTGTGTGCTATTTACTGTTATTTGATGTTACAGGGACACAATTGTGAACTGTGTGTATTCTGTGTGCTATTTACTGTTATTTGATGTTACAGGGACACAATTGTGAACTGTGTGTATTCTGTGTGCTATTTACTGTTATTTGATGTTACAGGGACACAATTGTGAACTGTGTGTATTCTGTGTGCTATTTACTGTTATTTGATGTTACAGGGACACAATTGTGAACTGTGTGTATTCTGTGTGCTATTTACTGTGTGTTATTTGAACTGTGCTATTTACTGTTATTTGATGTTACAGGGACACAATTGTGAACTGTGTGTATTCTGTGTGCTATTTACTGTCATTTGATGTTACAGGGACACAATTGTGAACTGTGTGTATTCTGTGTGCTATTTACTGTCATTTGATGTTACAGGGACACAATTGTGAACTGTGTGTATTCTGTGTGCTATTTACTGTTATTTGATGTGTGTACTGTGTGACACAATTGTGAACTGTGTGTATTCTGTGTGCTATTTACTGTTATTTGATGTAACAGGGACACAATTGTGATCTGTGTGTATTCTGTGTGCTATTTACTGTCATTTGATGTTACAGGGACACAATTGTGAACTGTGTGTATTCTGTGTGCTATTTACTGTTATTTGATGTTACAGGGACACAATTGTGAACTGTGTGTATTCTGTGTGCTATTTACTGTTATTTGATGTTACAGGGACACAATTGTGAACTGTGTGTATTCTGTGTGCTATTTACTGTTATTTGATGTTACAGGGACACAATTGTGAACTGTGTGTATTCTGTGTGCTATTTACTGTTATTTGATGTTACAGGGACACAATTGTGAACTGTGTGTATTCTGTGTGCTATTTACTGTTATTTGATGTTACAGGGACACAATTGTGAACTGTGTGTATTCTGTGTGCTATTTACTGTTATTTGATGTTACAGGGACACAATTGTGAACTGTGTGTATTCTGTGTGCTATTTACTGTTATTTGATGTTACAGGGACACAATTGTGAACTGTGTGTATTCTGTGTGCTATTTACTGTTATTTGATGTTACAGGGACACAATTGTGAACTGTTTAGCAAAAGAACAATTAGCCACACCTATGTCAACTGATCTAAAAATGTCCACCATGTCCACATCGATGACTGTGTCCACTCATCAACCAACAGATCTGACCAATGCACACCCATCTGAGAATTCCGAAGTTGTTGACCACACAGATATTGCTCTGTCCATTGTTGAGTCCACTCACTCTGATGTAAGTGGAGATTTCAGTAAATACAAATACTCTCAATTACTCTTCTTACAGACCATCGTTATAAGATTGTGGCAATGTTTATTTCACAACAAATACTCTTATTGTTATTTCTTAAGAAGGATATGGATTTTAATCTGATTACAAAAGTATCCCAGTGACTATACTTTTAAAGTTATATTGTCTCTCTCTAATTAGGTAGCCATTGGTTTTGTTCCTTTGACAGTTTTAGCTCTATTGAAGCTGAAATATCTGCCAGATTTTTGACCTTTTTGAGTCTGTTTTAATTAGATTTGATGGGGTTATACCATTACCTGATTTCATTATCATTCTATTGATAATCACTGTAAGAAAAAAAAAAGTTAGATTTTCAGATTAAAGATAAAGCCAGAAATAAGCTACAGTATCGTTGAAATTATTTACAACAATGTAATGTCATTGTTTCTTTACAACAGATCAATACTGAAATCCCATCTTTTCCGAGCATGCACAGCCTGGCAGCAAAGGTTTCACCTGCTACTAGTATTATGGCAGAAACATTCACTTCGACAGATCAGGTGACATCAACTATAGAGAAAGTTCCCACATCATTCCCACCAGGATTGGACGAGTTCACAAATCGTCTGACAGCAGATGATTGTCGTGTTCTTGTTGACCTACTTAAGTTATCGGTGGGGTCACGAGTCGGAACGAAAGGTCGGGAGACATTATCAGAGATTCTGACATGTTTGGGAAGGGCATATCCCACTGTAAGTATTCAGGATGGTTTTCAGACTTCTCACTAGAAATTTACAAAAAAAAAATTGTAATTTTTATGAAGATAATTAGCAATAAAAGTAAAGATTTGAAGTATTTCCTTTGAATGAAAATTATATGTAATCTGATGCTTGTTTTTTTGGTTTTTTTTCTCTTGTTTTACAGCTCTGTAAATACGAAAAACACTAAAAATTTAAATGTATTTTAATGTGAACCATTCGGTAATGCTATGTGTGATAACAGGTTTCGGAGATGTTACTGGAACTTTGTGTTACTGAGCTAGAGGATGTAGCTTCAGATAGAGAGACTGGCCGTGCCATGGCACAACCTGTTGTCCAGGAAAGTCCTCATCCCTACATAGACGACACCTCAATGACTGGCCATGTCAAAATACCAGGTAAAGCTGTAAACCTAGATCATTCTAACATTATCAACACTCATCTTCGTACTTGTCAACATTTTTTACTTTACAAGGGACAACTGCTTAAAAATTTCAACTTATCCCAAAAAATGCAATTCCTCTTTCTGACCAAATCAAACTTTGGACAAGATGCTGCCTTTTCTGATGGAATGTTTTAAATGTTGGCCTCAACTTATTGATATCAGGCTCATATGGAACAGCAATTTTTATTGGCTAAGAATCACACCAATATCTTCAACTCCTAGAGGAATCGAGGAAATGGCATCATTTCTGGTAGCAGCTTCACCGTTTTTGTCTACCTGGCTAAGTAATCCCGTATTTGTTAGAAGTGGAGTTATGCCATCCACACGTTTACTGTTTTATTTTAAAATTTTAATCATCTTATGCATAATCAGCACCGTGTTAAACATTTTGTGGAAGATACGAATATTAAGCAGTAAGGGTGAAATAATGTATGCATATGAATTAAGGTTTGTAAAGGTGTTATGTATGGTCGAGTATATATAGATAACTCTCTGATAGCATTGAAGTGATTTCACACTAGAGTCTACAGGCCATTGTATGTATGGGCTACAATTAATTGGAATATTAAAGACTCATTAATGACTTAATAAGGAAATATACTTAGTTGTACTCTCATATAGTTAGAAAATAAATTAAACCTATCCGACACTTGTCCATAGTCATTTCTAAATTTATATCAATCACAGTAGAGTAGCACTCCTGTGCGATAAACTATACATTACATGATGTAGACAGATGTGTGAAAGAAAATTTCACCCAATTTCCCTATCACATTGAACACAGTGCAGACATTTTGCACCCATTGCACATCATGTAACATTGTGATCTCATTACTGTAAAGTGCATTATTGCGTTTTCCCAGATTGTTTCGACATTTTGAGAAGAAATTAAACGTAACGTTTCTGTTAACAAATATTCAACCTGTCCGTCTATTGAAGCTTATGTATGTATCTCTAGGAGCTGAAGCACTTCGTGTGGAATTTGACCGTCGCTGTTCCACAGAACGTCGACATGACCCTCTGACAGTGATGGATGGGTCAAGCCGTGCTGTAGCAACAAGATCCGGTGAGGATATTGCTGAATGTGGTGTTGTGATAGCTTTCTCCTTGATTTTATTCACAATATTTATAGCTAATCTTATGTGTATTTGTTGAAAGACAAGACGGTATTCGTTTATTTTACTTCTCGTTGTTTATGTGACAGGACGAGAATGGTCTGATTGGTCTCAAGAACTAAGGATCATGGGCGATGAATTAAAATGGAAGTTCACCAGTGATGGTTCTGTGAATGGTTGGGGGTGGTGCTTCACGGTCTATCCCATCATGCCAGCTGCTGCACCAATGGACATGTTATCTGACCGTACAATCCTTTCAAGACCTTCCATTGACCTTGTGACCTGCCTGCTGGACTTGAACCTGCAGATGAGTCTGGACAAAGGCATAGTGGCGAGGTTGGCAGCAGCATTGGCTTCTTGTGCTCAGCTCAGCACATTAGGTATGAGTGTAGCTACTGTGTCATACATAAGTGTACCTAGTACAGCAGTTTGAAAACCAAATTTTTTAAGGTGACCTTGGTGTAAGTAATTGAAACCATGTGGATTGGTTTGATTACCTTTTAAAAGATAACAACAGAACACAGATTATGGAGTAACATCATCCTGCCTGAACAGATTCTCCCCAATTTTTTAAAAGTGGCCCAAATTTATCAATATAGACTTAGTGCAATGTTTTTCATTTTCACCAGAAATATTGAGCTGCTAAGACACAGTTTATTTATTGATTAAAAAAATTGTTCAATTGTAAGTTGATGACTGTTATAAGAGGTTACTTTCGTATTCAAATAATTTGAATAAATGTGATTGAAAGATTTGGAGTAGTTTAGATATAACAGTAGGTAATCTTTTTTAGGTGCTAGCCAGAGAATGTGGGCCCTTCAGAAACTACGCAAACTCATGGCTGCTAGTTTTGGTGACCAGTCCATCAACGTCAATGCACTACTGGCCAGTCCTAGTTTGGACAGCCCTGACCAGGAAGTTCCACGCCCTTTTACCATGGTAACTGATGATATCTTTACACAAGTCTTAACTATTTACTGTGATAAACCTTGTACATTTACAAAACATTCACTGTACTATCAACATGACAATATGATAGGAATTGGTGAAGCCAAAAGTCAGTTATGATATTCAGTTTGACTGAAAGAATAATGCTCATTTTAACTCTTTCCTTATGGCATGTTCCATGTGGGTTCCATACTGGATATACTTTTGTCTCTCCCCCAGCAAGTGGAACAAAAATGGCAGTGCCCATGTACATTTTTGGTGTGTTGTATTTTGTTACAATTATTTAACAGGTTAATGTCTAGACATGGCTTTATTAAGTGATAGAGTGTTCAGTTTTTAGCGGATTGTTGACGCTGTTCTTCATCTTTATCTAGACACATCACACTCCTCCATCTATCACATCAATCTGTTTTATAAGTGAGGATCTAGACACATCACACTCCTCCATCTATCACATCAATCTGTTTTATAAGTGAGGATCTAGACACATCACACTCCTCCATCTATCACATCAATCTGTTTTATAAGTGAGGATCTAGACACATCACACTCCTCCATCTATCACATCAATCTGTTTTATAAGTGAGGATCTAGACACATCACACTCCTCCATCTATCACATCAATCTGTTTTATAAGTGAGGATCTAGACACATCACACTCCTCCATCTATCATATCAATCTGTTTTATAAGTGAGGATCTAGACACATCACACTCCTCCATCTATCATGTGTTTATAAGTGAGGATCTAGACACATCACACTCCTCCATCTATCACATCAATCTGTTTTATAAGTGAGGATCTAGACACATCACACTCCTCCATCTATCATATCAATCTGTTTTATAAGTGAGGATCTAGACACATCACACTCCTCCATCTATCATATCAATCTGTTTTATAAGTGAGGATCTAGACACATCACACTCCTCCATCTATCACATCAATCTGTTTTATAAGTGAGGATCTAGACACATCACACTCCTCCATCTATCATATCAATCTGTTTTATAAGTGAGGATCTAGACACATCACACTCCTCCATCTATCATATCAATCTGTTTTATAAGTGAGGATCTAGACACATCACACTCCTCCATCTATCACATCAATCTGTTTTATAAGTGAGGATCTAGACACATCACACTCCTCCATCTATCACATCAATCTGTTTTATAAGTGAGGATCTAGACACATCACACTCCTCCATCTATCACATCAATCTGTTTTATAAGTGAGGATCTAGACACAACACACTCCTCCATCTATCACATCAATGTGTTTTAAAATCCACATCACACTGATTGACATGTTTTATTTCTATCAAACACTATGATCACATCAATGTTTTATAAGTGATTGAGTACACATATCACAATCTGTTTTATAAGTAGGTTCTAGACACATCACACTCCTCCATCTATCACATCAATCTGTATTAAACAGGACTGAACAATGGTATATGTTTGAGGTAACAAGAGTTAAATTTTGTTCATTTATTAAAGGATATTGTGATGTACCTATACACTTTACATAGCAATTGTTCTATCATCACCTGTTAATGAACACGCCTAGCCTAAAGTAAAGTACTTCCTGAAACCAAACTCTGTATATGTTACAGTCCTTGAGTGGATCATCTCTAGCATCTCTTGTAAAGGGTCTCCCAGAGGCTCTACAGCGCCAGTACGAGTACGAGGACCCTATCGTCCGCAGTGGTAAACATCTCATGCATAGTCCATTCTTTAAGGTAATTTACATTTTCATCACAGTATCCTGCAAATGTAAATATTTCTGAGGTTATCTTAAGTACGTTTCTGACTAAATATACTAATGGCAGTGCCTGTGTGTCACTGATACAGCATTTGTGAGTAAACAAATTCGTAGTAGTGCTAATTTGTTTGAAATTAATATTACGCTAAAATTTTGTTGCTCCAAATGTTTACTGTTACTTATGCATTATATATTTTGTCAAGGTGTCTTGCATTCATGGTGGTCAAGCATATTGTGGTGTTCACAATGGGCTGAATTTAAAGACTTAAAGGAAGTTGTAAATTCAGTTGTTTGCTAATCCTGTCCTATTTTTAACTTATAGGTGCTTGTGGCACTTGCCTGTGACTTGGGGCTGGACAATCTACAATGTTGTACAGAGGCTCACAAATGGGTATGGTTCCGTCGTTACTGTACTGCGGCCCGCGTGGCAGCAGCGATGGTGAAGAGGACGACCTTCCCACCTGTGTTTCTGGAGGAGGTCCGTAAAAAGATCAAAGATATATCTGGTGATGGCGAGGAATTCACAAAATCACATGAACAACATACTGTCTTTACACAGGATATGGATGAACAGCTGCTTCTATGGCTAAATAGGTATGTTTACATGAGAACTTTCTGAACAGGTATGTTGACATGAGAACTTTCTGAACAGGTATGTTGACATGAGAACTTTCCGAACAGGTATGTTTACATGAGAACTTTCTAAACAGGTATGTTGACATGAGAACTTTCTGAACAGGTATGTTTACATGAGAACTTTCTGAACAGGTATGTTGACATGAGAACTTTCTGAACAGGTATGTTGACATGAGAACTTTCTGAACAGGTATGTTTACATGAGAACTTTCTAAACAGGTATGTTGACATGAGAACTTTCTGAACAGGTATGTTTACATGAGAACTTTCTAAACAAGTATGTTGACATGAGAACTTTTTAAACAGGTATGTTGACATGAGAACTTTCTGAACAGGTATGTTGACATGAGAACTTTCTAAACAGGTATATTGACATGAGAACTTTCTAAACAGGTGTGTTGACATGAGAACTTTCTAAACAGGTATGTTGACATGAGAACTTTTTAAACAGGTTTGTTGACATGAGAACTTTCTTAACAGATATGTTGACATGAGAACTTTCTGAACAGATATGTTGACATGAGAACTTTCTAAACAAGTATGTTGAACTTTCTTAACAGTGAAACTTTCTCAGTGGTATAAATATATTGTTAAAGATATTTTGTATGTTTCAGTACATTATGAGATAATATTACATATTTTGTAAATCAAAACTATGTTATTTTACTAATAGCAGTAAGCATTCCTTTAGCTGAAACTTCACCTGACCAATAGGTCTTAAACAACACTAAAACGTGGCTTTACCAACAGGTCTTATACTAAACTGACACCTGATTCAACCAACACACGTCTAATACAACACTGAAACTTGACTTGACCAACACATCTAATACAGCACTGAGACTTGATTTGACCAACACATGTCTAATACAGCACTGAGACTTGACTTGACCAACATGTCTAATACAACACTGAGACTTGACTTGACCAACATGTCTAATACAACATTGAGACTTGATTTGACCAACACATGTCTAATACAACACTGAGACTTGACTTGACCAACACATGTTTTATACAACACCAAGACTTGATTTGACCAACACATGTCTAATACAACACTGAGACTTGATTTGACCAACACATGTCTAATACAACACTGAGACTTGATTTGACCAACACATGTCTAATACAACACTGAGATTTGACTTGACCAACACATGTCTAATACAACACTGAGATTTGACTTGACCAACACATGTCTAATACAACACTGAGACTTGATTTGACCAACACATGTCTAATACAACACTGAGACTTGATTTGACCAACACATGTCTAATACAACACTGAGATTTGACTTGACCAACACATGTCTAATACAACACTGAGACTTGACTTGACCAACACATGTTTTATACAACACCAAGACTTGATTTGACCAACACATGTCTAATACAACACTGAGACTTGATTTGACCAACACATGTCTAATACAGCACTGAGACTTGATTTGACCAACACATGTCTAATACAACACTGAGACTTGACTTGACCAACACATGTCTAATACAACACTGAGACTTGATTTGACCAACACATGTCTAATACAACACTGAGATTTGACTTGACCAACACATGTCTAATACAACACTGAGATTTGACTTGACCAACACATGTCTAATACAACACTGAGACTTGACTTGACCTACACATGTTTTATACAACACCAAGACTTGATTTGACCAACACATGTCTAATACAACACTGAGACTTGACTTGACCAACACATGTCTAATACAACACTGAGACTTGATTTGACCAACACATGTCTAATACAACACTGAGACTTGACTTGACCAACACATGTCTAATACAACACTGAGACTTGATTTGACCAACACATGTCTAATACAACACTGAGGCTTGATTTGACCAACACATGTCTAATACAACACTGAGACTTGACTTGACCAACATGTCTAATACAACATTGAGACTTGATTTGACCAACACATGTCAAATACAACACTGAGACTTGACTTGACCAACACTTGTCTAATACAACACTGAGACTTGACTTGACCAACACATGTTTTATACAACACCAAGACTTGATTTGACCATCACATGTCTAATACAACACTGAGAATTGACTTGACCAACACATGTTTTATACAACACTGAGACTTGACTTGACCTACACATGTTTTATACAACACTGAGACTTGACTTGACCTACACATGTCTAATACAACACTGAGAATTGACTTGACTAACATGTCTAATACAACACTGAGACTTGACTTGACCAACACATGTCTAATACAACACTGAGACTTGATTTGACCAACACATGTCTAATACAACACTGAGACTTGACTTGACCAACACATGTTTTATACAACACCAAGACTTGATTTGACCAACACATGTCTAATACAACACTGAGACTTGACTTGACCATCACATGTCTAATACAACACTAAGACTTGACTTGACCATCACATGTCTAATACAACACTGAGACTTGACTCGACCATCACATGTCTAATACAACACTAAGACTTGACTTGACCAACACTTGTCTAATACAACACTGAGACTTGACTCGACCATCACATGTCTAATACAACACTGAAACTTGACATGACCTACACATGTCTAATACAACACTGAGACTTGACTCGACCATCACATGTCTAATACAACACTGAAACTTGACATGACCTACACATGTCTAATACAACACTGAGACTTGACTTGACCATTACTTGTCTAATACAACACTGAGACTTGACTCTTTAGAGTTATTAGAAGTTCTTCATTGTTGAAATTAGTTAAAATTGATTGGGTGTGTCCACTTTGAATGCCAATGGTGTATATGTCAATTTATTTGTAATTTGAACACAGATTCTGTTTTTGATGAACATTGAATAACAGGTGAGTGATGTAGGCCATTTTAGCATCTTGTTTTTAACTCAGGAAACCAGAGGACTGGACGCTGTCTTGGGGAGGAAGTGGTCAGATTCTTGGCTGGGGTCACAACCACAGAGGTCAGCTGGGCGGTGTTGAGGGGGCAAAGGTCAAATTACCAATCAGCTGTGAATCTCTGGCTAATCTCAGGCCTGTACAATTAATTGGAGGAGAACAGACTTTGTTTGCCATTACAGCAGAAGGAAAGGTACAGTATTTTTTAACTGCTTCTACTGTTTTGTTATCAGATTGTAAAAATTTGAAATCATACTTTTTCTACAAGGCAAATTCTAATAAAATACAGTAAAACATGTTTATAATGAATCTCTGGGAGCCAAGAGAATCTGTTTGGTATATACATAGTTTGTTACACACTTGTAACAAATTTAGGAGAAATGATTCATTGTGAGAATATAAAGAAATAACTGGACTGACAACAACACTGTCCTCACATACTGAACAACACACAATAATATGTCTTGTAAAATATTCCAACCACCTAGTGTTAGATTCTAAGTCAGTGTCTCCAAGTTGTTTTGCGAATTAGTCAGATTTTGTCAATAAAATATGCCAGAATATTTTGCCTCATTTTTTTGCTCGCCTGGCCCTTTGGGTCTAGTGAGCTTTTGCCATGGTGCAGCATTCAGCGTTGGCCTGGTGTCAACTTTTTCTTTTAAATAACTTCTTCTCAATAACCAATGGACCAAATATTTTGATATTTGGTTGGTATGTTCCTAGGATGAAGCCCTACAAAGTTTGTGGAAAGAAATGACCTTGACACATATTCATTGATTTGTTGATGATTTGATACTTAGTTTTAACAGTAATGGCCTTTCTCTTACAAGATGAAAATGATGAAGCTATTTCCACACTAACTACAACTAAGATAGGTGGTTTTTTTATTATTTTATAAAAAAAGTTTAGTAACTCCAAACTCTTTATGCAATAGAATAGGTCTGTATAACAACAATTTAAAATTACCTGGACACAGGTATCAGTAGTTGTAAACATATGTATGACACACGCTACTGTCAGAGTGCTAGAGTCACCACTATGACACCAGCCTGAAGGCCACTACGTTATATGGTCACTAATTAACATGATATTTACTTGATTGGACCTAGAAGTTGCTCCGTTTTAGACATGAATTTGCTTTGTGATAATCTTTTTACTTTTTGAAATTTACGTACAAATGATAGGGCACTTGTGGGGGAATGAGCCATAAATGGTGTTTTCTTCAATTCTTAGGTCTTAAATGTTAGATATGATGTGGTTTGATGTTTTTACAATTCCAACACTTCTGTCAATGAATTTGAAATAAGAACATCAACATAGTTACTTTGTATGTTGCCATCAAAGTTTGTAAAATAATGTACATTGTTTCTCCAAAGGTGTATGCCACAGGATATGGAGCAGGTGGCCGCCTGGGAATCGGTGGCACAGATTCAGTCTCTAATCCTACACTGTTAGAGTCAATACAGCATGTGTTTATCAGGAAACTGGCCGTCAACTCAGGAGGCAAACATTGTCTAGCCCTGTCTGCTGAAGGGGAGGTGTACTCCTGGGGTGAAGGAGAGGATGGAAAGCTGGGGCATGGAAATAGAAGGTACAGAGTAATATCATTATACAATTAAAAACAAACTGGCTGAATAAGACACGGAAGTTACCTCTAATTTGGTTACTGTTCATTACATGATGTCTTAAAATAATCATAGTTGCCACCATGTCCATCAGTCTGTCTTTTTGTCTGTCCTTTTGTGTCCCAAGCATAACTATGCCCACTGTTAAGCAAGGATCACGTTACTTGATGTACATATTGGTCATACTGCCACCCCTTAATTACAGAATTTATTTCCCTTTGGTAAAATTTTGTGTCCAATATAGTCATTTTCTTGGAGCATTTATCAGTTTCACTGATTGTCTTTTGATTTATTATTATCAGTACTGCACCGGGAATGCATACCTAACCTGGATATACAAAAATCAGACTTACAGCTATGTATTAAGTGCATTCTAAAGGCTAATTTAGTGTACATGATGGAATATTATATTTTCTTAAGGTAGGAATTGGAAATATTATAATCTAAATCCTTCATAAAGCAAGTGGGATTCATATTTTTTTCACATTTCAATCTAGTACTTTCAAAAATGAAAATAAGAACAAAATATGAACCTGATGGTGGCAAAAAATATGCTTAATTCTTAAAAATCCTTTTTCGGCACAAGTGTTTCATAAAGTCTGTTGATCATGTTTTTATCAGACCTGTTTTCTTTGCCCTGCAGTCCATGTGACCGCCCACGTGTAATTGATTCTCTGCGAGGTAAGGAGGTGGTGGACATTGCAGCAGGTGGAGCCCACAGTGCTTGTATAACCTCCAGTGGGGAACTGTACACCTGGGGCAAAGGACGTTATGGACGTCTGGGCCATGGGGATAGTGAAGACCAGCCTCGCCCCAAACTGGCAAGTCCTACTAATACCCTGAGAAAATTAAATCTTTGTGGAGTTAATGGGACAGATAATGAAAGATGTTGAAGCTGTCGTGTTAAAACATCACCTTGTAATTGTTACAACTACTGTATTGTTAAATTTTGCACTGATGATATTTTGTGGTTGTCTGTTTTTGGGGCTAGTTCTCAAAAATTTAACTTTGGCTTCACTGCCTTTTGTTGTTTACATGACAGAATATGGATCGGTATACATATATATACAGATATATCAAATCTATATGGTGATGTTTTTCACTGTGAAATATTTACTACATGTTTAATCTTTAACGACTAAGAATTCAGTGAAATTTGATTCCATGCAAATATTTATCCCTTTACATTATTGTTCTCCAGTTAGATTGTCACCACCTGTTCAAGCAAATGTGTGTGATTTAATATACAAGTGAAACATTCAGTATTCCTTATATCAGTATACTCAGTCAGGTGAGATTCTTTGTCTGGTATGATTGACAGGTAGAGGCAATGAAAACTCACCGTGTCATAGATATGGCTTGTGGAAGTGGCGACGCCCAGACTCTCTGTATCACCGACGATGATAATGTATGGTCCTGGGGTGATGGCGACTATGGCAAGCTGGGTAATTAGACAATCAATTTCAATTGTAGTTATTAAATCAAAATGGTATTTATTCAGAAATTTTCATTTCTTTAAAAAAATCTAGGATTTGGTAATTATAAATTCTTTGCATTGATTGTAGGTATGTGTGTAGCTCTATAGATATGGCTTTCTCTATATTGATACAGTCATGCAATATATAGTGGCTTTCAAATGTTCCTTTATACACCTACAGGGCGTGGGGGAAGTGATGGTTGTAAGGTACCAATGAAGATTGACTCTCTACAGGGTCTGGGTGTGATGAAGGTTGAGTGTGGCTCGCAGTTCTCTGTAGCTCTCACCAAATCAGGGGCTGTGTATACATGGTATGTTATCACAATTTTGGCCGATTGTTCAGTGTGGGTATTACTTGACAATGAGATTATGCTGTTGTTTTAGTTCTCTGATAAATAACAAAAAGGTATTCACAAACATGGTCTTTGAAATATAACGTAAATTGAGATACTTAATAGCTATGAGAGAAGTACTGACTTTTTGTCACAGATACAAATCAATGTTAATTCGGTATACAAACACATTGTCATATTGAGCTATTACTCTAGCTATGTGTTGCTATAGCTGTTGTTCTGTGTGTCAGGGGCAAGGGAGACTATCACCGCCTCGGACATGGAACTGATGATCACGTACGTCGGCCTCGACGTGTGTCTGCACTACAGGGCAAAAAGGTCATCGATGTTGCGTGTGGCTCACTTCACTGTGTAGCGTGTACAGATGCAGGTATGGGCATGTGGGGATGATTTGTTTGTTTATATTTACATTCACAATGATTTTTTTTTCAGTTTTAACTTTTGTCTAATTGAATATTTTTATATTCTTATGTAAGCAATCCTACATGCAGGTGTTAGTACAAAATCTTGTATATCTCAGTACATGTGATTCCATCGATACAGGATAGGAGGTATATCTTTGTGAGTCCCAGCTCACTTTGTTTTTATTCTAAGTCATCAAAATACAAAATATTGTTATACATATCTGTACAGGTGTATACTGGGGAGACAAAGTCATCAAAATACAAAATATTGTTATACATATATGTACAGGTGTATACCTGGGGAGACAAAGTCATCAAAATACAAAATATTGTTATACATATCTGTACAGGTGAGGTGTATACCTGGGGAGACAAAGTCATCAAAATACAAAATATTGTTATACATATCTGTACAGGTGAGGTGTATACTGGGGAGACAAAGTCATCAAAATACAAAATATTGTTATACATATCTGTACAGGTGAGGTGTATACCTGGGGAGACAAAGTCATCAAAATACAAAATATTGTTATACATATCTGTACAGGTGAGGTGTATACCTGGGGAGACAAAGTCATCAAAATACAAAATATTGTTATACATATCTGTACAGGTGAGGTGTATACTGGGGAGACAAAGTCATCAAAATACAAAATATTGTTATACATATCTGTACAGGTGAGGTGTATACCTGGGGAGACAAAGTCATCAAAATACAAAATATTGTTATACATATCTGTACAGGTGAGGTGTATACCTGGGGAGACAAAGTCATCAAAATACAAAATATTGTTATACATATCTGTACAGGTGAGGTGTATACCTGGGGAGATAAAGTCATCAAAATACAAAATATTGTTATACATATCTGTACAGGTGAGGTGTATACTGGGGAGACAAAGTCATCAAAATACAAAATATTGTTATACATATCTGTACAGGTGTATACTGGGGAGACAAAGTCATCAAAATACAAAATATTGTTATACATATCTGTACAGGTGAGGTGTATACCTGGGGAGACAAAGTCATCAAAATACAAAATATTGTTATACATATCTGTACAGGTGTATACTGGGGAGACAAAGTCATCAAAATACAAAATATTGTTATACATATCTGTACAGGTGTATACCTGGGGAGACAAAGTCATCAAAATACAAAATATTGTTATACATATCTGTACAGGTGAGGTGTATACCTGGGGAGACAATGATGAAGGACAACTTGGGGATGGTACCACTAATGCTATACAGAGACCTCGCCTTGTAGCAGCTCTTCAGGGTAAGTATCAGTTTACTTGTATTATAAAATGGGCAGTACTTTGCAACTTCAAAACACAGGATCTTGGTATGGAGCACTTTTAAGATACAGTATGAGAAGGTCCTTCATTACAAAACAGGTTACTTTGTCCTCCATGTGATCTATTGATTATAATATGTTATAACCCATACAGAAAAAAGTACACAAAAGTATGTTTTAATGTACACAATAAGGTGTACACAATAAGGTGTACACAATAAGGTGTACTTTAATGTACACAATAAGATGTACACAATAAGGTGTACTTTAATGTACACAATAAGGTGTACACAATAAGGTGTACTTTAATGTACACAATAAGGTGTACACAATAAGGTGTACTTTAATGTACACAATAAGGTGTACACAATAAGGTGTACTTTAATGTACACAATAAGGTGTACACAATAAGGTGTACTTTAATGTACACAATAAGGTGTACACAATAAGGTGTACTTTAATGTACACAATAAGGTGTACACAATAAGGTGTACTTTAATGTACACAATAAGGTGTACACAATAAGGTGTACACAACTTATTGTGTACACAATAAGGTGTACTTTAATGTACACAATAAGGTGTACACAATAAGGTGTACTTTAATGTACACAATAAGGTGTACACAATAAGGTGTACTTTAATGTACACAATAAGGTGTACACAACTTATTGTGTACACAATAAGGTGTACTTTAATGTACACAATAAGGTGTACTTTAGTGTACTTTAATGTACACGATAAGGCATACTTTATGTTGTAAGTTTCCCACTGATGCCTTCATCAAAATTGTTCTGATGACAACTCGCCCTTGAGTCAAAACATGTAAACAACACTGTCATTAAATTCAGATCAAAACAAGAAGCTTCTGTGTTGGGGAGGGGGTGGGGGGTGGGGGTTGTTGGTTGATGTTAGACTGAGGAAGTCAAAATAAAACCATTACTCAGCTATTTATAGGAAATCACCCACAGACTTGAGAGCTTGGTGTTCATTTTCTTTTTTAGGAATATTTTCTAGATAATGCAGTGTGTTCAATTTTGTTAGAGCAGTTGTTAAGAGTAAATGTTAAAACCATAGTAACGCTAAAAGATATTACTACAAAGCACTGTACATGGCAGATAGTAACTCCTCCAAATAACATGCTTTGCTTGGTTTCTCAGGAAAGAAGATAAATCGTGTGGCTTGTGGCTCTGCCCACAGTCTGGCTTGGTCTACTAATAAACCGGTGAGTGCAGGGAAGTTACCATCAGCAGTTCCGATGGAGCATAACCTTCTTCAAAGTGTGCCAATATCGGCCCTGAGGAACCGCCTTGTCCTACTTCACCACTTTTCTGATCTCTTCTGTCCATCCATTCCAATGTTTGACCTACAGGATAGGAATATGTCGGAGACATCAGATGATAGTGTTCGTGGGCTGGACAGTCTGAGAGGTGTTATTGTGTCATCAGCAAAGGTAGGGTGTCCTAATGATATGGGGATATTTTCCTTGTGTCAATAACTAAAGCTTGTGAAGTCAATAGGTCACAGACAAGTCATGGTGACTGTGCCATGTCTGTATATAGTGACAATCATCAGTAGGTCACAGACAAGTCATGGTGACTGTGACATGTCTGTATGTAGTGACAATCATCAGTAGGTCACAGACAAGTCATGGTGACTGTGCCATGTCTGTATATAGTGACAATCATCAGTAGGTCACAGACAAGTCATGGTGACTGTGACATGTCTGTATGTAGTGACAATCATCAGTAGGTCACAGACAAGTCATGGTGACTGTGCCATGTCTGTATATAGTGACAATCATCAGTAGGTCACAGACAAGTCATGGTGACTGTGCCATGTCTGCATGTAGTGACAGTCATCAGTAGGTCACAGACAAGTCATGGTGACTGTGACATGTCTGTATGTAGTGACAATCATCAGTAGGTCACAGACAAGTCATGGTGACTGTGCCATGTCTGTATATAGTGACAATCATTAGCAGGTCACAGACAGGTCATGGTGACTGTGCCATGTCTGTATATAGTGACAATCATAAGTAGGTCACAGACAAGTCATGGTGACTGTGACATGTCTGTATATAGTGACAATCATCATGTTTTTGTAAGCTGAATTTGACAAGGCTAAATAGTGATTTATAGAGCTAATGCTATTGAGAAAAGAAAACAAATGAAAAAAACATACACTCAAGTTAAAGTTCCTTCTTCAATGTAGTGACAGTATCGCAGGCTTTAAACGATTTGATGGAAGAAGTATTATAACTGTATGTTAATTCTTAAATATGCTTCACTTAGCATAACCTTCTTATTTTATACAAATATGCAGAATTTAATTTCAATTTCAGGACAATTTTGTCACTGTCACATCTACGTATTCAAAATGATACATCGTTTGCAATGCTTAATTCCTTAATACCTATGATGCTTGTGGTTATCAGGAAACAGCCTTCAGAAAGGTGGTACAGGCTACAATGGTACGGGACAAACAACATGGGCCTGTGGTAGAACTCAACAGGATACAGGTGAGGATCACACCCTACTACAGGGCACAATGTGGTTGTAGAAACCTCAGAATATCCAGCAGTCATTATCCCCAGCAAATTAAATTTTATCATGAAATATCATAATGACTGAAACAATTATTTATTGAAAAAAAATCAGTCCTTATTGCAATGACGGATGAAATAAAAAATATCACAGTGTCTGTCCATCGTTCGCCCATCCATCAATTTTTTCCACAAAAGGCTACTAGTCATGAAAGATCTAGCGGAATTTGACCAATTTTTGTCAGGAGCATTCTTGGGGAAAGGGGAACAAATTTCATGTAAACAGTGGGTGTCGGCTCCCTACGGCCTGAGGGACAAGGGCTCAAATGGGGAAATACAGCAAGTTGCTTAACATCCTACTCCTGCTATAGGAATGATTGCATTTTGACCAAATGTGATCTGAAGCATTGCTAGGGAAGGGAAATTAATTTTGCATAAACGGTGGGTTTCAGCCCCTTGGGGCGGGAGGCGTGAGGCCCTATAAGGAAATAGAGCATATTCTTTAAAATCCTACTCCTCCTGTAGGAACGTGTTTACATAGGCCTATATATCCAAATATTTGTGATACTAACATGGATTCTATTTTTGATGAACATTGAATACCATAGGGCCCTTGTCCTCTCTTGAAATACACTTTGAAGATTTTTTAATTTTACTTCATTACAAATATTGGTTTATCTTAGACAAAAATATCACCTCTTCACTTGTTACCATTCTTGTGTAGGTTCAACAGGATGAAATACATCACAGATGAAGGCAGATTTAACAGATATGATAAAAAGTGTGTAATTTCAGGATTTGTGAGTTGCTCTAAGTCTGTCCTCTATCCACATTGTTTAGGTGAAACGGTCACGGAGTAAAGGTGGTCTGGCAGGACAAGATGGCATGAAAGCAGTGTTTGGTCAGATGAGTTGTAAGCTTGATGTGTTTGGTCAAGACAGCCTGATGCTGCCTCATCGTGTTTGGAAGGTCAAGTTTGTAGGTAAGGTCATGAGCTTGGAAGGTCAACAGGTAAGGTCACATGTCTATAGATTAAGTTTATAGTTAAGGTCATATGTCTGAAAGATCAGATTTGCCGGTAAGGCCATATCTCTGAAAGGTCAAGTTTGTAGGTAAGTTCACAGATGGCCAATGATCAAGTTTGTATATAAGTATAATAACCTGTTTCTGAGACAAAATATGAACACTTATTTTTTGCAACCTAACATCAGACATAAAAGTATATTTTTTCTTATTATTGCGATGTTTTTAAGAGCTATTGATGTGACAAGAAAATAATTTTATGACTTTCAACCCCTACTACTCTAGGTCTGTGTAATGAACATAAATCTACATCTGATGTAGTACTTTGTACATCTTTTCTCCATTGTCACTACTGTGGAACTTTTGTTCTTATCATCTGTTTGATGTTCTTTTTTACCTGGTTGACCTTTGTGACACGTCCAATCACTGTACAACATTTTCATCTCCATCTATCTAACAGCAGTTAGACCTCTATATTGTCATTTGACTCTTGTAATCTATTACAGGAGAAAGTGTGGATGACTGTGGAGGTGGTTATAGTGAATCAATAGCCGAGATGTGTGACGAGCTTCAGAATGGTTCTCTCCCCTTACTCATCATGACTCCTAACGGCCGAGATGAATCTGGAGCCAACAGAGACTGTCACCTTTTGAACCCTATGCTAAACACTGTGCAACATATGTCCATGTTCAGGTTTCTTGGTAAGTTACACTCACATTTAAACTTCAATGTGAAAATCTGTTTCTGACAGTAACTTGTTGGTGATTGCTGATAGCTGTTTATCAACTGTTGTTTTCTACATTAAAGGTGTTCTGTTCGGGATTGCCATCAGGAGTGGAAGTCCCCTCAGTCTAAATATAGCTGAGCCTGTCTGGAAGCAGCTGGCAGGGATGACCCTTACAATAGCTGATCTGACTGAAGTGGACAAGGACTTTGTGCCAGGTACATGATTAACTGTAATCTAATATTGACTAACTGTTCTTAAGGTGGTAGAGGATAGATGTATCCGTTATTTGATTATATCATTGGAAATGTATATGATGTTAAAAGTTTTAAGATGATCCTGATCTTTTCTGGATCGGGGAATCTGGTGAGGTGCTCTTTTTATTATTATTATTATTATTTTTTTTTTTTTTTTCAATTCAAGATGACCTACTGCTATCGTTTATTTCTTGTATTAGCGCGCCATGTACTGTCCACTGTTGATAAACTGTTCCATTAAAACGCTACTCCTGCTGAGCGCCTGTGCAGATTTCTTCCAAATTTGGATTGAAACATGATTGGGTGTGAGGAACCATTTCTTGAATTCAGAAAGTTCATTTGACCCCTAGGGAACTGGGGATGGGGCCCTCACAAGGACAGTTAGGCAATACTTAGGTTCAAAACGCTTATCTTCCTTATTACTGGAATGGATTTTAACCAATTGTCTGAAACATCATTAAGAGTCAGAAATCATGTCTTAAATTCAATTCCTAGGGACTTGAGGGCAGGGCTCTAAAAGGATTTGTTAAGGAAAAGAAAGAGATGATATGTTTTTATTTTTCAGCTTGGTCAAAACTTCAACATGGTAACCACAGTAGCCATTTTGTAACATGATTGCACAATTGTTTTTCATGAACAGAACTTACCATTTATGAGCTTCTGATACTTTTAAGGAATGTTTATATTTAAATTCATCAGATTTGTCAGACCACCATCTGTAAATTCTGTGGTTTGTCCATGCGTTTATTGATTATCAGATGATTGTTAAGGGCCATAGTCATCTTGTTTCTTGTTACGGTATTAATTACAGGTCTGATGTGTATAAAAGAGATGGATGATACGTCCCTTACTGCTGCGGAGATGCCGTTTAGTGTGCCGAGCTCCTCAGGCCAGGAAATCAATCTTAGCTCAAAATATGCACGAATCACACCAGAGAACAAAGCAGAGTTCATACGACTAGCCATTACCTACAGGTAGATATCATTATATATAAATGTTTTGTCTGACTTAAATACATAAGCATACTTTGTAAATTCTGTTAAGATTGCTGGCTGATGTTCTCATAATTCAAAGTCTAATTAAACCTTGTAATGAAGCCACAATTTCTGATTAGCATCATAAATTTACATGTCAGCCTTCACTTTCCTTTATTTCTTTATTGACTAATCATGCTATTTTGAACAAACAAATTTATATAGGTAACAGTGCATTAAATGTAAGGTATTTTGTGCTTGAGTGGAATTTCACCTGCAAATAGAAATAAGAAAAATTGATGATGTTTATTGAGATTTATAAGAAATATAAATAGGGTTATTATATTTTCTGAGAAAAACTTGACCCATGTTTTCTTTCAGACTTCATGAATTTGATGAGCCAGTGAAGTGGATACGAGAAGGCATGACAAAGGTGATTCCAGCAGCCCTACTTTCTCTGTTTACTGGACTGGAGTTGGAGACCATGGTAGGTGTATAAACATAGAACCTTGCTAGGAGCCCACAGTTATACAGTCTCTTTGTTCCGAAATTAAATTTGAGACCATACATATGATATTTTACTTGTTTAACTTTTTAGTCAATTTTGATTTTTAGACTCACTGATACCAGAGTATTTATACATGTACGTGTTGTCTGGCTACGGACAGTTTTCTGTGTTTAGTCATTAACTGTGTCACTTCAATACAAGACAGAAAGAGATGTATAATCTGTTGTTTTGTGTGTGTTAGCCCTGATAAATTTAATCTGTTGTTTGGTGTATGTTAGCCCTGATATATTTAATCTGTTGTTTGGTGTATGTTAGCCCTGATATATTTAATCTGTTGTTTTGTGTGTGTTAGCCCTGATATATTTAATCTGTTGTTTTGTGTTGGTAGGTGTGCGGCAGCCCTGATATATTTAATCTGTTGTTTTGTGTTGGTAGGTGTGCGGCAGCCCTGATATATTTAATCTGTTGTTTTGTGTGTGTTAGCCCTGATATATTTAATCTGTTGTTTGGTGTATGTTAGCCCTGATATATTTAATCTGTTGTTTTGTGTGTGTTAGCCCTGATAAATTTAATCTGTTGTTTTGTGTTGGTAGGTGTGCGGCAGCCCTGATATATTTAATCTGTTGTTTTGTGTTGGTAGGTGTGCGGCAGCCCTGATATTCCTCTGAACCTACTTAAATCTGTAGCCACATACAAAGGTATAGATGCCACAGCACCACTTGTACTCTGGTTCTGGGAAGTCATGGAGGATTTTACTAACACAGAGCGTTCACTGTTCCTTCGTTTCGTCTGGGGACGTACTCGTCTTCCTCGCACCATTGCAGATTTCCGAGGACGTGACTTTGTATTACAAGTAAGTGCTTACACTTTCCATTTCTCAACTATTTCCTCAATCTTCATCACGGTTTCTTTGAATTTAATGGTGTATTTGTCAAACAGCTAATATTTATAAAGTGACTGGTATGAATGAGTTATCTCCATGTGGTGATTTGTTGTAGGTTCTGGATAAGTACAGCCCCCCTGATCACTTCCTTCCAGAGAGTTACACTTGCTTCTTCCTTCTCAAAATGCCACGCTACTCTTGTAAAATTGTGTTACGGGAAAAACTGAAGTATGCCATCCACTTCTGTAAGTCAATTGATACAGATGACTATGCTCGTGTGGCACTGACGGGAGAACTCTTAGACGAAGACACTCCAGATGTTAGCGAGGATATGGAAGACCTGGAAAGTATGGACTCTGAAGGCGAGATCGCTGATTCCGATTGCAGTCTGTGATAAAAATTATCATTAGTTTTACATAATCAACCCAGTGATTCAAGAAAGATAACTCCTCTGAAAAGATTCTTGCTTTCATGTTTGGATCAAGAATCAGTAGAATATTTCAAAAATCAGATCACCACTAAATATTTCCGAGGAATTATCAGTGACAGATGAAAAACTCAGAGCTTCATTTCCATCAAAACACCAACTCCACCATGAAGTAGGAGAGATCTGTCACCGAGTATTCTTTAAGTTGGGGGAAAACTTTCCTGAGTGAAAATAGAGGATTTCATATATCATTGTTTATACTAGTCCACTGTTGTATATGTATACCAGAACTGAAGTGCTCATTAAGCATTGATAACATGGTTTTTTTGTTTTGTTTTTTTGATGAGTCGTCGCTGTTGTAGTGCTAATCCATACAATATAATGTACAGGTATACACTTTAGAAAAGGTCCCCCAAGATTGCCTACAAATCTTCTGTACATTGTTTAAGAAGAAAACTTATATTACCATATAAGGTATTGTGTTGAAACAGTATTAGGCCAAGCAAACAATTGTTTTGTTTCTAAATTTTGGTTCTCAAGAAATAGGTTTCATTTGGTAGGTAAGCTTCCTATTGTGAATTATACTTCTGGAAAGTGAGATTTGTTACAGGTATGGAAAGGAAACAGTTTGTATACTCCAAATTAAATCAGAGTCTATAATTAAATGATCATTTGTTTGCTCACACTGGTCGAAGGGAGACAACTCGAGTCCCATTAACTGGTATCATTTAATGATAGAGAAATGTTGTGATAAGTGTTCATATAAATGAAAGTACAATGTAATTTTTTTTTTTAAGTTTTAGAAATGATGACCTCGGTATAGTTTGGTTTTTTATTTCATTCATATTCATTTTAATATTTTTGACATTGTGAATTTTTCACGCTTTTACATAGACGACATCTTAATAATTCAATGTTATTATTATGAGTCCTTGCATTAAGTGTAATGAAATATTTTCATATGGAAATCGTTTTCAGGAAATATGTGAGGTCAGGTCCTGAGAAATTAAAAGTTTTCCATTGAAAACGATTTTTAAAATTGATTAGTATAAAGCAATCTAACAAGAATGACTATAAGTTTTCCATCTGTATGTTTTGTTTATAACTTGTCGTCTATCAATGCTCATTAAGAAATACCTAGTCCTTGATTAAAAATTGGTGATCATTTATACGTGTACTTACATTCCCCTGATTAACCTACCCCACACAATGACATTTGTCTGTCGACATCAGTACGCACACATTCCCCTTATTAACCTACCCCACACAATGACATTTGTCTGTCAATATCAGTACCCACACATTCCCCTTATTAATCTACCCCACACAATGACATTTGTCTGTCAACATCGGTACCCACACATTCCCCTTATTAACCTACCCCACACAATGACATTTGTCTGTCAACATCGGTACCCACACATTCCCCTTATTAACCTACCCCACACAATGACATTTGTCTGTCAATATCGGTACCCACACATTCCCCTTATTAACCTACCCCACACAATGACATTTGTCTGTCAATATCGGTACCCACACATTCCCCTTATTAACCTACCCCACACAATGACATTTGTCTGTCAATATCGGTACCAACACATTCCCCTTATTAACTTACCCCACACAATGACATTTGTCTGTCAATATCGGTACCCAAACATTCCCCTTATTAACCTACCCCACACAATGACATTTGTCTGTCAATATCGGTACCAACACATTCCCCTTATTAACTTACCCCACACAATGACATTTGTCTGTCAATATCGGTACCCAAACATTCCCCTTATTAACCTACCCCACACAATGACATTTGTCAGGACCGTGAATACCAATGTTAAAATCAATAATCATGGTAATGTTGACAGTAAACTGTTGAAGAGTATGTACAGTGGAATGGCTTTTTTATGTACAGTATCACCTGCATCAGATCGAAGATCATTTTAGTTAAATAAATTTATCTCCACATGCAGGAAATGAAAATTCAATTACAGATAATTTGATAAGTTTAGATATGACATGTTTGATTTTATCAACAAATATATCATTATGAACTATCATACTACAAGATGTTTATTTACAAAGCTGGTTAATTCTTACAATTGTAAATAATAAATCTTTAAGTTCACTTAAGTATTGCACCTGTAATATACAAATAAGGTCTTAAATGGCCAATTATATGGGTCGCCATAACTAGACTGCCCAGTTTTTTATCAGCAAATTGAAATTGTCCTTGTGGATTACCTATTGAATCTAAGAGTGTTAAATTATATACCGGTCACTTGATGATATTTTTGATATTAGGTGTGTAGATATAGGTATCGGCTTTACGATTGGTTGAAAGGAAACAGGTCTACACAGATCCGTTTATAATTATCACCTTAAACATTTCTGCAGTCGTTGTTGTGTTGATGTCAGACATGCAGTAAAACAACACCATTGTGGATATATCAGTTGTAAACAATGTGTCACGTTATCGCCCAATTTATAATTTACCTGATGAGTGCCAGCCATTTTGAAGGGTTTCCTGTTGTTTTTCAGGACTATTTATCAATAACGTTATATATTTCATTGTCAATATAAAGTTACATTGAATGTCATTCATTTCATTGCTGTGTACAAAGCTATGTGATAACGTAGGGCCCCTGCATTCTCAGTATCATGTTTACAGTCATTACAAGTCAAGACACACATACAGAGAAAGTTTCCTAAGATCAATCTCAGTATCATGTTTACAGTCATTACAAATCAAGACACACATGCAGAGAAAGTTTCCTAAAATTATTCTCAGTTTAAATAATAGCCATATCAATGTCTGTTATTAGGATCAGTGTTTGGTCCAACAATATTTATACACTTTTACATTCACTTCAACTGTAAAACGCACATGCTCTACATGTCTTGCTTTTATTTTTGTAAAACTTGAGTTCCTGGAACTAGCAATCATAAAGGAGTTTTAAACTTCGAGTGAAAGCTGAAAATTACTGATATTATCATTATGAGACTAGAGTTTCACACTTGTTGAGACATCAAGAAAATTACCCATCTTTGATGATATCACAATTTAAGTTTTTATTTAAATTTAAAACTGTGAAATGTTCCTGGAATCAAGATGTGTAAGGGTCCTTGTGATTGTGATTCAAACTCTGTGTGACTTCAAATTATATCATGATAAATTCAAACTACCGTATGAAATTTGAAGATTGGTATAATACCCATATTTGGAGATACATAATCTTCAAAACTGGTTTTAATGTGTTTAAACTGAAGTTTGGGTGTATAGAGATTAATACTGCCCATATTTAATTGAGTGTATAGATACAATGTGGCATAATGGTATATAAAGTATGCTGGAAAAATTCTAACAGACCGGTAATATAATATTGTCAGTGAGTATAGGTGATCATTTCATAATGTTATAAGAGATATGTGTTTGTGATAATTGTTGCTAATGTTGTATTTGGTTTGATTGTTTATACGACATGTTGCTGACATGTCGGTATGTGTCGATCAGGTGATCACATGTGTCGGTATGTGTCGATCTGGTGATCACGTGTGTCAATCTGGTGATCACATGTTTCGGTATGTGTCGATCTGGTGATCACATGTTTCGGTATGTGTCGATCTGGTGATCACATGTGTCGGTATGTGTCGATCTGGTGATCACATGTGTCGGTATGTGTCGAACTGGTGATCACATGTGTTGGTATGTGTCGATCTGGTGATCACGTGTGACGGTATGTGTCGATCTGGTGATCACGTGTGTCGGTATGTGTCGATCTGGTGATCACGTGTGTCAATCTGGTGATCACATGTTTCGGTATGTGTCGATCTGGTGATCACATGTTTCGGCATGTATCGATCTGGTGATCACGTGTCGGTATGTGTCGATCTGGTGATCACGTGTGTCGGTATGTGTCGATCTGGTGATCACGTGTGTCGGTATGTGTCGATCTGGTGATCACGTGTGTCAATCTGGTGATCACATGTTTCGGTATGTGTCGATCTGGTGATCACATGTGTCGATGTGTCGATCTGGTGATCACGTGTGTCGGTATGTGTCGATCTGGTGATCACGTGTGTCAATGGTGATCACATGTTTCGGTATGTGTCGTCTGGTGATCACATGTTTCGGCATGTGTCGATCTGGTGATCACATGTGTCGGTATGTGTCGATCTGGTGATCACATGTGTCGGTATGTGTCGAACTGGTGATCACATGTGTCGGTATGTGTCGATATGGTGATCACATGTGTCAGTAAAATTTAAACTCTTTTATGTTTCGCGTCATGAAAATAAGATAATACCACGTATTGTGGAAGAGGTTGTGGTAGTGTTTCTATGAGAATCTGTTAGTCTCAATGTCCTTGCCAAGTAAGTAAGATATATACAACAAGGACAGTATGGTCAAGGAAAGGTGACCATGCCACACTTTTTGGAGAAGTTTCATTTTGATACACATACTTAGGAGAAATATGTAAAATGCTTTATTGCTGGTTTCATTAATTAAATTGCACTTTTGACATTTTCTCTCTTCATCTCCAGTTATAAAATCTAGCTGAGAATCCAGCATATCCAGTACCTGTCCAAGGTAATAGCTAAAGTGTTTCAATGTAAACTGAAGTGGCCAATGTATTGGACAGTATATGTGTGTGTGCTACCGTGTCAATATTGTCTTTTTAAAGGCTTCAATTAAAAATTGTACAACAAACCATTGAATTGTAGGTTTTATTTTAGTAGTGTTTGGATAGTGATGAAAGGGATTAAAATCCATATCCTGGTTTGAAGAAACATTGATGGTTTGTAAATATTCTTACTAGATATCCTGCAGAAAGGACCAGTATGCTTGTATAGTACTACTCTGTTAAATTCAGAAGTTGATTTGACCAATAGGGAGCAGAGCCCCAGATGGGGAAGTTAGTCAATATTTTGCTTCAAAACGCTGCTACTTCTTTATGCATGGATAGATTTCAACCAAACTTGGTCTGAAACAACACTACAGGTGCATAATCATTTCTTAAATTCAGAAAGATTTTACAGAATTTGATAAGATTTTCCCCATTGGGCCCCATCCTTTGGCCCGAGGGGGCAGAGACCTTAGTTTTACATAAAATTGATTCCACTTTCACCACAGATATTTCAGACCAAATTTGATTGAAATCTACAAAGAAGAAATTGACATATTTCACCTATTTCGTAACGCAAAAACCCAGACCCATCATTTGACTCCTGTCCTAGGGGGCCTAGAGATCCAACTTTTATACAAAATTAATTCTCCTTCACCCAAAAATACAATTATCCATACAGGAAGAGAAGGATTTTAAAGAGTTTGTTCTTTTTCACTCATTGGACCTGCCCCTCTCGCACAGGGGGCTGAGATCAAAGTTATACAAATTTGATTCCCCTTCACCCAACAAAGAAGCATTCAGACCAAATTTGGGCAAAATCCAATAAATTCCTACAGGAAGAGTTGGATTTTAAAGAACTTGCTCTATTTCCCCTATTTAGGGGGGTCAAGACCCAGTGTTTATACAAAATTGATTACCAATATTGGTAATCATTTCTACAGGAGGAGTAGGATTTTAAAAAAATGTACCATTTCACCCACTGGGCACCATCCCTCCTGCCAAGAGGGGGCTGAAACCAACTAATTGTATAAAAATTATTTTTCTTGACAAGAATGCTTTAGACCAAATTTGATCAAAATGCAATTATTCCTACAGAAGGAGTAGGACTTAAAAGACTTTTTTGTTTCCTGTATTACACCAAACCCTAGTTATTTGTTCTTTAAAAATTTCTCTTCTCTGTTTTCGGTCTTAAATTAACAATACAAAATTTGAATATACCTTTGTAGAAATAGCTGTAATAATCTTCAACTTTCAAACCTCTCAACCGTTATTTTTTAGTTACAGCAAGTGACTGTGGGGAACCTTCATGTGGAATTTGAGAGATCCATCGAGTACTTCTCATGAAATGATCATAGCAAACTTTCTTGGTCAAAGTCCAAGATAGCTGCTTGTCTGCTGTCTTTTTTTTCTGATAAGTCCCAGCATCAAATGGGCACAAGGGACCGAATAGGACCTACATATGAAATTTGAGAAAAAAAACAAATCAGTACTTCTCAAGAAATAGCGATAACAAACTTTACTGGGCCAAATCCAAAATGGCTGCTTGTCAGCCATTTTCATTTCAGATCAGTCCCAAAAACAAGGGACCTACACATAAAACTTGAGAAAGAACAAACCAGTACTTCTCAAGAAATAGCAATAACAAACTTCACTGTAAAAATCCAAAATGGCTGCCTGTCAGGATAGTTCATAAGGATTATAGAACTACATTTTTATGGATGAATTTGTATCTGGAAAAAAAATTGACTAAATAGCCCTTTTAATATCACAGATCGTTTGATTCACAAGAAATCTATACCAAAACCCACTGAACTAAACGATTAATATATGAAACAGAATATCACAGGTACACAAGAGATCTATATCAAAATCCCTTCTTCAATCATATAGGCATGCACCATGGCAGTAAAGATCATGTAACAATTATGATACACACACACACACACACCCTTACACACACACTCACACGCACACTCACAATCACAAACACATCCTCACCCACACACACACACACACACACACATACATACACACACATATATATATGTATGTATGTATGTATGTATGTATGTATGTATGTATGTATGTATGTATGTAAGGGCCAGTTGCAATTCAAATCCACAAAAAGTTATATTTATTTGTCAGGCTTATCTCCCTTGGGCTTTTGACCTCTACGTTTATGCTGTCTAATCTTCGGTGTGTCTATAGAGTTCTTCACAGGTGATTTATTATAAACGACTACATTCTTATTTACAACAACAGGTGTCTTTGGTTCAATTTTGAACAGAAAGGGTATGTGAAGTCTATAGCCTCCCAGTACTATTATAGTGACCATGAGCATGAGGACTACTGCGAGAAACATCAAAGGCTGCCAATGAAGAGGAATTTCGTTGAAGAAAAGTTTTAGACTTCGTCCAGCACCTTCCAAAACAATTTCCATCGGGTAGATAATACACCTTGTAACTGTGGATGATAATACCTGAAGAAAGGAAACCATCTTGTTAACATATAGATATTTAAAATAAGAATATGATTGAATTTGAACTCAATGCTTATACACATTTAAACTCAAAGAATAATTTCGAGAATTTGATCAGGTTCATTAACATCTATTTATATTTGTACAGACTGACCAAATGTTAAACGTAAATTCAAAATTTCAACAAGAGAATAAAACAAAATTTTATATAGACGTCTCATCTTAATTATACGAAAATTATACTATTTCGCTTAAAAAACGCCTAGCAAAATGAATTGCTGACGATGACACTTAATGTGAAATCATTAAAAGGTAATATAATCACAGACTTGTGAGTTATATGGCACCTGAAATAAGCAAATGAATCATCTGAATTGTAAATAAAGGTATTTCTGTAATTATCAGTTGTTATCAGGAGGGAATCGCCACTGAAGAGTTTGCCTATCATCAATCACTTATCGCAATGCTTATTTTCTACAACACTATGATGTCAGTCACAGTATGCGATACATGCATGCAAGTTTATTTTCAACCGAAACATCCATACTTCATTTTCTTGATTGAAAATTTCCAGAACAGGAGAAAGTAGTTTACATGAAAGAGCAATGAACTACATTGGGGGCACTCACTCTCATGTGTAACATAATCGTTCCTTATGGCTATTAAATTCTTGGGGAATTTTACCCCCAATCTCCTAATAATAAATAGTCTTGTACAGATATGACTCAGCTTCTCTCATATCACTAAGGGCCTAACGGGACATATTCAGCTTCTCTGAGATAACTGAAGGCTCAGCTAGTACCAGAGTATCGTCTATTCGTCAACAGGATATTCTCAAGTTCACAAGTATGTTACAAAGCTTTTCTCTAATCATTGAGTGCCTAGCCAGACATACTCAGCTTCTCTCGTGTCTTTGAGGGCCTAGCTTGTGCTTGAGTCTAACCTATATTCATTTATCCCGGCTTTCCTATTTTCATCGGGAAGCTTCTTCAGTTTTATTAAAATTTTTAATTTCTAAAGTAAGATTGTAGTGTAGAGTGAGTAGCCCCTAATATGCCAAAACTATGTGTGTATTCTTTACATTAGTGGTAAATAAACTATGTACTGTACTCTGTTCCGTGCGTTAGTTGCATATAAACTACACATATATGGTTTATCAGTGGAAATAGTAAACATTCTGTGACCAACAAAGGTGCATTATTCATACAGATACACACGTAAATAGTAACAACATTATATACTCATTCATACAGATACACACGTAAATAGTAACAACGTTATATACTAATTCATACATATACACATGTAAATAGTAACAACATTATAATGTACCAACTACAGACTATAAAACGTGGGTCTCTCTGCATGCATACTCATTTAAACTTGTAAGTCTTCCAGTGCGATCAAAGTTTTCATATGGTTGCCTTATGTAGAATATATCTATCACTTATCACACATCTGTTTACAAATTTAACAGATTGGCAGCAAGTATATATATGTTACACTACAATACATTAGGGGCCAGTACAGGTTGCCTTGACATGACCAACTGAAAAATTGATATGTTAAAATGTCAATCGCACATAAATTTCTTACGATAGAGGTCATCCATTGACAGTTCAAAAACAAATTTAAAGACTAAACCCCTATTTGAAGTGAAAATTCATTAAAAGAATTTATTTTGAAGTTTCATATTCTTCAAATCTTACCTGTAAACTCTACAAGAGAAAGACAATTACCTCAAGTTTGTTACAGAAGTTAACATATATATTACCATGATTGGAGACACCTCCCACAAAGGATCCACCATCAACATTTTGTAGTATCTCTCACATGGGTTGGGTTGCCATGACAAAATGCTATACACCCAATTACGAAAACTCTGTAGTATAGACACTTGCTTTGGTATACACTCGTCAGGAACACCCTGTCAATTAAGTAAAACTGTGTTGTATAGACACTTACTGTGACATATACTCGTCAGGAACACCCTGTCAATTAAGTAAAACTTTGTAGTATAGACACTTGCTGTGACATAAACTCGTCAGGAACACCCTGTCAATTAAGTAAAACTCTGTAGTATAGACACTTACTGTGACATATACTCGTCAGGAACACCCTGTCAATTAAGTAAAACTTTGTAGTATAGACACTTGTTGTGACATACACTCATCAGGAACACCCTGTCAATTAAGTAAAACTCTGTAGTATAGACACTTGCTGTGACATATACTCGTCAGGAACACCCTGTCAATTAAGTAAAACTTTGTAGTATAGACACTTGCTGTGACATACACTCATCAGGAACACCCTGTCAATTAAGTAAAACTCTGTAGTATAGACACTTACTGTGACATACACTCGTCAGGAACACCCTGTCAATTAAGTAAAACTCTGTAGTATAGACACATGCTTTGGTATACACTTGTCTAGAACACCCTGTCAATTAAGTAAAATTCTGTAGTATAGACACTTACTGTGACATATACTTGTCAGGAACACCCTGTCAATTAAGTAAAATTCTGTAGTATAGACACTTACTGTGACATACACTCATCAGGAACACCCTGTCAATTAAGTAAAACTCTGTAGTATAGACACTTACTGTGACATACACTCGTCAGGAACACCCTGTCAATTAAGTAAAACTCTGTAGTATAGACACATGCTTTGGTATACACTTGTCTAGAACACCCTGTCAATTAAGTAAAATTCTGTAGTATAGACACTTACTGTGACATATACTTGTCAGGAACACCCTGTCAATTAAGTAAAATTCTGTAGTATAGACACTTACTGTGACATACACTCATCAGGAACACCCTGTCAATTAAGTAAAACTCTGTAGTATAGACACTTACTGTGACATACACTCGTCAGGAACACCCTGTCAATTAAGTAAAACTCTGTAGTATAGACACATGCTTTGGTATACACTTGTCTAGAACACCCTGTCAATTAAGTAAAATTCTGTAGTATAGACACTTACTGTGACATATACTTGTCAGGAACACCCTGTCAATTAAGTAAAATTGTGTAGTATAGACACTTACTGTGACATATACTTGTCTAGAACACCCTGTTCATTACGTATAACATGATGAGTCAATACCATTAAAATATGTAAATATATATATATAGCTACTTCAGCCGTTAGAGCCAGCTACTGTATATGTATGATACACATGTATCACACTTACAATTGGAGTGATCTTCTAGTATGGTATGTGATCCTGATGAACGGATTCTATAAATTGATATCATTGGGATCATATGAAAGAAAACAATGGTGAACTTACCACTTGCAGATTTGCCATTTTCTTGGCAATTTCTGTCTGATATAGACGAATAAACTCCCATGGCAGACTCCCCAGGAAAGCCAAAACCACCAAAATCCAAAATATGTTTCTATATGTCAATTTACAGAGATACGTGTAAATCCTAGATCTCTGCTGATCTGACCCGGACAGAGATCTAGTCCTGATGTCGTCCCTCTGTAATGTTGTCCGATAGTGAATATTGTTACTGAGGGCTGTATCGCAGTTTCCATTATTACGATCTGATAACTTTCTAGACATTACATAAGAGAATAGCATAAAACCAAGCAAGATTATTCCAGCCAATCCAGAAGTTATCTCCCTTGGTATAAGAGGACACAGCCAAGTGACAAAGAATATGTAAATTTCTTGTAAGTCCTCCTTCAACACTTGAAGCAGGTGACTGGAAAATGATTGTGGAATTTGAGTTGATTCCTCATTTTGTCCTGACAGTAACCAGCCAAAGGTGTTTGCAATTTTGGATGAATAGGTTGATGTGTGTTGCTCTCTGCTACTGCTGCTTCGCTCCAAAGCTGTAACTAAAAAGAAATTTGATATTAAAATATCTTGAGCCGATACAAACTACATGTATGTAAATACAGCTAAGAACAAAATTACAGATTTAGTATGTTGTATTAGAACAATTTAATAAGGTATACAAACACAGTGCATAGTCTTATCATATCTATCCTGCCATCAGCCCAGAATGGACCATCCATATGTGTTGCCATTCACTTTGTTGTAATAAGCCCATCCTTTAAATTTGAGTCAGATGCCTTGTGTTGAAAACGAGCCCATCCCCTGAGTGTGAGTCAGATGCTTTGTGTTGGTAGCAAACCTATCGTTGGAGTTTGAGTAAGAAGCATTGTGTTGGTAACAAGCTTATCACCTGAGTTTGAGTAAGAAGCATTGTGTTGGTTGGAAGCCCATCACCTGAGTTTGAGTCAGAAGCATTGTGTTGGTAACAAACCCATCACCTGAGTTTGAGTCAGAAGCATTGTGTTGGTAACAAGCTTATCACAGGAGTTTGAGTCAGAAGCATTGTGTTGGTTGGAAGCCCATCACCTGAGTTTGAGTCAGAAGCATTGTGTTGGTAACAAACCCATCACCTGAGTTTGAGTCAGAAGCATTGTGTTGGTAACAAGCTTATCACAGGAGTTTGAGTCAGAAGCATTGTGTTGGTTGGAAGCCCATCACCTGAGTTTGAGTCAGAAGCATTGTGTTGGTAACAAACCCATCACCTGAGTTTGAGTCAGAAGCATTGTGTTGGTTGGAAGCCCATCACCTGAGTTTGAGTCAGAAGCATTGTGTTGGTTGGAAGCCCATCACCTGAGTTTGAGTCAGAAGCATTGTGTTGGTAACAAACCCATCACCTGAGTTTGAGTCAGAAGCATTGTTTTGTTGATAAGCCCATCACCTGAGTTTGAGTCAGAAGCATTGTGTTGGTAACAAACCCATCACCTGAGTTTGAGTCAGAAGCATTGTGTTGGTAACAAGCTTATCACAGGAGTTTGAGTCAGAAGCATTGTGTTGGTTGGAAGCCCATCACCTGAGTTTGAGTCAGAAGCATTGTGTTGGTAACAAACCCATCACCTGAGTTTGAGTCAGAAGCATTGTGTTGGTAACAAACCCATCATCTGAGTTTGAGTCAGAAGCATTGTTTTGTTAATAAGCCCATCACCTGAGTTTGAGTCAGAAGCATTGTGTTGGTTGGAAGCCCATCACCTGAGTTTGAGTCAGAAGCATTGTGTTGGTTGGAAGCCCATCACCTGAGTTTGAGTCAGAAGCATTGTTTTGTTAATAAGCCCATCACCTGAGTTTGAGTCAGAAGCATTGTGTTGGTAACCTGAGCTTAAATTTTATAATAATTTATGTGGTAAAAACAATATATGCTAAGTCTATAGACACTGAAATAGTTCAGGAAGAAAGTATGGCCTTGAGGCCACATTAAATTAATTCAACAAGTAGGTATGGGCTTGAGGTTATAAACAATGAATTGATTGTTCGAGGAGGTATGGCCTTGAGTTGATAGACAATGAATTAATTCCGCAAGAAAATATGAGCTTGAGTCCACAATGAATTAGTACTGCAAGAAGATATGGGCTTGAGTTTATAAACAATGAATTAAATGTTCAAGATGGTAATGCCTTGAGTTGAGAGACATGAATTAATTCCGCAAGAACGAATGAGCGCGGGTCCACACTGGATTAATTCAGGTGTAGCAGATGATAAGATTATCAAAGATAGATTGAAGTTTTAAAAAGATTGAGAATTACTACATGGGTAGGATGGATTATGTTATATGCTATGTGTTTAGAAGGAGTATTGTGTTGATTCTATATATATATATAACTGGTTTATTTCAAATTGTCTAATCTACCCTATTTACTAGTACATACAATCTATCATATCCCGAAGTTTGAGCAAAAATAAGATCTTTATATGATGCCAGATGGGGTTTGGTCTTGTATTGCGTATAGTGGATCTAAATCAGTAGCTGGTGCAAGTATTTTTGTTTATTGTACATATTTAGGATTTCAAATTTATTTCTCAAATCAATATCTAATGTGTGTTTGGTTGTTTGCTGTGAACGGGTGAATTTTGATTTGTGTCTTTTTGTATATCCTTATGTTCTGTATGAGATAAACAGACGTGCTTTATCATCAAGGTTTATGTGTTATATACGTTTCTGGTTTGTCCCATCTACAGTTTGTGAGTCCATTTGCCACTGGCTAAGATCTCAAACTCGAATTAGATTGTGTATGCCACTATATGATAAGAAATTTGTAAGTTTAGATTTACCTGTTCTCGCTAAGAAATACAAAATAGTAGCGATCAAGATGATCAACACAAACACGCACGTATTTAGGTTCCATCGTTTTCTATTTTTGTCCGTGTTTCTAATTGCCGCCATTTTGTTTAAGTGATAAGCCCGAAACAGCTTTTGGTTTTATCGACATTTTGTAATAAAATTTAATTTTCTTTTATTACCAAGTACTATAACACAATTTTCTTCTATAATATATCTTTATTTGCGTATGTTATATAATTTAATTATATTGCTTTAAAAATATATAAAAAAATATTGATACCGGGAATATCAATTGTGAGGTCAAAGTGCAAAATCAAAAGCGAAAGTTGATCGTTACACACGATCATATGAAAGGTGAATACAAAAGTAAAGGTAAGTACACTAAGTTTCTTTTAAAGTTTATAAGTATTCATCAAGTCGATAACCTTGTCTTCATGTACACAAACAACAACGAATGTCATCGGAGACATGGCAGAGAATTTTAAGTCTAGAAACGCAAATATTGACCAGTTAGTATGACAGCGGTACATTATATTTCAGTAAACAGGTAACCTGCCATTGGGTCTGCTATTTACCTTGTATATCCGCTCACGTGGTCCAAGATGTGAGTCAATCACGTTATCACCACTGTCACTTGACGGGTCAGGAATAGGGCAGTTATATAGTGACAGTCTTGATTAAATAGGGATCAAATAGATATCTGGCACATAAACCTTCCAAAATGTCATGTACTTTGAAAACTGTCGCTGCTTAAAAAGTAGAGAAATATGATAAAACCAGGAAGTATCTTCGCACACGTTGTGCCTATCTGCTATCCCATGGGAAGAGAGAGTTTCCATGAGTCACACGGTTGACCTCTAACTGACAATGGTCCCTTCACAGGTGACAAGCTTCCAGTATAAACACCCAGTTAAACTCAGCCTGAGACACAATATTCCTCCCAACCTTAGGATGAAAGTCTTTATTCATAGGGAATGCAATACTATATAGAGATCTCCCGTATCTAGATCATGTTTCAAGTTCCAAATATGGCTCGCTAGACTACTGGTACACTGTATTAACTCTTCCAAAATGGGTGTATATTTCACATCAAATCTCCTGTCATTCAACTCCGTTGAAACAGATATGGGCAGGTCAAAGTGGACACACAACCTGGTAAAACACTCAGATGAAATCCCGTCCATGAATGGTTTTTCTGGGAGGATCTTACCAACAAAACAGCCAGTGGGCGTTGGTCACTGTTGCGTTGAGCAGTGAATCTGCGAACTTGAGGAGCTGTGCTACAACCTCTGTCATCCAGTACACCTGTTTTGGCATAGACCATCTAGCACCTTTCACCTTTCCTTGTAAAGTATGGAGCATCTGACTCAAACAGCCCCTCGAACAGCTTCCTTTCAGGGCTCAAATCCTGCTAATAATTCAGAAATACAGATTGTCAAAAGCATCCTACGCTGTTCACCGACATAGAAATCTTTATTAAAAAAATGAAGATAAATCTACAAGTCTCTGGACACAGCTTTCTTCACAACATGTAAAAGAAGCAGGTATGCTTCTGCTCCAGTGTCTCCAGACATCCTTATGCATTGGAGGACCAACACATGTCGGGGTCCCACCAGGGGCAAGATCTTCTCTAAAGTAACTAGTTGCTTGTGCCACTGACTCATCGGCACAGATTGATCAGGGCCAATCTCACCTGTCTGCTGGTAGGGTCACAAGTCTATCCATGGTCAGATAGGTCTCAAGGTCACAGAAAGACACACATGTTTCAGCAACAATGGCCTCCAACCCTCCACCCTCGTACCATCCAACACGGACCGGAATGCAGAATCCAGTCATAATTCCATGGCCTTCAGGGTCAAGTCTAAATGAAACTGGTCATCCAATGCTTAGGGTAGTGTCATCCAATACTCACGCTCAGTGGTAGGGATCCTGGCAACAATCGACAAGAGAGCCTTCCAGTAGAGGATAGCAGCTACCAAGTTCACTGGTTTCATTGAGTCCATTGATAACAGGATCAAGGAATAGAAATTTCTTCACCCTCTTGTCAACAGCAGCCATGTAAAACCCTCTTACACTATCACTGTGGGTGATTTAACATCATCCTCGTGTTGACTAAGATATGCCTGCATGGAAAGACCGATGGCCAAGAAGGAATCCTCTAAGTGAAGAGCAGGGTCCTTGAAAGGAATCTATGTAATGTCTTTGGTCTCTTGAATGATCTTGAATATGATGAACTTTCCCAGAAATTTTCTTAACAGCTGTCTGATTTCCTGTCCAAGGTATGGTAAACGGGTCTCGTCTGCTTGGAACATTGTGTTGAATTCTCTCAGGAATGACAGGATGAAACAAAGAGAAAGAAGACACATCAGTATTTCAGGGTTAGTGAGGAGGTCAGCACATCTCTTCACAGGTCCTGGTTTTTCCACATCTTCATGGGAGAGAAAGCAAGAATTTATAGCTGGCCAGTGAGGAAGGAGGTGATTCACAGTTCTATGAAACTAAGCCATCTGGTTACACAGTGTTTCAGGATCTTGGATGGTTCAATGTCAAGGAAGTCCACAAATTCTTCATTCTGCTTGGCAGTGTGATGAAAGTGGCAGAACACATCACTGAGTAAATCCTCCATTGGCACACAGCAGCCACAGTACACAGGTTGGCAAGATGTTAGACACATCCCAAGTCAAAAATACCAGGCTGGTGTTCACAGAGTTGTTGCAGCCAGTCATTGCGCTACAGTTATCAGACATGAAACTTGTGCAGTTTTTTCATGGTATGTTGTTTTCAACGACAACCTGGTTCAAGTGGTTAAAATGTTCTGTCCTGTTCCAATGTTGCAGACAGGCTTAGAATCTAGTGCTTGCTTTTGTCGTGAAATAGCACATGACCACAGCGAGACTCTTTTCTCCGTTGGTGTCATTGCTTTTGTTGCAACTTGGAGAAAATGGCTTCGCCTAATAGTTTTTAACAACATCCTCCTTCAAGGCAGATGCCAGTGACTTCTTCACAATATATGATCTTAGTCCATGACATCTACAATGGAATTTCTGAGCAATCTGGCTGTCAGGAAACACTGTACACTTAGCTACCTGTACTGAGGTTGCGTGGATGGACTTTGGAATTAGCTCTTTCCTCATGTGATGATTTGGTCAGATCAGCACATGCAGTAACCTCCTCACTGCTAAATGTTTTGTCAATGATAAAACAAAGTCATGGTAGTCATTTGGAAGAGTGCAAGTTAGCTACTGGTAAGGTGTTCGTAGACAATGGGAAGTGTGAACGAAACCCAAATATAATCTCATAATCTCAATCACTGAATGGATCATACACAGTCCCATCACTGTCCTCTATAGACAGGTTGTACTGTTATAGTTACCCATCACTGTCCTCTATAGACAGGTTGTACTGTTATAGTTATCACAGGATGGATCATACACAGTCCCATCACTGTCCTCTATAGACAGGTTGTACTGTTATAGTTATCACAGGATGGATCATACACAGTCCCATCACTGTCCTCTATAGACAGGTTGTACTGTTATAGTTATCACAGGATGGATCATACACAGTCCCATCACTGTCCTCTATAGACAGGTTGTACTGTTATAGTTATCACAGGATGGATCATACACAGTCCCATCACTGTCCTCTATAGACAGGTTGTACTGTTATAGTTATCACAGGATGGATCATACACAGTCCCATCACTGTCCTCTATAGACAGGTTGTACTGTTATAGTTATCACAGGATGGATCATACACAGTCCCATCACTGTCCTCTATAGACAGGTTGTACTGTTATAGTTATCAATGGATGGATCATACACAGTCCCATCACTGTCCTCAATAGACAGGTTGTACTGTTATAGTTATCACAGGATGGATCATACACAGTCCCATCACTGTCCTCTATAGACAGGTTGTACTGTTATAGTTATAACAGGATGGATCATACACAGTCCCATCACTGTCCTCTATAGACAGGTTGTATTGTTTAATAGTTATCACTGGATGGATCATACTCAGTCCCATCACTGTCCTCTATAGACAGGTTGTACTGTTATAGTTATCACAGGATGGATCATACACAGTCCCATCACTGTCCTCTATAGACAGGTTGTACTGTTATAGTTATAACAGGATTGATCATACACAGTCCCATCACTGTCCTCTATAGACAGGTTTGACTGTTATAGTTATCACAGGATGGATCATACACAGTCCCATCACTGTCCTCTATAGACAGGTTGTACTGTTATAGTTATCCATCACTGTCCTCTATAGACAGGTTGTACTGTTATAGATAACAAAAGATGAATCATACTCGGTCCCATCACTGTCCTCTATAGACAGGTTGTACTGTTATAGTTATAACAGGATGGATCATACACAGTCCTATCACTGTCCTCTATAGACAGGTTGTACTGTTATAGTTATAACAGGATGGATCATACACAGTCCCATCACTGTCCTCTATAGACAGGTTGTACTGTTATAGTTATCCATCACTGTCCTCTATAGACAGGTTTGACTGTTATAGTTATCACAGGATTGATCATACACAGTCCCATCACTGTCCTCTATAGACAGGTTGTACTGTTATAGTTATCACAGGATGGATCATACACAGTCCCATCACTGTCCTCTATAGACAGGTTGTTCTGTTATAGTTTTAACAGGATGGATCATACTCAGTCCCATCACTGTCCTCTATAGACAGGTTGTACTGTTATAGTTATCACAGGATTGATCATACACAGTCCCATCACTGTCCTCAATAGACAGGTTGTACTGTTATAGTTATCACAGGATGGATCATACTCAGTCCCATCACTGTCCTCAATAGACAGGTTGTACTGTTATAGTTATCACAGGATGGATCATACACAGTCCCATCACTGTCCTCTATAGACAGGTTGTACTGTTATAGTTATCACAGGATGGATCATACACAGTCCCATCACTGTCCTCTATAGACAGGTTGTACTGTTATAGTTATCACAGGATGGATCATACACAGTCCCATCACTGTCCTCTATAGACAGGTTGTACTGTTATTGTTATCACAGGATGGATCATACACAGTCCCATCACTGTCCTCTATAGACAGGTTGTACTGTTATAGTTATCACAGGATGGATCATACACAGTCCCATCACTGTCCTCTATAGACAGGTTGTACTGTTATAGTTATCACAGGATGGATCATACACAGTCCCATCACTGTCCTCTATAGACAGGTTGTACTGTTATAGTTATCACAGGATGGATCATACACAGTCCCATCACTGTCCTCTATAGACAGGTTGTACTGTTATAGTTATCACAGGATGGATCATACACAGTCCCATCACTGTCCTCTATAGACAGGTTGTACTGTTATAGTTATCACAGGATGGATCATACACAGTCCCATCACTGTCCTCTATAGACAGGTTGTACTGTTATAGTTATCACAGGATGGATCATACACAGTCCCATCACTGTCCTCTATAGACAGGTTGTACTGTTATAGTTATCACAGGATGGATCATACTCAGTCCCATCACTGTCCTCTATAGACAGGTTGTACTGTTATAGTTATCACAGGATGGATCATACTCAGTCCCATCACTGTCCTCTATAGACAGGTTGTACTGTTATAGTTATAACAGGATGGATCATACACAGTCCCATCACTGTCCTCTATAGACAGGTTGTACTGTTATAGTTATCACAGGATGGATCATACACAGTCCCATCACTGTCCTCTATAGACAGGTTGTACTGTTATAGTTATCACAGGATGGATCATACACAGTCCCATCACTGTCCTCTATAGACAGGTTGTACTGTTATAGTTATCACAGGATGGATCATACACAGTCCCATCACTGTCCTCTATAGACAGGTTGTACTGTTATAGTTATCACAGGATGGATCATACTCAGTCCCATCACTGTCCTCTATAGACAGGTTGTACTGTTATAGTTATCACAGGATGGATCATACACAGTCCCATCACTGTCCTCTATAGACAGGTTGTACTGTTATAGTTATCACAGGATGGATCATACACAGTCCCATCACTGTCCTCTATAGACAGGTTGTACTGTTATAGTTATAACAGGATGGATCATACACAGTCCCATCACTGTCCTCTATAGACAGGTTGTACTGTTATAGTTATCACAGGATGGATCATACTCAGTCCCATCACTGTCCTCTATAGACAGGTTGTACTGTTATAGTTATAACAGGATGGATCATACACAGTCCCATCACTGTCCTCTATAGACAGGTTGTACTGTTATAGTTATCACAGGATGGATCATACACAGTCCCATCACTGTCCTCTATAGACAGGTTGGATCTCTTGTTTTTGTTTTTATTTTATCAAGTTTACTGTTTGCTTTGCTGGAACAGATTAAGGTTGTTGATTTTCATGTGTAATTTTGTTGATGTCATTTTTCTTAAAGGATAGGAAATGTTTTCCTAGGCATACACAAAGTATTGATTGAGATCACGGAATGAGATCACTGTATTGGATCTAATGAGTTGATAAAAGTTTTTAGCTCACCAAAGATGTCAACTGTTTCTTTAGCTTAAACAATATTGTGTTCCCTAGTTAAGTATATATACTTCCTTAATTGGCAAATTCTTCACAATAATCAACATGCTCACTGTGAAGTTACACCAAATGACTAACTTTAAAGGTCATATGGGTTAAATGTATTCATATCTTTCCCACACCGAAAAGGTCTCTAGTTCTGTAATTGAATCAGGAGCACGCTTTTATGAAATTCTACCAAAAATGACCTTGAGATTGACCCACTCTCCAGATAAAGGAGTCAGCTATATTGTCCATCTTCAGGAAGTCTCAACAGTGAACTTCTTAAATAAGAGATTTATTGTAATTTTGAGCTGAACATCATAGCTGATTATACATAGATTCAGCTTGTATAGATGTAAAATGTTTTTTCTATTAAATCATCATGGAAACTGATACTTCGTGTGACTTCCAGTCTCACTAAAAATGATAAACACACACCATTAGTGAAGAATATTCCATGGTACAGAGATAAACTTCACAGGGAGATTTGACCTTGTGAAGCAACTTTGACACAACATTTACAATCTTATCTGTTTCTTAGAGTGTTTCCGATATGTCTTATGGTTTAAGACTTGTCAACTTTCCCAGTTGATAACAGAAATTAGTTATAAAAAGTGACAAGATTACTGTTGATCAACAGAGCCCTCTAGAACACTTGTTCTAACTTCCTTTTGTGAAATATTCTTTACGTTCATTTGCACATTCACACATTTTAAATACAAATTCTGAATATAGTGATATTGCAGAATGTGATGCTGTTGGTCAAACAAAACCATGTGTGATTATGTTGTACATTTCCCCTTACTATCCATAAGGAATTTTAAACTCCTAATTCTCCAAACATTTTGTTCAGAAAATTATAGGTTGCATCTCTTTCAGTATTGTACACTACAGTTTATTGTACCTACCATAGTATATCATAACTATTCTATTGATTCCAGTATGAACCCATATAATGTATTTCTTCACTTTGTAGATAGAATCAGGGTAGTGGTTTTTTTTTATGTTTTTCCAATACAGGTAAACACATTTTTGACTCCTTCATCCGATCAGTCCAAGGTCAACTTGTATCAACGTAGGTAGTGAACATGCTGCACCAGTGTGGAAGGAAATTAATCACTTGGGCAGTACACAAGCTTGGTTATATGAATAATACATGTATTTACTTAAGATATTTGTACCAGTGGACACTGGGGTGTGACTAGACATAATACATACTTTCTGATAAATGATTTAATCTGTGTGAAACACAGTACCCAACCTCTCTAACTGTACCTGTGTGCTGCAGTGTTCTCATTGATCAGGTAACTGTGTGTTATCTCATTGTTTATTTGATGGAAATTGTGTGTTTTCGTTTATTTGTAAAACATTTATTAAGTGAATACTGTATATATTTTTCTAAGAAATTTTGCTTATACATGACAATTTATTTCAGATGATCTAAACTTATAGACTAATTTATTTAAAAAAAAACTCTTTTTCTTCATTTCCTTGTTTAATTCTTATATGTATATAAGGCTACAATGCACAAGGTACAGAGATTTATATAAAATATTTGTGATATTTGAATCACCATCTTTCATATCACAACTTAAGATGGTTTTTCGTCCCTTATAAAGGGCCTTCAGTGTCCATCGGCCGAAGGGATTATCGATACCCTACATTTACACTACCACTCTCGATTTTAGTTTATAACTTTATATCTGTTTTATGTTCTATGTATGTGATGTAATTTGTGTAATATTTGTGTCTTGATAAGGGGGCAGGTTGCCTCGAAAATTTGACAATTCACTTGTCTGTACTGTCACTATTACTTCATTGATCATACATGTATGATATATGATAAGATGAGAGAACCAACAGTCTTGAAGTTTAAGAAAGCGGCAATGTTCCTGAATGGATACCACAAATCAGCAGCTTAGGAGTAAATTACATTGTAAAGTCGTCCTGATGACGGCCGCATAGCCGTCGAAACATGTCGATGATTACCATACCGGAATAAAAAGAAGAACAGTTCTTGGATGTTGGGATTCCTTTATTTTACTCATATGTATGATATATATTTATGTATATCAATTGTAAGTAAGACATTTTGGACATTGTAACACAATTGTAACAATTTGTCAGGGCCTCAAACTCTAATTAAAACAGATAACATAAAGGCCATTCATATGAGACTTACATTATTTCTTATCATTTGATAAATCTGAGGACAAGGTCAGGGGCCAACATTAATATATAATGTTAGGTAACAACTGGGTAACACTTATTGGATTTCTATATAAAGAAGGTTCCATATAACAGCTAGGTAAGTTTTATATATGTGGTACAATGTATCATCAGACAGAAGTTTGTAATTGTCAGAGATTTATATATGTGGCACCAATGGATCATCAGACAGAAGTTTGTAATTCTCAGAGATTTATATATGTGGCACCAATGGATCATCAGACAGAAGTTTGTAATTCTCAGAGATTTATATATGTGGCACCAATGGATCATCAGACAGAAGTTTGTAATTCTCAGAGATTTATATATGTGGTACAATGGATCATCAGACAGAAGTTTGTAATTCTCAGAGATTTATATATGTTGTACAATGGATCATCAGACAGAAGTTTGTAATTCTCAGAGATTTATATATGTGGCACCAATGGATCATCAGACAGAAGTTTGTAATTCTCAGAGATTTATATATGTGGTACAATGGATCATCAGACAGAAGTTTGTAATTCTCAGAGATTTATATATGTGGCACCAATGGATCATCAGACAGAAGTTTGTAATTCTCAGAGATTTATATATATATGTGGCACCAATGGATCATCAGACAGAAGTTTGTAATTCTCAGAGATTTATATATGTGCTACAATGGATCATCAGACAGAAGTTTGTAATAGATTTATATATGTGGCACCAATGGATCATCAGACAGAAGTTTGTAATTCTCAGAGATTTATATATGTGGCACCAATGGATCATCAGACAGAAGTTTGTAATTCTCAGAGATTTATATATGTGGCACCAATGGATCATCAGACAGAAGTTTGTAATTCTCAGAGATTTATATATGTGGCACCAATGGATCATCAGACAGAAGTTTGTAATTCTCTGAGATTTATATATGTGGCACCAATGGATCATCAGACAGAAGTTTGTAATTCTCAGAGATTTATATATGTGGCACCAATGGATCATCAGACAGAAGTTTGTAATTCTCAGAGATTTATATATGTGGCACCAATGGATCATCAGACAGAAGTTTGTAATTCTCAGAGAAGTTTGTAATTCTCAGAGATTTATATATGTGGTACAATGGATCATCAGACAGAAGTTTGTAATTCTCAGAGATTTATATATGTGGCACCAATGGATCATCAGACAGAAGTTTGTAATTCTCAGAGATTTATATATGTGGCACCAATGGATCATCAGACAGAAGTTTGTAATTCTCAGAGATTTATATATGTGGCACCAATGGATCATCAGACAGAAGTTTGTAATTCTCAGAGATTTATATATGTGGCACCAATGGATCATCAGACAGAAGTTTGTAATTCTCTGAGATTTATATATGTGGCACCAATGGAGATTTATATATATATGTGGCACCAATGGATCATCAGACAGAAGTTTGTAATTCTCAGAGTTTTATATATGTGGCAACAATGGATCATCAGACAGAAGTTTGTAATTCTCAGAGATTTATATATGTGGCACCAATGGATCATCAGACAGAAGTTTGTAATTCTCAGAGATTTATATATGTGATACAATGGATCATCAGACAGAAGTTTGTAATTATATGTGAGATTTATATATATATGTGGTACAATGGATCATCAGACAGAAGTTTGTAATTCTCAGAGATTTATATATGTGGCACCAATGGATCATCAGACAGAAGTTTGTAATTCTGGTGATTTTGTATATATGTGGCACCAATGGATCATCATTAACAAAGTTTGTAATTCTCAGAGATTTATATATGTGGTACAATGGATCATCAGACAGAAGTTTGTAATTCTCAGAGATTTATATATGTGGGTGACAGCCAAGATTCCTTTTGGATTTTTGCTTTTTTTATTTTATCATAAAAGAATTCCTTGGTATTAAAATATATTCTTACAGTGTGAACTGTAATGTTTAAATATAATTTGACATTTGCGTTTGTTTTACTGATATAGGACTCCAGTAATGAGGATATACTAGACAATCTCTACACCCAAGATTACGAGCCTCAGGTGTTAGCAGCTCTATCAGCCACCACCATGATGCATTTTTTTCCGTATCCTCGCAAAGACATGGAATATCCATCCATTAATCTCCAAGAGGCTTTCTACTGTAGTAACACAGACTCCTCCTCTCGATTTCTGAAACAAAAACAAGGGAAACAACTCCGCAACCAGTCAGTGACTCCAGCTAATGTCACTCGTCTCATGTCAATACGTTGGCCTCAGGGTGGAGGCAGGATAACAATGAATGCTGCTCACAGTCAATTTTCATTTAGTAACTTAGACTTTCCAGTTTCTGAAGAAGTCATTAAGTCTATTACAACATTTTGTTTCCCAGGTAATAACAAAAATTTCAAAGATACACACCTCAATTATATTAATTTTCTGTAGAAACTTTTATCACTGTTTCTCATATAGAGGTACAGGTGGTATATCTATGTGAGTCCTTGCTCAAGTTGTTTTTATTTAATTTGTTTATTTAATATTCTCTGTGTAATTATATCCTTAAACCTAGGACAGAACCTTTTAATAACTACCTTAAACCTAGGACAGAACCTTTTAATAACTACCTTAAACCTAGGACAGAACCTTTTAATAACTACCTTAAACCTAGGACAGGACCTATTAATAACTACCTTAAACCTAGGACAGGACCTATTAATAACTACCTTAAACCTAGGACAGGACCTATTAATAACTACCTTAAACCTAGGACAGGACCTATTAATAACTACCTTAAACCTAGGACAGGACCTATTAATAACTACTTTAAACCTAGGACAGGACCTATTAATAACTACCTTAAACCTAGGACTGGACCTATTAATAACTACCTTAAACCTAGGACAGGACCTATTAATAACTACCTTAAACCTAGGACAGGACCTATTAATAACTACCTTAAACCTAGGACAGGACCTATTAATAACTACCTTAAAGCTGGTGTGATGGTCATATAATTATATTTATCCTGCCACTGGCACTGCCACATACATTCTTGCTGTATTCAGCAGTGACAGAAAACAGCTGAATTTTAGCATGTGCTGTAATTTGACAGAATTACTCTCTGACTTCACACAAATGTTACATTTAAAGATATAAAAAGTTGTTGAAAGAGGCAATTTTACATGTTGTAATGAACAAGTTGATTTATGAAAATCTTAAAATATAAGCCGTATTTTGGGACAGAAAGACAAAAGTGGCTTGCCTTGTAAGACGATGACCATGTATTCTCTATATGTCTATTTGCTCCATGTTATACATCTAATTTATTTTCTTGTATGTGATTTTCATTAATTTTAATGTTGATGAATAACTACATTTTTATCAATTACAGATAATATGAAGATCTATGCAACAAAGCCAGAGAGTTTTGCTCACTTTCTTGTACTGACAGATATGTCGGGAAACAAAAGTTATGCTACCTGTTTGACCTTCTGTCGATCTTTCATTGTGGAAAAGGTATCAGTTTCAGTTCTCTCTGTTGAATGGCAAGGATTTCCTGAAATATTTGCTATAGATTTATCAACTACTGTAACTGCAGCTACTGTAACTGCAGCCCATATAAATGTGTACAGATTTTTGTTAAAAATCAGTTTACAATAGTGGCAATATAGACCTAAGTTCGTCATTCAGACAGGGGGCAAAACCTAACTTAGGGTGAAAGTACTTTTCAGAATCTCATCATATTTCTAGCCATTGTGTTTTGTCCATTGTTGTGCACCGTCTGTTAACTTCTTCATTAAAAACATTACTCCTTCATAACACTCAAGTGGATTTCAACCAAATTTGGAGGAGTGGGCAATCATTTTCTAAATTCATAAATTTGTTTCATCACCTGGGGACTGAGAATTAAGGCCATGGATTGGGAAGTTGGTAAAATTTTGCTTTAAAACACTTCCTTAATGCCTCAGCATATCTCAACCAAATTTGGTCAGAAACATCATTATAGGAGTGGACAATTAATTCCTCAATTCGGCAATTTGATTTGACACATAGGAACTCAGAGGCTTGATCCCAAATCAGGAATTAGGGTAAAAATGTGTTTTAAAACCCCTACTCCTCTTAACATGAACTAAATCATCACTTGGGGATGTTAGTTATTTTTTAAATTCAAAAAGCAAATAAATCTTATGAGAACTGGGGGATGAGTCCCGAAATGAGGAATTAAGCTGACGTTTTCTTCACCAATGCTTGTATACCAAAATGCCCAAGTGGATTTCAACCAAATTTTGTTTGAAACTGCAATAATTTCTGAAATGAGTGTTTGATGAATGTTATCAGATGAATATTACTATCCATGGACCTCTTTTGTACTTACCATCAATTTAGATTTTATTAGGACATCTGAAACAAAATCTCAGGTGGCCTGTAGCATGGTAGGATGAAGGGCTACCAAGTTTGTTCAAATGAATGACCTTGACTCTCTTTTGTCACTGATGTCAAATGTTTTAACAGCTTCTTCTCTAAATTCAATAGGCCCATGGTGCTGATATTGGGCCTACAGCATGCTGGTATGACGGGCTACCAAGTTTTTGTCAATATGAATGACCTTGACCCACTTTTAAATTCATAGGTGTCAAATGTGTTAAAATCTTCATGAGACTTCTTCTCATTAATAAAACAATCCAGGCTGTAGATATTGCTTCTTTAACATAAGTGGATGAAGGGCCACCAAATTTATTCAAATAATTGACCTTGACCTATATTCAAGGTCTCTTAGGTTAAATGAGTTGAGACCTAAAAGATGAGTTTTTCCATAAGCAATTGGTCAGGAGTAATGACATTCATATATATTTATGTATATTAAGGATATGATTTCAAGTTTGCAGAAAATATTTTTATGAACCAACCATGTCTTCTTTGTATGCTCAAGAGTAGTTGAGCAATTGTCTTAGGCCTATATGGCCTCTTGATTATATAAGTCTTTACAGTTAGGTGACTGTTAAAGCCCATAGGCCTCTTGTTGTTGTTTTTTGTTTGTTTTTTGTATGTATGTTTTGGTGTATTTTAACTCTGATGTCATTTAAATACATTGTATGCATGTTGAACAACTTTTGCACTTTTTCTTGTTTGATTAACTTGAAGGATGAGCGTGGCCATATATATATGACTCTGGACACTACAATGGAAGCTTTGACCGCTGGTCAATACAGGACTTTCGTCCCCCACTGTGGCATTTTCATCTCTAAATTCCCTTACTTCTCCACTACAAAGGATATACTATCATAGTAAGTGAGCTATTTACTGGCATTTTATCACAACATTTACAGTGAATTTATCTGTACTATTTTTGGCATTTCGTGAGATATGTCACTGATTTAATGTACCCTGGAGCGTGTATCATGTGTTGCATCAGTCAGAAATCAATTGTGATGTCATGATAATGACAGTATGATAATTTACTGCCTCTGTCTTTGTACTCCTCATTTTTACATTAAAACCTGCCAAAATGTAACTTGCCTTGGTTATGCTATAAAAAATATCTTGAATTGTTTTCATTTTATATGAGATTTTAACTTCATTGTGAAGTTTTAAATTTTACTTGCCAAGACTCACAAAGATAAAAAATTCTAAGACTTGTTTTATAAGATCTCATATGAGTTGTACACTCATTTTCTGATCTGTTACAGCATGACGTCCCTTATATCACAAAAACCTGATGATATGCTGGCCTTCATAAAGGAGATCTCCCATACAGTGACCTTGACTCCTGTGCCTCCTGTTGGTCCGGTGGCAGTCGTAAGTTTTTACAGGAACTATATATTGTTTATAACTGGTAAATCGATGAAATTATTGACAATTAAATTGTTGAGAAACAAGAAAAAAATTTTAACATGAAGAAGAAATTTCTAAAAGAAATAGTTTTCCTCAGTTAAAAAGTTTGATGTATTACAATATCAAATGGGATTTCAGTTACGGGTATATCTAATTACATTTTTTTTTATATATATTTCTATTATTGGGAAATGAAAAGTTGAAGATAAATTTTTTTTCTGATCTACATGTATTTTGGTATGTGTTGCTGCTATGATTATAATCATTTAATGAAACTTTTCAGGAAATATGTCTCCACGACAAACAGCCATTTACAATCTATCCCCCTGTGAAGGCAGATAAATCTGTGATTGATATACCACTTCATTTAGTCTTCATCAGTTTCCATGAGGATCAGATACTCCAAGTTTTGGCCGCCCTGTTTATGGAGGAGAGGATAGTGTTCCTATCATCCAGCTATGCATTACTGACCACTATATCAGAGGTAAATAGCCTCACTTACCACTATATCAGAGGTTAATAGCCTCACTCTACATCTATATCAAAGGTAAATAACTTCATTTACCACTATATCAGAGGTAAATAGCCTCACTTATCACTATATCAGATGTAAATAGCTTCACTTACCACTATATCAGAGGTAAATAACCTCACTCTGTATCTATATCAGAGGTAAATAGCTTCACTTACCATTATATCAGAGGTAAATAGCTTCACTTACCATTATATCAGATGTAAATAGCTTCACTTACCATTATATCAGAGGTGAATAGCTTCACTTACCATTATATCAGATGTAAATAGCTTCACTTATCACTATATCAGAGGTAAATAGCCTCACTTATCACTATATCAGAGGTAAATAGCCTCACTTACCACTATATCAGATGTAAATAGCCTCACTGACCACTATATCAGATGTAAATAGCTTCACTGACCACTATATCAGAGGTAAATAGCCTCACTTATCACTATATCAGGGGTAAATAGCTTCACTTACCACTATATCAGAGGTAAATACCTTCACTTACCACTATATCAGAGGTAAATACCTTCACTTACCACTATATCAGAGGTAAATACCTTCACTTACCACTATATCAGAGGTAAATACCTTCACTTACCACTATATCAGAGGTAAATAGCCTCACTTGTCACTATATCAGATGTAAATAGCTTCACTTACCACTATATCAGAGGTTAATAGCCTCACTCTACATCTATATCAAAGGTAAATAACTTCATTTACCACTATATCAGAGGTAAATAGCCTCACTTATCACTATATCAGATGTAAATAGCTTCACTTACCACTATATCAGAGGTAAATAACCTCACTCTGTATCTATATCAGAGGTAAATAGCTTCACTTACCATTATATCAGAGGTAAATAGCTTCACTTACCATTATATCAGATGTAAATAGCTTCACTTACCATTATATCAGAGGTGAATAGCTTCACTTACCATTATATCAGATGTAAATAGCTTCACTTACCACTATATCAGATGTTAATAGCTTCACTTACCACTATATCAGATGTAAATAGCTTCACTTGTCACTATATCAGAAGTAAATAGCTTCACTTACCACTATATCAGAGGTAAATAGCCTCACTTACCACTATATCAGATGTTAATAGCTTCACTTACCACTATATCAGAGGTGACTTACCACTATATAGGTAAATAGCTTCACTTACCATTATATCAGAGGTGAATAGCTTCACTTACCACTATATCAGAGGTTAATAGCTTCACTTACCATTATATCAGAGGTGAATAGCTTCACTTACCATTATATCAGATGTAAATAGCTTCACTTATCACTATATCAGAGGTAAATAGCCTCACTTATCACTATATCAGAGGTAAATAGCCTCACTTGTCACTATATCAGAAGTAAATAGCCTCACTTACCACTATATCAGAGGTTAATAGCCTCACTCTACATCTATATCAAAGGTAAATAACTTCATTTACCACTATATCAGAGGTAAATAGCCTCACTTATCACTATATCAGATGTAAATAGCTTCACTTACCACTATATCAGAGGTAAATAACCTCACTCTGTATCTATATCAGAGGTAAATAGCTTCACTTACCATTATATCAGAGGTAAATAGCTTCACTTACCAATATATCAGAGGTGAATAGCTTCACTTACCATTATATCAGATGTAAATAGCTTCACTTACCACTATATCAGAGGTAAATAGCCTCACTTACCACTATATCAGAGGTTAATAGCCTCACTCTACATCTATATCAAAGGTAAATAACTTCACTTACCACTATATCAGAGGTAAATAGCCTCACTTATCACTATATCAGGGGTAAATAGCTTCACTTACCACTATATCAGAGGTAAATACCTTCACTTACCACTATATCAGAGGTAAATACCTTCACTTACCACTATATCAGATGTAAATAGCTTCACTTACCACTATATCAGATGTAAATAGCTTCACTTACCACTATATCAGATGTAAATAGCTTCACTTACCACTATATCAGATGTAAATAGCTTCACTTATCACTATATCAGAGGTGAATAGCTTCACTTACCACTATATCAGATGAAAATAGCTTCACTTACCACTATATCAGAGATAAATAACTTCACTTACCACTATATCAGATGTAAATAGCTTCACTTACCACTATATCAGATGTAAATAGCTTCACTTACCACTATATCAGAGGTAAATAACTTCACTTACCACTATATCAGATGTAAATAGCTTCACTTACCACTATATCAGATGTAAATAACCTCACTCTATATCTATATAAGAGGTAAATAGCCTCACTTATCACTATATCAGATGTAAATAACCTCACTCTACATCTATATCAGAGGTGAATAGCTTCACTTACCAGCCTCACCTATCACTATATCAGAGGTAAATAACTTCACTTACCACTATATCAGAGGTAAATAACTTCACTTACCATTATATCAGATGTAAATAGCTTCACTTACCACTATATCAGAGGTAATACCTTCACTTACCACTATATCAGAGGTAATACCTTCACTGACCACTATATCAGAGGTAAATAGCCTCACTTATCACTATATCAGGGGTAAATAGCTTCACTTACCACTATATCAGATGTAAATAGCTTCACTTACCACTATATCAGAGGTAAATACCTTCACTTACCACTATATCAGAGGTAAATAGCTTCACTTACCACTATATCAGAGGTAAATAGCCTCACTTATCACTATATCAGAGGTAATACCTTCACTGACCACTATATCAGAGGTAAATAGCCTCACTTACCACTATATCAGATGTAAATAGCTTCACTTACCATTATATCAGATGTAAATAGCCTCACTGACCACTATATCAGATGTAAATACCTTCACTTACCACTATATCAGAGGTAAATAGCTTCACTTACCACTATATCAGAGGTAAATAGCCTCACTCTACATCTATATCACATTACCACTATATCAGAGGTAAATAGCCTCACTTATCACTATATCAGATGTAAATAGCTTCACTTACCACTATATCAGAGGTAAATAACCTCACTCTGTATCTATATCAGAGGTAAATAGCTTCACTTACCATTATATCAGAGGTAAATAGCTTCACTTACCATTATATCAGATGTAAATAGCTTCACTTATCACACTTACCATTATATCAGATGTAAATAGCTTCACTTACCACTATATCAGAGGTAAATAGCTTCACTTACCACTATATCAGAGGTAAATAGCTTCACTTACCATTATATCAGAGGTGAATAGCTTCACTTACCATTATATCAGATGTAAATAGCTTCACTTACCACTATATCAGAGGTAAATAGCTTCACTTACCACTATATCAGATGTAAATAGCTTCACTTACCACTATATCAGATGTAAATAGCTTCACTTACCACTATATCAGAGGTAAATAGCTTCACTTACCATTATATCAGATGTAAATAGCTTCACTTACCACTATATCAGAGGTGAATAGCTTCACTTACCACTATATCAGAGGTGAATAGCTTCACTTACCATTATATCAGATGTAAATAGCTTCACTTACCACTATATCAGAGGTAAATAGCTTCACTTACCACTATATCAGAGGTAAATAGCTTCACTTACATCTATATCAGAGGTGAATAGCTTCACTTACCACTATATCAGAGGTAAATAGCCTCACTTATCACTATATCAGATGTAAATAGCTTCACTTACCACTATATCAGAGGTAAATAACCTCACTCTGTATCTATATCAGAGGTAAATAGCTTCACTTACCACTATATCAGAGGTAAATAGCTTCACTTACATCTATATCAGAGGTGAATAGCTTCACTTACATCTATATCAGAGGTAAATAGCTTCACTTACATCTATATCAGAGGTGAATAGCTTCACTTACCATTATATCAGAGGTAAATAGCTTCACTTACCACTATATCAGAGGTAAATAGCTTCACTTACCACTATATCAGATGTAAATAGCTTCACTTACCACTATATCAGAGGTAAATAGCTTCACTTACCACTATATCAGATGTAAATAGCTTCACTTACCACTATATCAGAGGTAAATAGCTTCACTTACCACTATATCAGAGGTGAATAGCTTCACTTACCATTATATCAGATCAGCTTCACTTACCACTATATCAGAGGTAAATAGCTTCACTTACCACTATATCAGATGTAAATAGCTTCACTTACCACTATATCAGAGGTAAATAGCTTCACTTACATCTATATCAGAGGTGAATAGCTTCACTTACCACTATATCAGAGGTAAATAGCTTCACTTACCACTATATCAGAGGTAAATAGCTTCACTTACCACTATATCAGAGGTGAATAGCTTCACTTACCACTATATCAGAGGTAAATAGCTTCACTTACCACTATATCAGAGGTAAATAGCTTCACTTACCACTATATCAGAGGTAAATAGCTTCACTTACCACTATATCAGAGGTAAATAGCTTCACTTACCATTATATCAGATGTAAATAGCTTCACTTACCACTATATCAGAGGTAAATAGCTTCACTTACCACTATATCAGAGGTATATACCTTCACTTACCACTATATCAGGGGTAAATAGCTTCACTTACCACTATATCAGAGGTAAATAGCTTCACTTACCACTATATCAGATGTAAATAGCTTCACTTACACTATATCAGAGGTAAATAGCTTCACCACCATATATCAGAGGTAAATAGCTTCACTTACCACTATATCAGAGGTAAATAGCTTCACTTACCACTATATCAGAGGTAAATAGCTTCACTTACATCTATATCAGAGGTAAATAGCTTCACTTACATCTATATCAGAGGTAAATAGCTTCACTTACCACTATATCAGATGTAAATAGCTTCACTTACCACTATATCAGAGGTAAATAGCCTCACTTACCACTATATCAGAGGTAAATAGCCTCACTTACCACTATATCAGAGGTAAATATATATCAGACTATATCAGATGTAAATAGCTTCACTTACCACTATATCAGGGGTATATACCTTCACTTACCACTATATTAGAGGTAAATAGCTTCACTTACCACTATATCAGGGGTAAATAGCTTCACTTACCACTATATCAGTGGTAAGTAAATAGCTTCACTTACCACTATATCAGAGGTAAATAGCTTCACTTACCACTATATCAGAGGTGAATAGCTTCACTTACCACTATATCAGAGGTAAATAGCTTCACTTACCACTATATCAGAGGTAAATAGCTTCACTTACATCTATATCAGAGGTAAATAGCTTCACTTACCATTATATCAGATGTAAATAGCTTAACTTACCACTATATCAGAGGTAAATAGCTTCACTTACTATATCAGAGGTAAATAACACTATATCAGAGGTAAATAGCTTCACTTACCACTATATCAGAGGTATATACCTTCACTTAAATACCTTCACTTACCACTATATCAGAGGTAAATAGCTTCACTTACCACTATATCAGAGGTAAATAGCCTCACTCTACATCTATATCAGAGGTGAATAGCTTCACTTACCACTATATCACAGGTAAATAGCTTCACTTACCACTATATAGAGGTAAATAGCTTCACTGACCACTATATCAGAGGTAAATAGCTTCACTTACCACTATATCAGATGTAAATAGCTTCACTTACCACTATATCAGAGGTAAATAGCCTCACTCTACATCTATATCAGATGTAAATAGCTTCACTTACCACTATATCACAGGTAAATAGCTTCACTTACCACTATATAGAGGTAAATAGCTTCACTTATCACTATATCAGAGGTAAATAGCCTCACTCTACATCTATATCAGATGTAAATAGCTTCACTTACCACTATATCACAGGTAAATAGCTTCACTTACCACTATATAGAGGTAAATAGCTTCACTTATCACTATATCAGAGGTAAATAGCATCACTTATCACTATATCAGAAGTTAATAGTCTCACTCTACATCTATATCAGAGGTAAATATCATATCTTACCACTAATTCAAGTAAAGTTTACTGACATTCAATACAGATATCAACCAATCTAACTGACCGACAACATAGAGAAGTTTCGTAAATATTGTCCCCAGTGTAAACAGTGGATCCCAGCCTTCTTGGATAGAAGGGGCTGGGCACAGTAGAGGAAATTGATCAATTTGTGTAAAATCCTACTCCTCCTGTAGGAATGGATGGATATTGCCCAAATTTGATCTGAAGCATTCTTGGGTGAAAGGGAATTCTATGTGACTTAAATAATAAATTACTTGTAAAATGACAGTTTACATGGCATAGTATAAAAATAGCGATTTGAAAGATCGCTGCATTATTTACGCAGAAAATTGCCGCCAGAGGGCTCTAACTCTTTTCGATATTTCAGCAAATACATACCAGACCTATGAATCAACATTAACATCCACCACATACTCAAGGTCATCAATCAAAAAAAAATTCACTTGTAATTACTCCAGTTTCATGAGATATAATCAGTAGATCAGTATCTTCACAAATAAGGACGATATGACAGTTTTTACAACACTGATGTCACAATGCGTAGAAATGCATAGTTGGGAGTTAAGGGGTTATGTCCCATACACATTATACTCCTTTCTTTTTGGAAGCACTTCCTTTGTGATTCACTTAGAATAATTGACTAAAGATAACTCTATATACATAACATTACATAATGAGTCTGCCTCCTTCTGAATACATCCTGAACAGAGTCAAACAGGTCCACCAGCATCCTCACACCTTGGTAAGTTCTGAAAACTCGTCCTTTCTGATCAGAATTTTGAGCGTCCAACCCAGTGACTTGATATTCCTGTTTTGGGCATTTGACTTAAGTTAATATTTTTTGTGAATACCAGACAAGGAAGGTTTTATTTGTGTGAACAGAATTAAAAATGTGTCAAATTTTACTGTAATCACTCTGAGTGTGTATTTGTAATTTATCATTTTTATCAACCATTTTTCTTTTTTTCAGAGCTTTCTCAACTTCTTGTTGCCTTTTCGTTGGAGATTTACCTATGTACCTATACTATCATTGAAAGCCTTGGACTTACTAGACGCCCCCGGTACCTTTATCATGGGCTGTCATCTCAAACATCGCAGCATTGTGGAACAGGTACTAAAACAAAAACCAGTGTTGATATATAGGTTTTATATATGTACTTGTTGGTGTATAGGTTTTATGTAAGTACATGTTGGTGTGTAGGTTTTATATATGTACATGTTGGTGTAGAGGTTTTATGTATGTACATGTTGGTGTGTAGATTTTATATATGTACATGTTGGTGTATAGGTTTTATATATGTACATGTTGGTGTATAGGTTTTATATATGTACATGTTGGTGTATAGGTTTTATATATGTACATGTTGGTGTGTAGGTTTTATATATGTACATGTTGGTGTGTAGGTTTTATATATGTACATGTTGGTGTGTAGGTTTTATATATGTACATGTTGGTGTGTAGGTTTTATATATGAACATGTTGGTGTAGAGGTTTTATGTATGTACATGTTGGTGTATAGGTTTTGTATATGTACATGTTGGTGTATAGGTTTTATGTATGTACATATTGGTGTATAGATTTTGGCTACATTAAGATAGTTTTGTGAATTAGAATTTTGTACACATTGATGTAGAGGATAAAATGGAATATGTTTACAGATATATAGAAAATACATGATCAGTGTCTTAAAATATCAGCTGTATAAGACAAAAGTGGCATACAATTTTTGTCTTTCTGTACCGAGCCAAAATGCAGCTTCAATTTAAAAACATTGACCATGTATGTATATATGTATTTAACCTGCAACATTGATTGAAAATCAGACTACTGAAACTTAAACAGCTTTCTTGTTTAATCTGTGTTTACCTGATGTCGACGTTACGCTGAATTTTTCTTGATGACGTACGCCAAAGTAATTGTTCCTCACAGAAATGTAATTCCAAACTTCAACGGATATGACAGCGACTTTATGAATTTTCATAAATAAACTTATTTATTACAACATATGTAATAACTTATTTCATCAGTTATTTATATCATAAACCTAATTTTGAAGTAGATTCAGAAAGTAATTACCGCACGTGCTAAGTGACAGCCGTTTTCCGTCACTGACGAATACAGCAAAAATATATATAGAAGGTGTAGTCTGACAATGTCAGTGCCAGTTGCAGGATAAAATATTATATTAAACTGAGTTTTGGATATTTATGACGACACACATAATGAACTTGTTTGTCAGATTGAGGGTCTAGTGGTAGTTAACATAGACGAGGGTACAGTGATGGTGAACTCCACATCCAACACTTCTGATAACCATCATATACCCGCCATACCCGAGGAACCAGCCACATCCTTCAGGAAAGTCTGTAAGAGAGCCAGAGTGTTTTTTGAATTGGAAGATGTACAGAGGTACAGATTATTTAATCTTCAGTATACTTGGTAGTTTATTTGATTTTATTTAAATTTTCCATTTTATAAAAATTAACCAAGCCATCTTTATTCCTAGTCGACAATCCAGTCACCATCATTCCCAGTCGATAATCCAGTCACCATCATTCCCTATAGATAATCCAGTCACCTTCATTCCCTATAGATAATCCAGTCACCTTCATTCCCTATAGATAATCCAGTCACCTTCATTCCCAGTAAATAATCAAGTCACCTTTATTCCCAATAGATAATCCAGTCAACATCATTCCCAATAGATAATCCAGTCAACATCATTCCCAGTAGTGATCCAGTCACCTTCATTCCCAGTAGATAATCCAGTCACCATCATTCCCAGTAGATAATCCAGTCACCATCATTCCATATAGATAATCCAGTCACCTTCATTCCCTATAGATAATCCAGTCACCTTCATTCCCAGTAAATAATCAAGTCACCTTTATTCCCAATAGATAATCCAGTCAACATCATTCCCAGTAGATAATCCAGTCACCTTCATTCCCAGTAGATAATCCAGTCACCATCATTCCCAGTAGATAATCCAGTCACCATCATTCCAAGTAGATAATCCAGTCACCTTCATTCCAAGTAGATAATCCAGTCACCATCATTCCCAGTAGATAATCCAGTCACCATCATTCCCAGTAGATAATCCAGTCACCTTCATTCCCAGTAGATAAATATATATAGAGAGAGAGAGAGAGAGAGAGAGAGAGAGTATATTATACACTGTCTGTTTGAGTGATGGAGGCGTCTTGTTAGTTGGTCTGTTTCTTCCACCATTTCTTAAATTTCACATTGCACATGTATCAATGTACTGTTGAACATGTCTCAGACCATGTTTACAACAGTTTCTCAGAAAGGATAACACTGTTAGTAGGAAACCTGGCAGGAACTTATTAAGACATAAAGGTTTATTTGGTGAAATGATGTCTAAGAATTATTATGTAAATTTTACAGGCCAACCTGCCACAATGTTTCTGAGGAAAAGAAGATTCGGGAGACCCGAATTCGTAGATTGAATCGAGTGATAGAGGAAGGATGCCTGGAGTTGATGGTGAATCTCTTCAGGTAAAAAACTGACTAGTTATATAGTAGTCTGTCTTGCATGTTACCAAATCATCTGGTGTTTTGCAACATGTTCATGTTGTCTGCCTTGTTTGTAGTAGTCCAGAGATGTGAGGACAAGGGATGATCAGGCCTCTTTTTTAAATTGTAGTTACTTATTTTATTGTATTGCTATGAAATATTGCTTTTTTATTTATTGTGTGTTGTATATTTAATTTCATTTTTCATGTTAAAATGTTCTAGAGGAGTAGTTTTGGAAGTGAGACCTGAACACCACAGCTTCAATGAACAGTTGTTCTTGGAATCTCAGGGGAAAAGCCCAGAGGATAAACTGTTCTATAAAAAAGTAGGTATTGTCAGTTTCATAAAACCTTGTTAGTGATATGTACCTTTTACATGGAACAAACAGTTTTATGGGAAAATAAGTATTGTCAGTTTCATAAAACCTTGGATGTACCTTTTGTAAGTACATATCATAAAAAGTAAATAATTTAAGCTAGAGGTTCCAAGGGACCTGTGTGCAGAGCCTGAAACGGAAAAGGTAGTCATTACTTCCATTTAAAATGCTACTCTTCCTTAATGCTTGAATGGATTTCATTCACATTTTTTTCTGACATACCATTAGGGGTGGGCAATTAATTCTTAAATTCAGAAAGTTGATTCGACCCCTAGCGACTTAGGAATGGGGCCCCAAAGGGGGAAGTTAGTCAATATTTTGCTTCCAAATTCTACTTCTTCCTTGGTTGATTTCAACAAAATTTTATCAGAAACATTATTGCAGGTGGGTCTTTTTATCGGAATTCAGAACGTTGATTTGGCCACCGTGGACCTGAGTACAGAGCCCCCAAAAAAAGGGAAGTTAGACAATATTTTGCTTTAAAACACTACTCTGTCTTAATGCTTCGGTTGATTTCAACCAAATTTGGTTTTAAACATTATTGCAGATGAGTCATCATTTCTTAATTCAGCAAGTTGATTTGACCCCAAGGGACCTTGGAGGTGGGGTTCCAAAAGAGAAAGTTAGTCAATATTATGCTTCAAAACAATACTTCCCCATAATGCCTAAATGGATTTCATGCAAATTTGGTATAAAACATCAGTAGAGATGGGTGATTAATTGTTGAAATCTGAAAATTGATTTGAATCCTAGAGACTTAGGAATGGGCCCCCGGAAGGGGAAGTTAAGCAGTATTTTGCTTCGAAACACAACTTCCCGATAATGCTTGAATGGATTTCAGTCAAATTTTGCTGTATAGAGGTATTATAAAACCAGTGAAAAATCATAAATATCTATGCAAACTTCTTAATACAAAATGTTATGGGAAATTGCAAAACATAACACAGCTGAGATGAACAAGTAACAAATCAATCAGGTGAATTCTTCAATATCTGCCCTACATGTTAATTGGAAAATGTCAATTTCAGCTGGTACTGACATCACTTTCATGTCAGAAATGTACCTGGGTGAACACCTTGACACACCTGGACACAGCTGTATGTCCATGGTCACCACCTTGTCAAATGACATGTTATTTATGACCTAGATAGTGGATATTGTACCATTATCATAAACCCTATTGTTTTCTATTATGTATACCCAAATATAATGAGATCAATTATTTTATCTCAAGATTCTTCCAATTACACATTTACGTATTCAATTATCATAGTACATTATAAAATGTTTACTTACTGGAGGGACGGATAATACGTATACGTTGATCCCAGCTCATCGGTTGTATCTATAAAGTATCCTAAGTTATTTGAAAATAAATACCGTAAATATTCGCGTATAGTGCACACTTTTTTAAGCTGAAACTGTCGTGTCAAAAAGGGGGTGCGCACTATACGCAGGTACATGCCATTCCTGGGGTTATCATTCCCGAGTTCTGCATCCGCCATATTGGATTACCTCTCTTCACATAGTTATATGTAAAAGTCATCGGTCTTATATGATAGTTTGAAGATAAAAACAACAAAAAAATAAAATGTTTTAATCATCTGCCATTCATTACGGTGAATCAAATTTTTTTTCGTTTCCTGTCGGTCTTACTATTGGTCGGGGCTATAGTAGTGTCTGAATTTCTGCCTCATTTTGATGATGTATCTGTGGAATTCAATGAATCCGGAAGTTTTTAGGCAATTGTCGTTCTGTTCATAAATCGGACAGCCCATCCCACCGATGCCCAAAGTTGGTGACCCCATGACCTCTCTTGATCTGCATGGCCCGCACGCGCAGTTCTGTTGTACTGGCAGCGATGCCGGGATATCGGCGATCGCATACAAATTTGAACAGCTCTCTCCCTCCATCTTTGGGTGTTTCGCTGTTGCACCTATGTCAGCCCTTCTGGTCAGTGGTTGGGACTTTAAACGGTCTTTTCTTTCTTCCGTGCCTTGATATTTCACTCTGGAATGTCGAAGTGGCGACCGGCAGCACGAAACTCCAGTATCTCGGCGTAGTCAAATGGCGTTCGCAGTTTCCCCATGTCGAAGTCGGTGTAAACAATCTATCATTAAATACCTTCGGATACCGCGGTGGGTACAGATACCATGAAAGATCATGCCTATACTGAACAAACCACCTGCATTCATGGGGACAAGGTAGGTCTGGAAATGTTCAGACAGTTAAAACAACATCGTTTTCTGACCAATAGTACGCGTTCAGCCCAAGCCGGGTGTCATCAGTCTCCTCATACTCAACGTGTTAACTGTCATTAACCGTTAATTATACAATCAGCCAAGCCTTTCATGCTTGATAGGTCACCTGGGTAAATTTGTTTACTTAAGGTAATTACATGTGTTAGGGTCACGCTCATTGTGGTTTCCTAATTATCAATGGATCAGACCACATCAAATGTTTCGTCGCAGTGACCAGTCAATTAATTTTTCTGTAGATTTTTTTTTTTTTAAAATCTGATCTCCAAAAAGTACCTGCGCACTATACGTGAGTTTTTACGGTATGTAGAAAAATACAGTGTTTTTCTGTTAAAACTGGGCTACACGGTAGCTATTGATTTACATCTCCTTGTTCTAGGATAACAATTGGCAAACACCGAATATTAATTATATGATACGTATGTATTTGCACGTTTATTGTCCTACGTGTGGAAGTTGATGATGTTGTATAGCATGTGTGCATGTATTACTATGATATTTGTACTCTTTCCCTGAAGATAAAGTCCTGTTCTGTGTGTTTCTTCGTTATTCTATTGTGACTTTCATTCTGTATTTCCTGCACGGAATGGAGTTATAGGCCCGGGAAATGCAAGATAGAAGATTTATTTTCTTGACAATTCTTTATTTACAGATAAAAAAACTCTTTCTGTAGCGCTAATTACGAGCAAACATATAACAAGTTATAAATATAACACAAAATATTGAGTCATGGTAAAACTACAGAATTAAAACAGATATACACTATCTACTTACTGACAAGTACAAAAGTAGTTCAATGTATTGTAGAATGCATGATGAAAGCAAATCATAAGCTGTAATAGCAATATATTTAGTAACAAAGTATTTTTCAGTAAACATAACAAAAGTGAAACATGAAGCAAAATGACACAAATTATATGGAATAGAAATAAAACGATATAATAGTGAGTTTGGAGATTTCTGCGATAAAAGAAAACAAAAAACCATCAATAATGGTATGATTTTACTGAATTGTGAGCCTTGAGTTCATTCCTTGATGTAATACAGGTAAAACTGGCCATCTTATTCGGGTGAATTTACAGTCCAATAAACTAATTAGTGTTCTGTCACGACCACTCAACCCCTCTCACAGGCAGGTTCCCGTGTGTACTTAGGTACAAGTAGCTGACAGCATTCCAGACTTAACAGCAATGAATAGTGTGATGAATATTGCATTTAACAAATACTTTATGGTTAGATTAAAACAGTTTTATATTTTTTTAAAACCAAATCTGAAAAAAAAGTGAAAAGACGCATCCAATCACTTAAGTGAGTGCTCAGCGAAAATTACTAAACAAACAAGTTTATATAGAATACTATTAGATACAAGAAAGTTGACACTATGTAAATATAGACAGGCTATAGACAGGCAATGAACAAATAGAAGTTAAAATTTGCCTTACCGTTCATTGAGATATGGTATGCCTATAATTTTTGTCTGCGTCAACAAAACCAGGGTATGATTTGTCACCCTAATTGTTATTACTGGAACTTTGAGACTCAAACTGTTATGGTCAAATAACAAACTTCACTTCTTCGTTGTTTTATGGTGCTGGGCATGCTTTTTCAATCAAATATAGCCGATTTCATGTGTAGTCTTCATAAACACTACTACTGAATACATGTCTGGTGGCGTGATCAACCAATGAGAATCCTTGTTTTTTAGAAGGGAAATAACTCTAGATCTTTTAACTTCCTCGGTTAATTACAGGTAGAATTAGTGCTACCTGTATATCATGCTGTACGCTGATCACATTATTTAAACAAGATATGATTATTTTTCACAAAAAAATCAACTTATTTTGTTTGTCAATGATCTTTAATGCTTGTTTGGATTTTATTCAAATTTTGTCTCAAACATCATTAGGGGTGAGCAATTAATTCATAAATTGAAAAAAGTTGATTTGACCCCTAGGGACTTAGGGGAAGGGCCCTAAAAGGGGAAGTTAATCAGTGTTTTGTTTCTTTATGCATGGGTAGATATCACCACAATTGGGTCTGAAACAGTATCAAGAAATGGGAATGATACTAAATGTGTGTGAAGTGATCATGATATTGTCCTGACCAAATCTTATCTTTAGGTTTGGTCCAAAATCCAACAAAACTCATCTTGAACAAATACATGTAGTTTGGACTACTTTTTCAGTTTCATTCACGCTATTGAGAGAAAAACTATTGGAGTTTTATTTGTTAAAGGAAAGAAACAGTTGATTTGTTTTTTTCAGTCTAATCAAAACTTCAACATGGTAGACACTGTAGCCATTTTGTAACTTAATTACCCAACTGTATTTCATGAACTAAATATACCATTTATGAGTTTCTGGATCCTTTCTAATAATGTTCAAAATTTGAATTCATCAGATTAGTAATACCACTATCATTTAATTCTATAGTGTTTCAATTCGTCGATTGTTAATTTTCACGGCCCTCTTGTTCCTGAAATCAGATTGCTATAAAAATGGTTTCCGTGATATAACTTAAGTTCCCTTGGACCAATCAAAATCAAACTTCCAGCCACATAGCGGGCCCTGCAGACCTGTCAGTGTTCAAGTAATTATTTGTTAAATTCAGAAAGTTTATCTGACCCCAAGGGACTGGAGGAGAGGGCCCAAATTGGTAATGAGGAAGAAAGTTTTCTTTAAACCACTTTTAATCCTTCCTCAACACTTGAGTGCTTGAGTGGATTTCATTCAAATACAGTCTGAATCATCACTTGGTAAGGACAATCAATTCAAATGTCATGAAACGATTGAGAATTAACACATTACATAAGATCATTATTTAAATTTTAGGTTTTGAAGAAAGACATGTTCAAGTCCTTCCTTGATGATCGTCTGAAGGAGAAAACTGACTACTGGACAGAGTTTGAGAGAAAGACACGACAGTTTGTAAAACAAGCAAGCTTGGGTGATATCAGAGTCTCACAGGTACACCCTCGGTAAGTTACTTGTGTTTGTTGAAATCAAATGTAGATTTGCTTTAGTAACCTTGAGAGACTAAACATGAAAAATTGTCTAATCTTCCCCTGTATTTGTGGAGGGACCCCATGGTAAGAGAACACTTTCCTGCCTTCAGCTAGTAAACTATTGTATACATATTAGCCTTGTGCCCAAGTCATGCATTTTGTTATCAGGAAGATTTCTTTTTTGCTGTTACCATGGAAACAAGTCAGAATTCAAAACTTTGTACATCTATCAAACTAGATTTATTAAGCACAAGTTGTACTTTTTGTTATTGGCAAAATTTCATTTCTAATACCCAGTAGTTGCAATGTTACTATTGAAACAAATGGTAGGAAAATACAAAAAAAACACTTTTTGCAAGGTTCTTTGCACTACACATCAAAAATTGTTCACCCAATTTGTAGCTTACACAGCTCAAAGGATCAAGTAGGTTTATGACATATTGCAGCATCCATTGTCTGTTTCTCCAGCTCTCCGTCAACTTTTCCTACAAATGGTTTCTAGTCTTTAACAACTTAGCAGATTTTTACCAAATTTGGTCAGAAGAGAAAATTTAGCAAGTTCTTTAATATAATTCTTCTTCTGTAGGAAAATTTTTGAAAGTTTTGTCCATATTTGATCTGAAACATCCTTTGGAAAAAAGGATTCAATATTCAGTGAACAGTGAGTGTAGTACTGTGGTCAGCAGAGCAAATTATTTAAGGTCCTCCTTATCTGAAGGAATGCCCAGATATCTATACATGTACAATGTTTGTGTATATATGGTGTGTCTCGACGGTTCCCCCTAGGAGAAGATAGAGCTCAATAGTGACAATTTTACAGCAAAGTCTTGCTTTGTTCTCTGTGCTATAGTGGGACAGTTTGCCCAAATATTCAAATGAATTGTGCATTTTGTGATACAAGCACCAAATTTGGCACACATGTACATTAACATGTTGCAAACATTTTGAGATATTGGACCACTCGGAATTCTCTCTTTATGTCCACCATATTGGATTTCAAAATGGCCGCCACTTTGAAGTCTACATATGCGATTATCTCTGGGTCAAATGCTGCTATTGACTTGATTCTGGTGTCTAAATGTATGTTTTTGGGGACAAGGAATCCAGTGATACCAATTTCAACTTAATGTTATCTTTCACAGTCTGTTATATAATTGTATTTGGAAATTACCTAGGTAAATATAAGATTGAACACGATATTTTGAAAAGAATGATCTTATGAAAGCATGTTAAATGGGTGGTAAAGTCTTAGGTCTGTAAATGTATTAGGTACCATTCCTGCATGCTACATGGTCTAATATCTGAGGCTAGGTGTATACTGGCATTCTGCAATGGTCTGGTATCTGAGGCTAGGTATATATCGGTACTGAAGATACGTGTACATAAACAGTGTGATGTTAACAAGTTCAGCACTGCCACAAGTACGTGTATGTTGTGGACTCATCGTCATGTGCAGTCCCCTTCACACACACAGAGGGCTGTGCACTGAAGGGCAGCCTTCTTGCATTTGCAGCGCCTCACACACCCTTTCTGGCACTTGCAAGAAACCAGTTCAATGCAGCTGTGAGCTGCCTCAGGTAGCCTGGTCCAGTATGGTGTGTACTGTCCCCCAGTCATTGACCAACCCAAGTTGGTTGGTGGAGGGAGCTCTGGTGCTGGCAGCAGTATCTGACCCCACACATGTCCACCTTGATGCACTGCCCTCTTGACATCATCCTCTAAAGCTGCCTCTGTTGGAGGGATCAGCTGCACATTGTTCTTCCTTGCGAAGAGTTTCCTCCTGGTCTTGTCAATGCCCATGAATTTTTGGGTTTGATCATACAACAGGATCACGAACCTTTCAATGATGCACATTGCATCGTTTGGTATGTCACGTGGTGTGGAGGACAGCAGCAGCAGCACCTCAGTGAGTTCTGGCAGTACCGTCCAGACTGCCCACGCAGCCTTCTTGCCATGTCTGGCAAAACTGGACACAGTGTCACATCCAGCAAGAGCATGGAACATTGGCAAAGCACAAGCCTTCTCTCGTCCCAGTCCAGCTGCTATTTCATGTGCTGATATCGGAAACTTCGGCCTGTTCTGATTGCCAGCCATTGTTCGTCTTCTGATTGCAACTCCTGTACCACGGACACTGCCAGCACCACAACATCGGTATCTGCTGTCCGAATAACTATTGAATGGTGTCAATGCCTGGCTGCATGAGATGCATGCAGCAACATCTGACTGTCAGCCTCTTCATGGTTAGATAGGGCAAGTGAGGTCAGATCTGGTAGTAGTGGCTTGCTGAGCACTGCCTCCCCATCAGTAATGATGGTTTGCTTGTCCTCCTGGTCAAACCATTTCATAAGAGCTGCTGAGAGGAACCTAAACAACTCAGTCTTGTTGCTGTCCACTCGTAGGAAGTTCTGCCAGTTTCCTGGTATGGCTACAATGGCAACCACAAGTCTCCGTACGCCTTGTCCTCACTTTGCAAGTGTTCTACCTTTCAGTGAATCAGAAAGGTAAGTATCCCAGACCAGATCCAGGCGTGACACTGTTTGCAGCTTCGTAGACATATATGGGATGAAGATCTGATGTGCATACTCTTCAAAGGTTTTTGATGCAGCCGGTATGATTTAACTTGGTCCAGGATTGGCCTGCAACGTCCTTAGATGAAAGAAACTCAATTTTTGTATGATAACAGTATTTCTGATCCCTCTTAGGCAGAGGGGTGTGGCCTAGTATTTGGGGAAATAGATATAAGTCAATAAAATTTTCTCTGCCTTGTCCATCCTTAATTACAGAATTATTGCCCTTTGTTAACAAATTGTGTCCAATAAAATCATTTTTGAGGAGCATTCATCATTTTCTCAGAGGTAATATAATAAAGTTTACTATAATTTTTACAGAAAAAATACATTTTTAGCATAATGTTTATTTCCTGTTCGAAATAACTTTGTAAGAATTATTAATATAGGATGACAGTTTAGATGTAGGCATCAGTGTCATATTCTTTTTACCATGACATGTGAAACTACTTTCCCTAGCTTTAACCTTTATGTTCCACATTACTGAAAGCTACTTTCCCTAGCTTTAACCTTTATGTTCCACATTACTGAAAGCTACTTTCCCTAGCTTTAACCTTCATGTTCCACATTACTGAAAGCTACTTTCCCTAGCTTTAATCTTCATATTCCACATTACTGAAAGCTACTTTCCCTAGCTTTAACCTTTATGTTCCACATTACTGAAAGCTACTTTCCCTTAGCTATAACCTTCATATTCAATATTGCTGAAAGCTACTTTCCCTTAGCTATAACCTTCATATTCAATATTGCTGAAAGCTACTTTCCCTAGCTTTAACCTTCATATTCAATATTGCTGAAAGCTACTTTCCCTAGCTTTAATCTTCATATTCAATATTGCTGAAAGCTACTTTCCCTAGGTTTAATCTTCATATTCAATATTGCTGAAAGCTACTTTCCCTAGCTTTAACCTTCATTTTCAATATTGCTGAAAGCTACTTTCCCTAGCTTTAACCTTCATATTCAATATTGCTGAAAGCTACTTTCCCTAGCTTTAATCTTCATATTCAATATTGCTGAAAGCTACTTTCCCTAGCTTTAACCTTCATATTCAATATTGCTGAAAGCTACTTTCCCTAGCTTTAATCTTCATATTCAATATTGCTGAAAGCTACTTTCCCTAGCTTTAATCTTCATATTCAATATTGCTGAAAGCTACTTTCCCTTAACAATTAAATAAACCAGAGACTTTTGGGCAAAAGATCAGACTAGGCAGGACTCAATCAATGTATGTTTTGTTTTACAACATAGTTTTAACATTGCAGCAAAAGTTTTAACATTGTAGCAAAAGTATTTAAAAAAACTTATTGACCGTTTTCTTAATTTTTCTCAGATTTCCTTTCTTATTTTCATTTGTTTGTTTCAGAAAACCTTTGAACAAACAAGTCTCCTTGTCAAGGATCCATGAAAATCCTTATGAGAGGCCATTGGTGATTGTCCGACTTCCACAGAACAATTCTTCATCACAATATCTGTCTTCTTGTATAACCTCACTCAGCATCTCTTTACAGGTAGACTGATCTATCAAACATAATCAGCTTCACAACTAGAAAAGTCGACTTTTTTGTTACCTTATAATAATCGTAGGACTGTGATTTGAAATCAGTGGATGAGCTTATCAACAGACACATTGTATCATTTTTGTTGCTGCAGGTATGGTACTACAGTCAAACCGTGTTAGCTCGAACTTGAGGGGACCATGAGAACTTTTTGAACTATTTGAGTATTCATATTAATGGAATTCGTATGTTTGTTGCAAAGTTTGGGATAATATGCATGAATGATAAAGTTCCATGCTGTCAGTCACTTAAAGACTCAAAGCTTGGAAAGTAAAAATAATAAAACAGAAGAAAAGCAGGATTTTCAAATTTTCAAAGTTCGGGTTAACAATGTTCGACTGTACATATAATTTTATTGCAGTTAAACCACAGGTATATATAGGTTAATTAGATACTGATAAGGTGTATTCTAGTCCCTGTGACATCACAGGTAGGATGTGATTACTGTAAGCTAATTCTGTGGTGTATATTTCAGTCCTGTATGGATTACCAGGAACGGATATCCTATTTATACCTTATGGCAGTGTTCAAGTTTGCAGACCATGATCACGTTGGTGCTCTTACAGACATTATAACTCTAGCAGCAATTGACTGGAATCTTTTACCAACATTGTATGTATGACAGAATTTAGATACAGTGGACCCATGATAATCCAGATGTCGATAGTCTGGAAAATGGGCGGAATGTTTGAGATTGTCTTGAATATCATAATAAGAACAAAGTAAGTAAATAAAAGACATATATAAATATTCACAGGAAAAGTTGTATACACATTCTGCAAGCAATCAACTGCATCATAGTGATGGCATTAGGTCCTGAAGGGAGATAACTCAATCTAATTCGGGTGGTTAACTGAACTGGGCAGTCTAAAAATTTTCACTCCAGTCGAGAAAGAAGGTGTCGGAATTATCAGGGGATCACTGTACTACTTGTAGAATTGAAATTACTTTTTATGAACATTTTATACATGTTTATGTTTTGTTTGAAAAGACTTTACAATGTTTTTCATCTCTACATTCATGAAGTGATATGTTCACTCTGTCATGTTCTTACTGTAAGCAAGAATCTGACCTAGGCTTGAAAACCTACTCCCAGATTGGTATTGTCTTTTACTGGCTCTTGTTTTTTACCCTGGTTCGTAGCTGGATATGTCTATTGATGTTGGTGACTCACCTGGTCCGTCTGTTCATCTGTCCATCAACTTTTCCCCTGAATATCACAGCTAGTTGTAAACGACTGACAGGATTTTGGCCAACTTTGGTCAGAAGCATCAAAGGGGAAAGGAAATCAATTTTGTATAAATGGTTGGTCTCTGCCCCAAGGGGCCTGAAGGTTAAAGCCGAAAATGAGAAATTTTTAAATGCTACTCCCACTGTAGGAATCCTTGGATATTGGCCAAATTCAGTCTGAAGCATTCCTAGGTGAAGGGAAGTCAATCAAATTCTTTATTATCTTACTCATTCTGTGGCAATGATTGGATTTTGTCCCGGTTGGTGTGAAGCATTGGTGGGTGAAGGAGAATCACTTTGTTATAAAATTTGGGTTTCTGCCTCCTAGGAAAGGACCCAATACTAGAAATAGGGCAAATTCTTTGAAATCTGATTTCTTCTCTATGAATGCCAAGATGTTGTCCCCATTTGGTCTGAGATATGCATGTTTTGTGTGTAAAATGCATCTGATTCCCATAAGGCCTAATATAGGAAACAGATATAAATCTTCATAATGCTTTTCATGTAGTTAAGGAATTTCAGTGTATTAACCAGATGCGTTGTACAGGCCCTATAGGACTATTGTTTTTATCCTGGTTTTCAGTTTGGTATAAAAATATATTATATTTTTTCTTGTTTTTATCCTGGTTTTCAATTTGGTATGTTAAGTGTTTTATATTTTTTTTCATCCTGGCTCTTGTTTTGGCATGTCTTGTGGTGTTATTTTAGCTCACCCGATCCAAAGTGTTGTTATTTTTTTTATTCTGGTTTACAGTTTGGTACTTGTACCTTTTTGTTGTTCTCATGTAAATCTTTCGGTTTGTTTTAATTGGGTTTTAATAGTTATTAATTCTATTAGATTTTATTTGATAAATACTGATTGTATATAAACTAATTCTATTAGATTTTAATTGATAAATACTGATTGTATATAAACTAATTCTATTAGATTTTAATTGATAAATACTGATTGTATATAAACTAATTCTATTAGATTTTAATTGATAAATACTGATTGTATATAAACTTTTATTGATACAGGCTTGTTCATGAAATCCACAATCTTCTCACAGCCCAAGAAAAGCTGAACCTTGAGAAGGTCAAAGGTTATCATAACATCATAGAGAAACAAAAGGAAGAAAGCCAATCAATGGACACCAGCACGATTCGGCGTTACCATAACCACAATGATATCATTAACATCCCAGACTATGACTTAGGTAAGATATATTTAGCTTTCTACAATACTGAGATGTGCAAGAATTTACCTCCATACCGAATGTATACTGAGAGGAAAAAAAAACACAATTAGCAGAAAGTTAATATTGTAAATTAAATCCTTGACGTACACCCTTGAAACTTGACAAATGTGTGCATTTGAGTTAGGTCCCTATGGTACCATATTAAAATCACTGATGCATAACTAAACTGCGCATGCCACTTGTACAAAAGAATAAGAGACAAAGATATCTCGAACCCAGTATAAAGGATTGGTTCAAAATCTGTGTGTGCGAATCTTCAGACATATCCGTCTTGATTTCCCACATTTTAAGCATAAACAATTCACCGTAAAAAATGCCATGACTGTCCGAAGTTGACAGGGGTCGTGCCATTGCACTTCTTATGCAAGGTTCCCCACAAAATCAGGTTGCTAATCAATTTGGAGTCCATCCATCCAACATTTGCTGTCTCATCCAAAGACTACATGCCACCTACGCAATCGCTTTCTGACGGCCACGGAAACAGCAAGGAATACAACTGGACGTCATCATGTTCCAATTGATCCAAAGACTGCGTGCCTTTGGTCTAAGACCGCAGCTGCCATATGTTGGACCACAGCTAAATGTGCAGCGATGTGCCAGACAAATGCAATGGCTGAACGCACATTCCATAAGACGCTTCCCAATTCAACATTGGAGAAGAGTCCTGTTCTCAGATGAGTCCAGGTTTTCACTTTACCGGGCAGACGGCCGACGTCGTGTCTATAGATGTACCCACGAGTGCTATGCAGATGCTTGACTGCTTTGGAGGAGGATCGGTCATGGTATGGGGAGGGATTGCGCATGGTATCAAGACTCCTCTGGTCTTTATTTAGGGAAATCCCACGGCTGTCTGCTATAGAGTTCTATAAAGTTCTAGTGCCGCATATTGTTCCTTTAGTACAGCAGCGTCAACTGACTTTTCAGCAGGACAACGCCCGGCTGCATGTAGCGAGGGTTTGCCGTGGTTATCTCTCAGCAAACAATGTCCCCACCCTAGACTGGCCCCCATACAGCCCTGACCTCTCCCCAATGGAACATTATGGGAAGAGTTGGACAGAAGGATAAGACTTAGGCCGAATCCTCAAATCAACATCACTCAGTTGGCGTTGCCGCTTGATGAGGAATGGAATCGTATACACATGAGGAGGCTTAAAACCCCAATCAATTCAATGCACAAAAGAGTTCATACAGTTACTGCAGCTCGCGGGTGGCACACACAATATTGATGGGTCTAGAACGCACTTCATTTTGAGTGGGGTACTGTTGAATCAACGTCAAATTTGAAAGGTTTACTTAATGTACACGAATGAAATTCTCGTAGATGACAGAGTGGTCAACTATCTTCCAGTTACACCATAATTACATTCTAAAACCCTTTTCTATTTCCCGTAGTTGACCTGGAAATTCCTAATTGCGTTTCTTTTTCCTCTCAGTATTTATACAGTTTTGAAATATCTAAACTAAAATATATTGTTTTTCATAAAAATGTATGGCTACCATGCCTGCCATCTTAAATCTTCTACTCACGTTCCCCTTGTAGCAGAGCTGAATGTTAATTAGGATGTTGCGGATAGTATTAGCCGGTGTTGTTGTTTTTCTGTCTCGTCAAAAGTTTGACATTGCAACCATACGGCAGCCATTTTGTATACATGCATTGTGCAATCATGGCTTCCCTGAACAACACCAATTTTAATCTTCTTCTAAGGTTTCACATGTAAGATTTAACTGAAATATGCCTGAAATTAGCTTTGAATGGTGCTGACCAAGTGTTGTAATTTTTTGAGTCTGTCCAAAATTTATAATGGCTGCCATAGAGGCCATTTTGAAAGACACGTTTTAAACTTTTCCAGTTTCGTTGGTGCCATTGATCTGAAAAATGGTGAGGATTTTAAGAACAGGTAACCAATGAAGTATTGTTATTTTTCAGCTTTGGCAAACATTTGAAGTGGCAACCATTGCATGTTGGCCATTTTGAAACATGATTTAGTAGTTATGGGTTCCCTGTGTAACACCAATCCTAATCTTGTTACTTGTACCCAAGTTCCTCTGATGTTATTGAGCTGAAATTTGTCAAAAAATTGAGAAACTGGAGGAAGATTGTCTTTTTGCCTTTACTGCTAAAATATTTCAATCTGTTTTAATTATTTGATAACTGTTCTCACTCCTAATGTATTACTATTGTATAGGTGTTTATAATCAGATGACTGTTGAGGCTAATAGGCCTCATGTTTAATTCTATACCAAGGATGATCAGATCGGATGATTGTGTAGCTACAGACATTTGATTTAAACTATGGGAAATTACAATATAAAAACTGGAAATCAAGCTGCCTTCCAGAATAAGCTTATCCTAAAAATAGTTTCTTACATCAATAGATCTGCTTTTGCTTTCTTATTTATTTGCTTTTTTATGCTCACCAATTTGTCTGTCCGTCCGTCCTTTCATGTCCAGTGCATACTTTGCTAGCATATACACTGGGATAACGAAACTTTTTGCATACATTGATCATATGAAGACAATGTGCAGTGTACTAATTCATGGTCTGTAAGTCCTTAATTACAGAATTATTACCCTTTGGTAAAATCTTGTTTCCATTAAAGTTGGTTTTTTCAGAATCGTTCATCAGTTTCAATGATACTCTTGTTTGAAGTATATTGTAGAATAAATGATTGTTTCCCTGTTTTATGAAATGTCCTATTTGTTTGTATTTAACAGCTTTTGATGTGTTCAGGAAGTATGTATCTCTGTATGAGATGACACAGGACTACGATACCATATCTAGGCTGTTCCAAGCCCTCACGGGAATGGCACGGGAAACACGTAAGCTGATATTGTTAAGATCAAGCTATCTGCTTTATACAACTTAATCTTTTGTAAGTAAATTTTGTCCTGGAAACAATTTATACAAAAATGAAAAATAGAAAAAAATATTGCCAATAAATCATCTTCAGTTTTGACAAATATTACTTCACTTAGAGTGTTATGTTTTCATTATTGAACCTGCTTAAAAACATTTTAAAAACCAGCTCTATGATAGCTTAAACAATAATCTACGGATGCCTTCCTGAAGTTTCAGTTCTTTGTTCTCGATTTATATAACTTTTCTAATCACGGTAATTTTACAGACTTTGACGTCTTTTTGACTGACATGTTGATCCTGAAACATTTTCTGACCGCTGATATACATTTATACTGCCTTGTCATACTTTCAAATCTTCAAACTATTTGAGATCGCTGTGTTGAAAAATCTCAAAGCTATTTTATACTGCCATGTTATAAGCTTTCAAAGCTATTTCAGACTTCTGTGTTTATTTAAGATATCATAGCTATTTCAGACTGTTGTGTTGTAAGATCTCAAAACTACTTCAGACTTCTGTGTTTATCTAAGATGTTGTAGCTATTTCAGACTGCCTTGTTGTACTTTCCAGACCTTGACCACGAGACGTTCCAGGCATTTTGTTTGTGCTGGCAAGAAAATCATGAACAGTGTATGAAAGTGATGGAGGAGCGCGACCTCCAGACAGATGAGTCGGTACTCAAGGTTTCATCACTTTGTAAGACTGACTTTGGGACAGGTCGTGTTGTATTAACAGACAAAAGGTTTGTCTTCCTTATAGAAATAATTATTGTATCTATACAGCAATAACTCTGTGTCTGGTATTACACAACATACCAAATATAGTACAGATATAGCTGAGATAATATCACAAGTCACTAATATCACAAGTCACATTTACTAACTATAAAGGTGTTTTGGACAAAGTTCTCAAGTACAAATGGCAGGTGTCATCATTTGAAGCAGAAGACACTTTCTCCTCTGGGAAAACCAGTCTCATTTCAATCTCACTTTCGTTCATAATTTGCGCGAGCTTCATTGAATTTAAGCGTGAATTCAGATTCTATTTACAAATCAGTATTTTTAGCTTACTGTCAACAGATACTGAGCTGTTCAGTTGACATTTGTACACCGTCTTTTCCACTGTCCTTAAACAATTCTTGTGTAAAAGCTGAGAGTACAGGTTGCCTTACTAGCCTCAGCTAGTGGGAATTTCCCTTAAGTCAAGCTGTAGAGTGTTCGACTACAGACTAAAGAGTTGACGTTTGCCACCCTGGGGCTAGAAGCTGTAGGAGATAGATATTGAACCTGAGTAGTTATTGTCTTTGGGGTCAAAGACTTTGTAAAGGAGGGAATATTGTAGAGAGTAGAGGTCGCTAAACAGGCGAGAGACAGAAGGATCAGTGTGTTTTTTATTACTCCTTCCTGTTACAATTGTTTCTGTTTCTTGAGAAGTACTGGATGGATAATTGTAATATTTCAGGATGTAGTTTCCCCTCTACTTGTGCATGTGTTGTCTCTCTTGAACTGATCCTCCCCTCTCCAAAAAAAATGGCCAACATGTAGCCATCTTTGGTTTCATTTAAATGATTTGTTATGGCTATTTCTGGAGAATTGTTCAATGGATAATCTTTTTTCTTTCTTAGCATCATCCATTTCAAGACTGATTGCAAAAATAATATGGCTGTCAAGTGGTAGTTTTTGATATTTGTACTTTGTTATGGCTATCTCTGATTGGATCTTTTCCATTCATATACATCCTGATAAGGTGGCCATCTTGGATTTGGACAACAAGAATTTATCACTGCTGTATCTTTAGAAGTTCTGGATTGATCTTAAACTTCATATGTAGGTTCCCCTTGCTCCCTTTTGTGCCCATTGTATTTTGGGTGTGATAAGAAAAACAAAATGGCAGACAGGCAGAAGCGAAGATCCTTCAGGGAGCCAGTCTATATCATTGTTAAAGGGATGTCACATAAAAATCTGTTGGTGGATGATTAATTTACCCATTGTATGCATACTTGTGATTGAGCACTAAACAAGATTGTTCTTGTTTATAAGATATTATTTGAGCTTGTGATGAAACTGTCTTTCAGTTTTTTCATGCATTTATATAACTGAACCCAGAAAATCCTCCATTTTGTCTCAAAGTTAAGTATAAGTTTTACAAACCATTGCTTCTGTGTCTATACTGAAGTAAGATTACTTTATTGAACTAGATCGTAAACCAACCATTTCATTTCGTTACCATTTAAAACATTAAATATTTTCACATGTGAACAATACAGATTGATGATGGCATAATTTTTTACTGCTAAAATGTTTTTTTCTCATTTTCAAGAATGAAATAGTGACATGTATGTAAGGATATTTACAACAGTTTTGAAGCTTATCTTTTGTCTTAATCTCAGGTTGCTATTGATGAGGGATGCATCCAAGAAATTGAAAGAAATTGTCAAATTACGAGACATTCAGTTTTTGGAGAAAGTACAGCTGCACTCTTTGTTTTCTGTTGCTGATGCCCTACGGATACATCGACTTGTGCCAGGCAAAGGTAGTCCATTGTTTTTATTCATATCTCAGGCAAATATAGTCCATGGTACTTTTAAATTGGTTTATTTGGCAGTGTACAAAAGGAATGATCAGATTCTAAGTATAAAGGGTAGATCTGAGGTAATGTGTAGACATTTTGTTTGTTTGTTTGTTGTTTTTTTTCACTCATTACCAGCTATTATTTCATGAGTCACTCATTTTCACAAATGCTCTTTTTTTTCAAAAAATTCAACTTTGAACAGCTGAACATGACAAGTTTACAGTGTGGCTCAAAGATGAAAGAAACCATTTCACACTCCTCGTCCAAGAGATGTGGGCTGGCAAGGTCATCTCCGAGGCAACAAAGGACATTGTTGTTGTCCAACAAGCTGCTCAAAATGTTCTCCTGATTGACACAATTATAAGAAGGTAAGATTCAAGTTCATTTTAAAGTTAGAATTATTTTCATTGACCAATCAAATGTCTTGTTACATCTCTTATGAACTAAAATGTTATTGCATGCTTAGAGGTATAGCTCATTGATGCCCAATGTGCCTCAGCAAAGCTCTTAATGATGAAGGTATCATCAAATTTTAAACATTAAAACAGAGTTATTTATCTTTCCATATCTGTTGCCCTTCAAAATGGCTCAGGAAAAAGTAATAGAATCACAGCAAAAGATACAGTTTGACTGCAGTGCTAGTCCAGTAAAATTAGTCTAATAAAGCCAGCCAGAGAAAAGTGGCTTCTATAGGCAGATGGCCGTTATATAAAATTTACTGCCTGCTGTGTTACATAGGGTCCTAGAACTAGTGGTCTTTATAGACAGGTATTAGTAATAAATGGGTGGCCTTTTTAAAAATGTGTTTGTTATATATAGCTGGTTTTATAGAGAGATGTTTGTTATAGGAAAGTGGCTTTTAAAGGCAAATATTTGTTATATACAGCTGATCTTTATACACAAATATTTGCTATATACAGCTGATCTTTATAGACAGTTTTAGTATATACAGGTGGTTTTTTAACAGTATTTATTATAAACTGGTGGTCTGAATAGACAGGTATTTGTTATTTCCATGTGGTCTGTGTAGACAGGTATTTGTAATATACATGTGGTCTGTGTAGACAGGAATTAGTCATATACATGTGATCTGTATAGACAGGTATTTGTTATATACATGTGATTTGTATAGACAGATATTAGTTATATACATGTGGTCTGTATACACAGGTATTAATTATATGCAGGTGGTTTGTATAGACAGGTATTAGTTATATACAGATGGTCTGTATAGACAGGTATTAGTTATATACAGGTGGTCTGTATACACAGGTATTAATTATATACAGGTGGTCTGTATACACAGGTATTAATTATATACAGGTGGTCTGTATAGACAGGTATTAGTTATATACAGGAGGAAGCAGGGTTGATCTGATATACGTGTTAAATCTGACATTGTATAGTTGATTATATTTTGAGGAATTTATTTTTGCTTTGTCTGCTGTCATTGAAGGTATAGCACAAAATGGGAAAAAACATAGCGAAAACATGCTACCATTGATTATAATATCTGTTATATCTGTATACATGGACACCAGTTCTTATACACCTGAGAGATTAAAAATACCTGTGAACCACCTCAAACTGGAACAACTGGGAAATGTTTGCCCTGCAAAGTCAAGCAATGCAAGTCTCTGTGATTATTTTCCTGCCTTCTAAAAGACTTCAAAATCCATGTAACATTACTCATTTTGTACAAATTACTTGATTGTAAAATGATTCTGGGGTCTTACTGGGCTCCTGAACTTTTTATTTTGTTTACCATTTATACCATGACATGTCATGGTAAGAAATCCACCCACTGTGTATATTTACCAGTGTTCAGTGTAATTGATTATCGAGAAAATATTTGTATTGCAATAAGCGTGACTAACATAGAGACAGAATTATCGTTTTGTCCTTCTATATGAATATAGGATTACATAATAAATTCACTTACACACTACATCTTCAGATGGTATGTGTTCTTACTTATACTGAATTATATTACCCCTAGTGGAGAAGAGGAGGACTGCTCTCACCATGCTACAGTGGAGAGTTCCGCAGAATATCTTTGTTGTTACATACGGGCAATGGGGCGAGGAGAGCACTTGCTTTCTGTTACCACGAAAGAAGCGCTACAAAACAAACTTGATCCAAACTTTAGTGAACCAGAACGTACCAGCATACAGGCACTGCTTTATACTCCAGGAGGTATTGGGGCTTTTTCCTTTCCTAATCCAAGCAGGTCAACTACACCAAATTCCCTGTTGTAAGAGAATCAATATTGCCCAATCAATGTGTATACGTAATCAGATTTTGTCATCAGTGAAGCAGGGAACACTTAAGTAACTCTTCAATGGTCGTTCTCCATTAAATCTTTATTAACTCCATATTTCATCACCCATGTTTCATCATTTTTCTATATATTTCACACTTGTTTCTTCAATTTTCTTTATAACTCACTTTTGTTTCATCAATTTTCTTTATATTTCACCTTTGCTTCATCAATTTTCTTTATATCTCATCCTTGTTTCATCAATTTTCTTTATATCTCATCCTTGTTTCATCAATTTTCTTTATATCTCATCCTTGTTTCATCAATTTTCTTTATATCTCATCCTTGCTTCATCAATTTTCTTTATATTTCACCTTTGCTTCATCAATTTTCTTTATATCTCATCCTTGTTTCATCAATTTTCTTTATATCTCATCCTTGTTTCATCAATTTTCTTTATATCTCATCCTTGTTTCATCAATTTTCTTTATATCTCATCCTTGTTTCATCAATTTTCTTTATATTTCACCTGCTTCGTCAATTTTCTTTATATCTCATCCTTGTTTCATCAATTTTCTTTATATCTCATCCTTGTTTCATCAATTTTCTTTATATCTCATCCTTGTTTCATCAATTTTCTGTATATCTCATCCTTGTTTCATCAATTTTCTTTATATTTCACCTTTGCTTCGTCAATTTTCTTTATAACTCATCCTTGTTTCATCAAGCTTCTGTATATTTCATCCTTATTTCATTAAACTGCAGTTTGAAGTCAGATTTTGTTAACATTCCAGTATTTTCTTTTTGTTTGAATTGAGTTGACAGGGATATTTTCAATTTTGACTTGTTAGGATGAAGATTGAAAATTTAACTCATTTTACAAGAGTTTTTTGATAATTTTTATTTGAATTTGGGAATAAATTTATATTTCTCAACTTTAAGACAAAAAGTGATATTATACTACATTAATTTTAGGGTGATTATCAGGGATATGTGAAGGAGGGCACTTTGATAAGAAATCACATGAGATGTTTTAAATTCAGATGTGATGGTGATGCATCTGTATATCTGTGTTGGAAAACATATAAATAAACTCTCTAATTAACATTTTGATTCTGAAGTTCAAATTAGTCTCTGCAAAGAGAATGAAATTGAATACAAAGTAAACATATGAAATATATATTTTAGGATTTACACAATGAACTTAATGTGTCAAACATCTCATTTACATGACTTGTTCACTTTCTTCTGCAATTCAAATTTTTCGGTACTAACAGATGTATTTAAGAGTTAAGAATTTGTCAAGAATTTCAAGTAAAAGGGAGGGGATAATGTATTCTGTATGCCTATGAAACTTGACTTATCATGATGTAAAAAAAGGTAATTTTTGACACTTTTGAGGTTTGAATATTTCAGGTCTAGTTTGTGTGTGGAAAGTTGTTTATCATACTGTCTAAGTTTCCTTCTTTTTTCTCTTGTTCTCTGCAGATACTGAGACCCATTTATCTCCAAACTTTCCATTTTCCAATGTAGCGGTCATTGTTCCTTCCTTGTCATGCATTCACTTTTCTTGTAAACATGATAATTTTAATAAAATATGAACTGATTTTGATGAAGTTTGGTATGCAGCCTTATATCCAAAAGATCAGATATGATTTTGACAATGGGACCAATTCACATCAACATGGCACCACACAACAAGTCCCTCACATCAACATAGCAACACAACAAGTCCCTCACATCAACATATCAACACATTAAGTCCCTCAACATAACAACACAACAAGTCCCTCACATCAACATAGCAACACAACAATTCCCTCAACATAGCAACACAACAAGACAACAAGTCCCTCACATCAACATGGCAACACAACAAGTCCCTCACATCAACATATCAACACAACAAGTCCCTCACATCAACATAGCAACACAACAAGTCCCTCACATCAACATAGCAATACAACAAGTCCCTCACATCAACATATCAACACTACAAGTCCCTCACATCAACATGGCACCACAACAAGTCCCTCACATCAACATGGCACCACAACAAGTCCCTCACATCAACATATCAACACAACAAGTCCCTCACATCAACATAGCAACACAACAAGTCCCTCACATCAACATAGCAACACCACAAGTCCCTCACATCAACATATCAACACAACAAGTCCCTCACATCAACATAGCAACACAACAAGTCCCTCACATCAACATAGCAACACAACAAGTCCCTCACATCAACATAGCAACACAACAAGTCCCTCACATCAACATAGCAACACAACAAGTCCCTCACATCAACATAGCAACACAACAAGTCCATCAACAAAACAACACAACAACACCCACAAATCAACATAGCAACACAACAAGTCCCTCACATCAACATGCAACACAACAAGTCCCTCACATCAACATAGCAACACAAGTCACTCACATCAAAAAAGAAACACAACAAGTCCCTCACATCAACATAGCAACACAACAAGTCCCTCACATCAACATAGCAACACAACAAGTCCCTCACATCAACATAGCAACACAAGTCCCTCACATCAACATAGCAACACAACAAGTCTCTCACATCAACAAAGCAACACAACAAGTCCCTCACATCAACATAGCAACACAACAAGTCCCTAACATTAACATAGCAACACAACAAGTCCCTCACATCAACATAGCAACACAACAAGTCCCTCACATCAACATAGCAACACAACAAGACTCTCACATCAACATGGCACCACACAACAAGTCCCTCACATCAACATGGCAACACAACAAGTCCCTCACATCAACATAGCAACACAACAAGTCCCTCACATCAACACATCCCTCACATCAACATATCAACACAACAAGTCCCTCACATCAACATAGCAACACAACAAGTCCCTCACATCAACATAGCAACACAAGTCCCTCACATCAACATAGCAACACAACAAGTCCCTCACATCAACATAGCAACACAACAAGTCCCTCACATCAACATAGCAACACAACAAGTCCCTCACATCAACATAGCAACACAACAAGTCCCTCACATCAACATAGCAACACAACAAGTCCCTCACATCAACATATCAACACATTAAGTCCCTCAACATAACAACACAACAAGTCCCTCACATCAACATAGCAACACAACAAGTCCCTCACATCAACATAGCAACACAACAAGTCCCTCACATCAACATAGCAACACAACAAGTCCCTCACATCAACATAGCAACACAACAAGTCCCTCACATCAACATAGCAACACAACAAGTCCCTCACATCAACATAGCAACACAACACAGTCCCTCACATCAACATAGCAACACAACAAGTCCCTCACATCAACAACATGGCAGTCCCTCAACACATACATGTCCCTCACATCAACATAGCAACACAACAAGTCCCTCACATCAACATAGCAACACAACAAGTCCCTCACATCAACATAGCAACACAACAAGTCCCTCACATCAACATAGCAACACAAGTCCCTCACATCAACATAGCAACACTACAAGTCCCTCACATCAACATAGCAACACAACAAGTCCCTCACATCAACATATCAACACAACAAGTCCCTCACATCAACATAGCAACACAACAAGTCCCTCACATCAACATAGCAACACAACAAGTCCCTCACATCAACATAGCAACACAACAAGTCCCTCACATCAACATAGCAACACAACATCAACATAGCAACACAACAAGTCCCTCACATCAACATAGCAACACAACAAGTCCCTCACATCAACATAGCAACACAACAAGTCCCTCACATCAACATAGCAACACAACAAGTCCCTCACATCAACATAGCAACACAACAAGTCCCTCACATCAACATAGCAACACAACAAGTCCCTCACATCAACATAGCAACACAGTCCCTCACATCAACATGGCAACACAACAAGACTCTCACATCAACATGGCACCACACAACAAGTCCCTCACATCAACATGGCAACACAACAAGTCCCTCACATCAACATAGCAACACAACAAGTCCCTCACATCAACATGGCACCACACAACAAGTCCCTCACATCAACATGGCACCACACAACAAGTCCCTCACATCAACATGGCACCACACAACAAGTCCCTCACATCAACATGGCACCACACAACAAGTCCCTCACATCAACATGGCACCACACAACAAGTCCCTCACATCAACATGGCACCACACAACAAGTCCCTCACATCAAAATATCAACACAACAAGTCCCTCACATCAACATGGCACCACACAACAAGTCCCTCACATCAACATGGCACCACACAACAAGTCCCTCACATCAACATGGCACCACACAACAAGTCCCTCACATCAACATGGCAACACAACAAGTCCCTCACATCAACATGGCACCACACAACAAGTCCCTCACATCAACATGGCACCACACAACAAGTCCCTCACATCAACATGGCACCACAACAAGTCCTTCACATCAACATGGCACCACACAACAAGTCCCTCACATCAACAACAAGTCCCTCACATCAACATGGCACCACACAACAAGTCCCTCACATCAACATGGCACCACACAACAAGTCCCTCACATCAACATGGCACCACACAACAAGTCCCTCACATCAACATGGCAACACAACAAGACATCAACATCAACACAACAAGTCCCTCACATCAACATGGCACCACACAACAAGTCCCTCACATCAACATGGCACACACACAACAAGTCCCACACATCAACATGGCAACATGGCAACACAACAAGTCCCTCACATCAACATGGCAGTCCCTCACATCAACATAGCAACACAACAAGTCCCTCACATCAACATAGCAACACAAGTCCCTCACATCAACATGGCAACACAACAAGTCTCTCACATCAACAAAGCAACACAACAAGTCCCTCACATCAACATGGCACCACACAACAAGTCCCTAACATCAACATAGCAACACAACACAACAAGTCCCTCACATCAACAAAGCAACACAAGTCCCTCACATCAACATATCAACACAACAAGTCCCTCACATCAACATAGCAACACAACAAGACAACAACAAAGCAACACAACAAGACCCTCACATCAACATAGCAACACAACAAGTCCCTCACATCAACATGGCAACATACAACAAGTCCCTCACATCAACATTTTAACACAATTCAAGTAGCCCACATCAACATTTTGCACTACACATTTAGTCAGAAGCATTCTCACATCAACATGGCACCACACAACAAGTCCCTCACATCAACATGGCAACACAACAAGACTCTCACATCAACATAGCAATACAACAAGTCCCTCACATCAACATAGGAAGGACACAATTTGTTCAAATAGGCCTGACATCAAGAAGAAATACAACAAGTCCCTCACTTGATACTCAGCCAGTGTAAACGGCGTGATCATCAGATGGTATGTGAAGGGATTAACTGTAGCCAATCGTATTGCTTTGGACATGTCAGGAGGCGAGACATTACGGAGACTACAATATGCTCAAGGATACCTATGGTGTGGTACGTACTGTCTGCTACCTATTACTACTGTCAGTATATGTAAATCTGTGCTAAGGGCAACAACTCGTTTTATCTTCCCTTTAAAAAATAGGACATTACTAACAAGGAACAAAGGATTTGTGAGCAGAGACAACACAGGGAACAATATAACTCGCCACTGATATAAACAATCACTACTATCACAGTGTTAATTGGGCTCAGTATTCATCTGCTTGGACACTCAGCAGCTCAGGCGAGATTAGAGATGGAATGCTGGGTAATGTTACAGTGATTTACTAGGACGGCTAAAATAGAGAGATATTAAATAATACTTGGTACAAGTCTGATGAAATATGTAGGGCTAAGGTCAAAGTTGACACCACAACAGGTACACACTATAAACGATAAACAACCCCCAGTTACAGTAAAATCAAATATAAAATCTGTTCACTGAATGAGTTTATTTTAAGGAATTTGAAAGTCATCCACTCTAAGATGAACAGCAGGTAAGCATGCCATGCAGGCCCATTTAGCCTCTTGGTTTTCTTTAGATGTTTTGTTTTTAGGCTACTCATAACACAGTCATAAGATAATTGCTTGAAGACTATCCTTATTATAATGAATAAGTAATTATACAATGGTAAGACTCACAGATATGCTTCTTAAACACCAATGAGGCCGATTTTGATAGGTAATATATCTATAGTCATAAGATTCAATGCAGACTCTGCATACTGATATGTCAAAACCAAACCATGCTTATACACAAGCAGACAAGTTGGTACCTATCAGTAATTTCCCGTCTTGTTGATTGGTATCATATTTTTAAACACTTCACCCTGATTTTGGATGATGCATTAATATAATTGTACAGTAGTAAATTAATTTATTTTTGTTGTTCATAAATGTTTCTGTACCTGATAATTCCGCCAATCAATTATGGTGACCTCAAAAAATTTTATGGCTTCATAATGTGCACATTCCCCAATTTGGTAGTTTTTACTTTAGCGCATGCGAGGGTTTTACAATAGCAAAATAAACCATTTATAATCTGTTGTAAAGTCTGGGTTCAATATCCAATAAATTGTTGCTGAGAATTGTATATTTTGCACAAATTTCACTGATTTGATGGAAAATATATCAAAAATCTCAAATCTGGCCGTTGATAAACATGTTCTTTATAAGTGTTTGATGGATTATATCTCATGTTTATATTTACAAATATTTAAGTTATTAACATGTTAAGCCTTCAATATTTTCAGTACTGTGATTCTTTAATTACAATGAAGACATTTTTTCTCATTGTAAACATAGGAGTGTGGAAAGGTATTTGGCAGATCAGCAAAAAAGGGGAATTGTTGGCCAAGTTTAGCTTTGATATTCCTAAATCAGATGTTACAGTTCATCCTGTAGAGATGGAGTGCTTCTATATCATGGACAATGACCAGGTAAGTCCTATGGCTGTACCACAATCATCCTGTAATGAAATAGCTAGCGATCTGACCTACATTTATATTGCTGTGCAGTAGATCTTTGTCCCGTAGTAATTCCACCTCCACGTTGAGTAAAAGTTTTTGATTCGGTTGCCTGTATGGGCTTAATATTGCAGGATAACAAAATTTTTTTCAGGAAATTTATTCAGGGAAGGCTTCATCAAGTTCCAAACTTATATAGGGAAGACATCATCAAGTCCCAAACTTATATAGGGAAGACATCATCAAGTCCCAAACTTATATAGGGAAGACATCATCAAGTCCCAAACTTATATAGGGAAGACTTCATCAAGTCCCAAACATATATAGGGAAGGCTTCATCAAGTAACAAACTTATATAGGGAAGACATCATCAAGTTCCAAACTTATATAGGGAAGACTTCATCAAGTCCCAAACATATATAGGGAAGACATCATCAAGACCCACACTTATATAGGGAAGACTTCATCAAGTCCCAAACATATATAGGGAAGACATCATCAAGTCCCAAACTTATATAGGGAAGACATCATCAAGTAACAAACTTATATAGGGAAGACTACATCAAGTCCCAAACTTATATAAGGAAGACTACATCAAGTAACAAACTTATATAGGGAAGACATCATCAAGTCCCAAACTTATGTAGGGAAGGCTTCATCAAGTCCCAAACATATATAGGGAAGACATCATCAAGACCCACACTTATATAGGGAAGACTTCATCAAGTCCCAAACATATATAGGGAAGACATCATCAAGTAACAAACTTATATAGGGAAGACATCATCAAGTAACAAACTTATATAGGGAAGACATCATCAAGTTCCAAACTTATATAGGGAAGGCTTCATCAAGTCCCAAACATATGTAGGGGAGGCTCCATCAAGTCCCAAACTTATATAGGGAACACATCATCAAGACCCACACTTATATAGGGAAGACATCATCAAGTAACAAACATATGTAGGGAAGGCTCCATCAAGTCCCAAACATATATAGGGAAGGCTTCATCAAGTCCCAAACCTATATAGGGAAGGCTCCATCAAGTTCCACACTTATATAGGGAACACATCATCAAGTCCCAAACTTATATAGGGAACACATCATCAAGTTCCAAACTTATAAAGGGAAGACTCCATCAAGTCCCAAACATATGTAGGGAAGGCTCCATCAAGTCCCAAACTTATATAGGGAAGACTTCATCAAGTCCCAAACATATATAGGGAAGGCTTCATCAAGTCCCAAACATATATAGGGAAGACATCATCAAGTCCCATGCAGCTACAGTTTATACTTGATCATGGTCCTCAAATTTGATTTGTTTTATGGCTCAGTGTTTGGAGGATATTTTCTATTTTTGGTACTATAGATATGGGCAGGATGTCGTCGCGATGGAAACATGGTTGTCATGAATACAAAGACTGGAAGGAAAGATGTAGAAGTCATTAAATTGGAATCAAGAGGAATCAGTATCATGGTAAAGCTTAAAAACAGGGTAAGTAAACATTTTAGTAAATATCTCCTTCATTACGTAAACTTAGTAGTGATTCACATTTGTTATGTAATCTTATTAATGATTCAGGTAAATATCACCGTTGTGATGTAAACTCGTTAGTCATCCAGGTAAATATCACCTTTGCGATGTAAACTCGTTAGTGATTCAGGTAAATATCACCTTTGCGATGTAAACTCGTTAGTGATTCAGGTAAATATCACCTTTGCGATGTAAACTCGTTAGTCATCCAGGTAAATATCACCTTTGTGATGTAAACTCGTTAGTGATTCAGGTAAATATCACCTTTGCGATGTAAACTCGTTAGTGATTCAGGTAAATATCACCTTTGCGATGTAAACTCGTTAGTGATTCAGGTAAATATCACCTTTGCGATGTAAACTCGTTAGTGATTCAGGTAAATATCACCTTTGTGATGTAAACTCGTTAGTGATTCAGGTAAATAGCACCTTTGTGATGTAAACTCGTTAGTGATTCAGGTAAATAACACCTTTGTGATGTAAACTCATTAGTGATTCAGGTAAGTGTTTTCAGCTTTATTATGCTCTCTCACATTATCTTATGCAGGAATGATAAGATTTTTAGGAAACTTGCTGTGTAGACTTATAATCTTAATTCCTTGTTCAGGTTCGATTATTGGCAAAGGAATATGATATGAGACTGCTGTAACCTGATTGGCTGATATATTTCAGCACTCTAACTGAATGCTTTCTTCGTGTTATCTTTAGAAGGAACAAATGAATTATGATGAGACTTGCTTGGTAGACTTGTTAACTTTGCCCCTCGTTCAAGTTTGATTATCGAGAAGAAATGTTTTGAAGTCTTAAACAAACTCAGCTTGATCGCTGTTACGTTTTAACTGCATCAAGGTCAACCATATTAACAAACTTTGTACCCCTTTATACTAACATTGTCCATGCCAAATATCAGTAGCCAAGGACTTTTGGTTATTGGCAAGAAGTCATTTCAATTTTTAATACAAACTCGACCTTTAAAATAAAACTTTTGTAGAAGTAGGAGGCATATAGTACTATAGTCTTACAGTCATTTTAGATCATTTTTTTTATAGAGCATTTACAAACATTGTATAGTTCAATCTGGTTTGTTTCAGATGTGGGTTGGAACCAAGTCAGGGATCATATATGTTGTTGATATTGAGACTCGAAAGATCATTAAAACACTTAAGGCTCACTCTGATGCCGTGCGTGCACTCTGTTGTGCGGATGACCGATATATCATCAGTGGAGCTGGAAGTTCTGATGGAAAAATTGCAATCTGGACTCCCACAGACACAAGATCAGCTTCAGGACGCTTCCTATTGGAATAGTAAGACGTACAGGTCCAGATTACTTCCTACTGGAATATTGAGACAATAGAACAGGACAGTTGCTGCCCAGGGTGAAGCAACATTGGTCAGCTTCTATCTTCAACCAGCAGCAACCACCAGTTCAGTCTGTGATATGGTCCTACTTATGGTGTGTTATAAATTTCACACAGATTTTAGATGATTGCAGAATGCTCTCTATATAAATGTGTTTCATTGTAGTATTATCTGAAGTAAATATACTGTGTAGTTTGTAATATTTTGGGGTGATTTAAGTTTGCTGTATTTGTGAACAATAAAGAAAGTGAAAATTTAAAAGCCCAGCAAACGTTTCTACGATGATTGAAAATACCTTTGGTTGACAAGGTTTTCTGTCTCTGCGACTCCTCCCATGTCTGGGTATTGTCTCACCGACAAACATAAGCATTCTGGTGATGTTGAGTTGAAGATCTCAAAATAATATCTGTTGGGTCTGTACATCATATCAGCCCATAGTCTAGTGCTAAATTTGATACTAGTGAACTAGATCAAACCAGGATAGTCACTAAATATTAGCACAGCGAAGTTAAACAACTATAAAGTATTGTATGATTGTATTTGGATGTTGTTTTACAGTAATTGGGGCTGCGATGGCTCAGTAGGTAGACTATAGGCCTGTACCTCTAGTAAAGATCCAAGTTCATGGTTTAACATTCCTTATTATAGCAGTTTGTGTTTCCAGGAGGGTAAGAAATGGAATTATCTTTGCTGTTGAGGTTGTGTCCACGGCCCAGACACTTACTAAATCCTTAATATACAGGGTGACATGTTCTTGGGCAATAAACACATGGAACAACAGATATTGGAATGGGATTTCATTTAAGTGGGTCTGTTGATAGTAATTAATAAAGTGTTAATAAATTCAGCCTCTCCTTCTAGTTAGTTCACCTGGCCAAAACGGCCAAGTGAGCTTATGGCATACTGCGGGTACAGCAACGTTTCCTACAAATCGCCACTGGTCATGAAGGACTGAGCAGAATTTTACCAAATTTGATCAGAAGCATCCTTAGGGAAAAGGGACTCAATTTTGTATAAATAGTGGGTCTGAGGGATGGGGCCCAAAAGGGGAAATATAGCAGGTTCTTTGATTTAAATTAAGATCCTTCTTTTTCTGTAGGAATGAATGGATTTTGCCCAGTCTTGGTCTGAAGTATTCTTAGGTGAATGAGAATTAATCTTGTATGAACGGCAGGTATCAGCCCCCTTGGATAGGGTGACTAGAACAAATTCTGTAAAATCTTTCTTCAGTAGGAATTTGGAACTTGCTGAGGTAAAGGAGAATTCTATATAAATGGTTTGGCTGACCCCCTTAAGGGAGTTGAGGCCCAATGTATAAATAGATATAAACCTTTAGAATTTCTACTCCTTTAGTTTGGGTGAAGCAATTTCAACATGCTGCAATTTGCTGGTTTGTTTACTGGGTTTATTGACCTGGGAACAGCCAGAGTGAAATTTTGAGGCAGGTGGTTGATACCTGCTATCTTACAGTATATTGGAAGCCCATTGCATGTCACCCACAGCAATTAGAGTAAAGTGTCATGACTAGAACATGACCACGATATCACATACAGGTCCATTTCTCAGCTTCCTGTGGAATAGAAACAGCCTTGGATGGGGATCATTTATCTTCACCAGTGGTTACATAGGCCCACATTGTGATTGAGCTATTGAGGCCCTGGTATGGGGTCATATAGGCCAACATTGTGACTGAGCTATTGTGGCCCTGGAATAGGGTCACATAGGCCCACATTGTGACTGAGCTATTGTGGCCCTGGTATAGGGTTACAAAGGCCCACATTGTGGCTGAGCTATTGTGGCCTTGAGTATAGGGTCACATAGGCCCACATTGTGACTGAGCTATTGGGGCCCTGGTATAGGGTCACATAGGCCCACATTGTGACTGAGCTATTGTGGCCCTGGTATAGGGTCACATAGGCCCACATTGTGACTGAGCTATTGTGGCCCTGGTATAGGGTCACATAGGCCCACATTGTGACTGTGCTATTGGGGCCCTGGTATAGGGTCACATAGGCCCACATTGTGACTGAGCTATTGGGGCCCTGGTATAGGGTCACATAGGCCCACATTGTGACTGAGCTATTGGGGCCCTGGTATAGGGTCACATAGGCCCACATTGTGACTGAGCTATTGGGGCCCTGGTATAGGGTTACAAAGGCTCACATTGTGACTGAGCTATTGGGGCCCTGGTATAGGGTTACAAAGGCTCACATTGTGACTGAGCTATTGGGGCCCTGGTATAGGGTTACAAAGGCTCACATTGTGACTGAGCTATTGGGGCCCTGGTATAGGGTCACAAAGGCTCACATTGTGACTGAGCTATTGGGGCCCTGGTATAGGGTTACAAAGGCTCACATTGTGACTGAGCTATTGGGGCCCTGGTATAGGGTTACAAAGGCTCACATTGTGACTGAGCTATTGGGGCCCTGGTATAGGGTTACAAAGGCTCACATTGTGACTGAGCTATTGGGGCCCTGGTATAGGGTTACAAAGGCCCACATTGTGACTGTGCTATTGGGGCCCTGGTATAGGGTTACAAAGGCTCACATTGTGACTGAGCTATTGGGGCCCTGGTATAGGGTCCAAGCATATTGTTATTGTTTTACTTGTTGATGTGTTTTATTCTGGGCTATTTTTTTTATTAATTGTTGTAGATTTTTATTTTTTGTATCAATTAATTAAATGATTTTTTATTATACTTATGTATTGTACATATCATTTAACCACCTGTAACAAGATATCATACCTGTAACTGATAAAGCATTTCTAAATTTTAAAGTCCCATGTCTACAGATGTCCTTTTACAGTGACATTAGTCCATCAATTGATGTCTCTAATCTGGAATAAAAAATTATGTCAGCGACAGTTTCAGATAGTTGTATTCACGCTAGCCCAGTTTTCCATTCTGATCTACCAGAGTTACCTGCCTTGGTTTCACTCTTCCAGTTTCTCTGAATGTTTTTAAGTACAAAAAAAATAGCCATTAATATAAGTAAACCTTTCAGAATACAACTGGGATTGGAACAGATATAGGTGTCAAATTTTCAAGCTGATTTAGAAAATCGGTCAGCTTGAACTGCTTTAGAAACTCATATTGATCTTAATTCTGTCATTCAACTTGAATAAGCAAATATTTTCAGATTTCCTTAATTAAGCAGATATTTTGCTTTTTCAAGTAATTGCATTTAATTTAATATAAGCCACTTTCCATTTCACAATTTCTTGCTGGCAATGTTTTCTTTCCATGGCAACAAGAATGAGAAATGATTTACCATGATCTGCAAGCAAGATTTCCAGCAAGGTAACGCAACAGTAGATTACCTTGTCAGTGACATCAACAATACCTTGACGGACTTTGTCATCACGATGGCCGATTATCCTTATCTTATGAAGAGATATAGCAAGCCATTAATATCATTAATTGATTAAAAATTAGCATTAATTTATTGTTTAAGGGTGTAACTCAGCTGAATGCATTTTTGCAGTATTTTAAAATGTGTTGTTCTGTCTTAACTTAGCAAGAGTATACAAACTAGCTTTCCTTTTGCCCAGTATAATTTCATGTGATATGATTAAGGAAAAAGACAACAAAAGAAATATATACAAAATGTTGACAGTCTTTAAAAAAAGGGGAAATGTTTTGACGACATTGAAATAGGTTGTACAGGACATTGTGTTCAGTTACTCAATGAACCAAATACTACTGGTATAAAGGAGTAAGACATATCATTTAAGCTTTGATTGAAATATTTTTTAGATTCATGCTGGTATGAAAGAAAATCCTATTTGCAAACGGAATGAATGCGCATACCACATTCGTTATAAGCTTGCAAAAAAGTTTCAAAAAACAAGAATGACTTGATAACTTAAAATGATTTAATGAAGGATTATTTTTTTAAAAATCACTACGCAAAACAGCTGATATGACATGATGCAACCTCGTCGACAGCTAATTAGCACCATTTTCAGTCATTCAAAATTCAAGCATGGCTGTAACTGAAATGTGTACAAATATAAAAAGTATTTTTCGACCGATTGATCTGTTATTTATTGATTGCATTTTGTTTGTGTACATTGTAATTAGATATCTGAATATTTTACGATGTTGTTGTCTGTTTTTTGTTTATATCATTGAATGACAGTGTTAGCAGATATCTTATTCATACAAAAAATGTGCTAACAAACCTGCCACAAGCTTACCTGCTACTGTTGACTCCTCAAATCATTACCAAGTGGACAGAGCTAGATGATTTTTTTTTTTTCGAGAAAAGAAAATATATTGATAAATCAGAAAGCTGTATATTGTGTTCAAACAATTAAAAATCAATAATTGCAATTTGGCAATATCTTTACAACCAAAATTGCACTGCTTAACCACATTCGCTTCCGTAAAAGTTACATATCCCAATAATTTAACAAAAATTCTCGGTCGTTGACGGACCAACTTTGGGACCAACCACTTCATTCCATTTTGAATGCCAAATAGTTTTCTTCCATAAAAATTTCTGATCAATTTCATCATATAAAAACTCACAAGTTGATAAAATAATACTTTTAAGTATGCAGTAAGGATGCTGAATATAACAGGTATGGAGGTAACATTTACTGTTTGAGAATGCAATGGTCAGAATGTTCACACTCCTTACTATATTAAAAACTTTCACATTTTCTCTCTCGTTAATTGAGTACAGAACAATTTATTTACCATTATGTACATAAACTACTACATTATAGTTGGTTAAATTCACAGGCAAATATTTTGTATTGAACTAAAGAAAAGTTTGGTAAAACAATCCAGTTTGTGTTTTGAAAAAAAATATCAATGGACACATTTATTAACATAATCAAGTACATACTTAATGTCATTCCCACTAAATTGAACATACTTTGCTGGTAACATAGTGATTGCTTCCACTTTGACACAGATTGTTTCTGTTCTGAGTTTGTTGATAACTTTGTGGTAGTTTCAACTTTAACAATCTCATTTTTCATTGCCAGATTTGTTGGCAACATTATTGGACAAGTTAGTTTTATTTAGCTAAATACCACTACATCAACCAATTTATGTGTATACTATTCTGTAGCATGGACTAATAGATGGACTAGTAACTGCCGAGAATCTTCACTTGTGTTATACATCTTTTGTGTGTAAGCAGCCAAGAGTGATGTTGTGCTGCCAAGAGTCAAGCTCCAGTTGATCTCTATTGCACTTATGCATTTGTATTCTTGGCACATAAGTTCCGGACTCCTTAAGAATCATTTCTCACTAGCTATGCAATGTAAACAAATTGCCACCAAATACATTAATGAATTCAGATGTGTTTATAAGTTATATTTAAAAAAAACTGATTGGTGAAACACCAACATTTTTCCTTAAGAATATCCACACTCAACATCAAATCAGCTCATCTGAAATGACCGACATCTGTATCGTACATGTGACTGCACTTCGTTTCTGAAATGACCGACATCTGTATCGTACATGTGACTGCACTTCCGTTTCTGAAATGACCAACATCTGTATCGTACATGTGACTGCACTTCCGTTTCCAAAATGACCGACATCTGTATCGTACATGTGACTGCACTTTCGTTTTCTGAAATGACTGACATCTGTATCGTACATGTGACTGCACTTCCGTTTCTGACTGACCGACATCTGTATCGTACATGTGACTGCACTTTCGTTTTCTGAAATGACCGACATCTGTATCGTACATGTGACTGCACTTCTGTTTCTGATGTGACATCACTACTGGTAAATCATAAAGAAACTTGAGTTTACAGACCCAGAAGTATGTATTACATGAAATCATCATTTGAATGGGCACGACATTGTGGTGAATATAAAAATCAAAACACATTCGTGGTGAAATATCTCTGTTTATGTGTGCACCTATTGTCAAGGTTCAGGTGCAAATTCATATTGTTTGATCGTTGTTTTCTCAAATGAGCCATAACACAAACTTTTTAAAGTTGATTTTTCATTTCTCAGTCTACAACTCAAACCTACCTATTTAATACTTATATATTACACCTACCTATTTAATACTTATATATTACACCTTCCTATTTAATACTTATATATTACACCTACCTATTTAATAATTATATATTACACCTACCTATTTAATAATTATATATTACACCTACCTATTTAATACTTATATATTACACCTTCCTATTTAATACTTATATATTACACCTACCTATTTAATACTTATATATTACACCTTCCTATTTAATACTTATATATTACACCTACCTATTTAATAATTATATATTACACCTACCTATTCAATACTCATATATCACACCTTCCTATTTAATATTTATATATTACACCTTCCTATTTAATAATTATATATTACACCTACCTATTTAATAATTATATATTACACCTACCTATTTAATACTCATATATTATACCTTCCTATTTAACACTCATATATTACACCTACCAATTTAACTCATATATTACACCTTCCTATTTAACACTTATATATTACACCTACCTATTTAACACTCATATATCACACCTTCCTATTTAATACTTATATATTACACCTACCTATTTAATACTTATATATTACACCTTCCTATTTAATACTTATATATTACACCTTCCTATTTAATAATTATATATTACACCTACCTATTTAATAATTATATATTACACCTACCTATTTAATACTCATATATTATACCTTCCTATTTAACACTCATATATTACACCTACCAATTTAACTCATATATTACACCTTCCTATTTAACACTTATATATTACACCTACCTATTTAACACTCATATATTACACCTACCAATTTAACTCATATATTACACCTTCCTATTTAACACTCATATATTACACCTACCAATTTAACTCATATATTACACCTTCCTATTTAACACTCATACATTACACCTACCTATTTAACACTCATTTATTACACCTACCTATTTAACACTCATACATTACACCTACCTATTTAACACTCATTTATTACACCTACCTATTTAACACTCATACATTACACCTACCTATTTAACACTCATTTATTACACCTTCCTATTTAACACTTATATATTACACCTTTCTATTTAACATTCATATATTACACCTATCTATGGCGTTTATCACCAGATATGTCCCTTGTTTCATCTTCATCATAATACTGCCAAAAAAACAGATTTCAAATGCTGTGCCAATCCCATGTTCTCTGCCCACAACAACACACTGGTTATTCTAAATCAATATCATTCATTGGTATTTGGTCAAGGAAAGTTTATGCCTGATGCATGTAATGGAGCTTTCGAAAACACAGAAGAAAACATATTTAAAGACGAATAATAAACTTAACTTTATTTAAGGTAAAAATAACAAAAATATTGTTTCAAACAGTTATCAAGACCTAAAACTCAATTCAATATCACAGACTTGTCATTATGAAAATGATCACTCATCGAACTAAACTATAAGAACTTTGCTTGATGTCCATGGGCAATTTGCAATGATTTATATCTTAAATGTTCAGAATTTTTTCTATCAGTAAACTGACAACTTTTAAACAAATTTCCATCACCTAAAATGTGACATTGGGATAAAGCATTGCAAAAACTACACTGATTTTGAAAATCATTTGTACTTTAACACCCATTCTCTGCATTCATATATGGTGTACTTGATTTTCAGAAATCCAACAGAGCACCATTTGCTGAATATCATCGACAGAGGGATGTTCAGGCCTGCAATCACCAGCATAGGAAGTGTGACATCTCTTTTTCTTCTTCTGAAACTCCTTCAGGCTATTGTCCCCTTTCCCTTGACTCATTAGACACCTCAGGATTTTCTAATAAATCAGAAACAAAAAGTTGAGTTTTTCACTTCTAGTCAGGATATATAAATTACACTGACCATGTATATAACTAGAGATCTGATAGGGGTCTTGGCACCTATCATCGTTTGGTCTTTATTTGCTCTTTGAAAGTTGGATCTTTTCTCTTCTTTTCTCTTCTCTGTTTTTCCTCTTAATGATAGAAGAAATTTGAACATGTCTTTGCAAAAACGGCAATAATTATCTTTAATTGCAAAATCCATGATGGTCACCCCAGATGCCATTTTATTTTTTCTTATCAGTCCCAAAATGAAACAGGCACAACTAGGTACGAAGGGGAACTTACGTATGAAATTTGAGATCCATTCAGTACTTGTTACGAAATTGCAATAACAAACTTCCCTAGGCAAAATACTGTCAGTCATTTTGCTTTTCTGATCAGTCCCAAAAACAGGCACAACTATACACAAAATTTGAGCAAAATCTTTGCAGTCATTTTCAAGAAATAGCAAAAGATCTAAGCAGTAGTGTACAAGAAATAGTGACTACAAACTTTCTAAATCAAATTCCAAGATGGCCATCTGTAGGCCATTTTTTTTTCCTGATCAGTCTGTACATGATAAGCACAACTAGGGATCAACATAAACATACACATGAAATTTGATACAGATCCATGGAGTCGTTCTCAAGAAATAGCAATAACACCTGGAGGCCATTTAGTGTTTTTGTTCAGTCCAAAAATCAAACGAGCACAACAACAGACCAAGGGGCACCTACATATGAAATCTGAGAAAGATCCATCCAAGACCTCTCAAGAAATTTGAGAGATTTGAATAACCCACTATCATCAGATGGTGGGCTAAAAAATTGACATGAGTTTTAGATACAGGTAAATCTTGTGAGTACCACTTATCCAGGAAATCAGCTATCAACAAAACAGATATATTTGAAAAACTGCAAAATCTGAGACCCACAATTATATTTTACTTTATAGAATAATAGAACAGTCAACGAAATCAAGGCTAGAAATACTTCAACCAGAGTTCCAAAAGTCAAAATACAAGATGGATGCATGTTGGCCATTTTGTTTCTATGATTAGTTCCAAAATGAAGAAAGCAAAACTAAGGTTAATTGGTGACTAATTTAAATAAAATCCATTCCAGTCCATCAGAGGATGTAATGATAACATTAATTCTTTAAAGAGTGATAGATTTACAATTGACTACAGACAAATGGCATGAATATCATGTTGCTGTTTAGTTCATGAGAATAAATCATTTAATTATTTCAATAAATTTGAACCCTGCGACCTTGAATATAGGTCAAGGTCATTTCTTTTTCGCAAATTTTGATGGGCTTCATCTTAGGAACATACCATCAAAATATCAAGCATTTGATCTATTTGTTATTGAGAAGGTGTTATTTTAAGGGAAATGTTGACGCTAGACAACGGATGCCGCACTATGGCATAAGCTCACTTGGCCATTCAAGCAAGATGGTCAAAACATTATTAGAGAAGTCCACTATCTGATGATTTCAGCTCCTAACAGAAGAAAAGGAAAGATATTATCTGCCTTGTACGTAGATCAAAACAATGCTATTTTAGATATAAGAGATAGTTTTATGCTCACCCAGCCTTCAGTGTCTTTGGTTAGATGTTTCAGAACACGAGAAACAAATAGATGGTATCTACAATATAAAAACACACATATACATGACAATGTAAGGAGCTGGTAGTTCGTTTTGGTAATCAGTAGAACCATTTCTATTTAACATGATTTTTTATAACTAAATAGTATTTTTTTAACTCTTTCATTGCATTAACTATCAGCTTAGCAAACAATATTGCCAAAGCACTGTACATTTGATCAGAAATTATTTTTAGGCAATATTTTTAAAGCAAATTCACTCTGTTCCCACTCTGATGAAAATGGAGCTTGACACAAAGTCTTGCCAAAACTGAAATGAACATTAAGATATTCAAAATGTATGGGTTTTTTCAGAATTTTAGCTTCATAACAGGAGATATCACACCTGAGACTCAAAGTAAAACAATACTGATGGAGCTGGTGCTTTACTTGTGACAAGACAACTGTATTGCTATATAACTATTATTTGTGTTATGTTCACCTGATTCTACTTAGTCTTGCCTTGAATGTCCTCGATACAACTTTAAAAAGATTTTTAAGATGAAGTCCTGCAGACATGGCATTTTCCATGATTGTGACACATGTCTAAACCACAGTTTGCATAATTTTTGGACACTCTATATTTCATTATTAGAAGTTCTGCCTTGCTAGGACACTTCTGCCAGAGGAAAATGAGATTCCACATTTCATTATTAGAAGTTCTGCCTTGTTAGGACACTTCTACCAGAGGAAAATGAGATTCCACATTTCATTATTAGAAGTTCTGCCTTGCTAGGACACTTCTACCAGAGGAAAATGAGATTCCACATTTCATTATTAGAAGTTCTGCCTTGCTAGGACACTTCTACCAGAGGAAAATGAGATTCCACATTTCATTATTAGAAGTTCTGCCTTGCTAGGACACTTCTACCAGAGGAAAATGAGATTCCACATTTCATTATTAGAAGTTCTGCCTTGTTAGGACACTTCTACCAGAGGAAAATGAGATTTCACATTTCATTATTAGAAGTTCTGCCTTGCTAGGACACTTCTCTGGGAGAACATGACCATAAAACCACACCCCTAGACAGTAATTTGGGCCTTTAGGCCCTTTTTTCAGGAGTAGAAGCAACAACAATGATTTTCAAGACAGAGGCCATGATGGCCATCTTGATGGTGGAATGTGTTGGAATAACATTCAGAACTGTGGATTGTCTAGCAGTGTTTTCCATTACTACTGAATGACAGTACAAAATCCAACAAAATTGGTGAAATTTAAGAATGTACATGTACCCTCATTTTGATGGATACTACCTGAATGCATTCTCAGAGGAGTTGTGATGCTGAGTGGCTAGTATTGACCTACAGCAGGATAATATACAATGCGACCACATATATAACAAATTTATTGTAAATGGTATATAGAATGAATTGCTCTTATTACCACCCTCTCTCTCAAAAAACGTACGCCTCATTCTCTCAATACCTATCATATAATGAGGTATATTTCACACAAAATACAAAACCTATGATATATTGAATCAGAAATATTCAAATATTGTGATTAAAACTGATAGGAACTGTAAGACGGGACAGTATTCTCAGTGATGTATATCTTCACTTACAAATATAAAGTAATACATGTACTAAATAAATTTTATTGTGTAAGAAACATTCTATCTATACATAAAGAATAACAAGAGGCCCATGAAATAAATAAAGATATAAATTGCTTCTTAAAGTACTCCCCTTACAGCTCCAGCTTTGATACAGTATCAAATTACCATCTCCCACTGAGATGACATGCTGAACAACAGCCTGCCACCATTAGGCTAGTAAGCCAGGGGTTCCAGGTTCGATTCCTAGCGGAGGCATTGAAATAAATAATGATCTCTGTTACACGTTCATATTTCATTTCTTACCATCTGTCAACAACACAAAGCTAATTATACAGCTTTCTGTTTAGGGAAAGTAGTGGAAGAAAAATTTCAAAGATATAAGATGTTGACTATCTTGAAAGTGGCCAGGACCCTTGTCCCCATCTTTCCCTTTGATGAGGGTTTGTCTGTGTTATTTATCTATTCCGGAGGAGTAGTGTATTTTTCACAAATGGATATCACACCATTACATGAGCTAATATTGAGCATCAAAAAAGATACAAAGATAAGATTGGTATACCGAACAGCTGACTGACCTTTCCCTATTGTTAGAATACTTGGATAGTGATGTAAGAATGGTCAGCAGGGTTTCTGCCTGGCTCTCTAATCTGCAATCCTCACTCGAAACTCCTAGGTGATCCAGAATATCTTCAAAGGTGTTGACAACAGTTCTCTTCTCAGAACCCTTCGCACACACCTACATTAACAAAGGGCAAACAACTTTCACTGTTACAGACAGGTGGTATATTAATGGTCAGCACACACTAACAAAGGGCAAACAACTTTCACTGTTACAGACAGGTGGTATATTAATGGTCAGCACACACCTACAGACAGGTGGTATATTAATGGTCAGCACACACCTACAGACAAAGGGCAAATGGTCACACTTTCACTGTTACACACACCTTACACAGGTGGTATATTAATGGTCAGCACACACCTACAGACAGGTGGTATATTAATGGTCAACAAAGGGCAAACAACTTTCACTGTTACAGACAGGTGGTATATTAATGGTCAGCACACACCTACAGACAGGTGGTATATTAATGGTCAGCACACACCTACATTAACAAAGGGCAAACAACTTTCACTGTTACAGACAGGTGGTATATTAATGGTCAGCACACACCTACATTAACAAAGGGCAAACAACTTTCACTGTTACAGACAGGTGGTATATTAATGGTCAGCACACACCTACATCAACAAAGGGCAGGTGGTATATTAATGGTCAGCACACACCTACAGACAGGTGGTATATTAATGGGCAAACAATCAGCACACACACACCTACAGACAGGTGGTATATTAATGGTCAGCACACACCTACATCAACAAAGGGCAAACAACTTTCACTGTTACAGACAGGTGGTATATTAATGGTCAGCACACACCTACAGACAGGTGGTATATTAATGGTCACACACACAGGTGGTATATTAACAACACACCTACATCAACAAAGGGCAAACAACTTTCACTGTTACAGACAGGTGGTATATTAATGGTCAGCACACACCTACATCAACAAAGGGCAAACAACTTTCACTGTTACAGACAGGTGGTATATTAATGGTCAGCACACACCTACAGACAGGTGGTATATTAATGGTCAGCACACACCTACATTAACAAAGGGCAAACAACTTTCACTGTTACAGACAGGTGGTATATTAATGGTCAGCACACACCTACATCAACAAAGGGCAAACAACTTTCACTGTTACAGACAGGTGGTATATTAATGGTCAGCACACACCTACAGACAGGTGGTATATTAATGGTCAGCACACACCTACATCAACAAAGGGCAAACAACTTTCACTGTTACAGACAGGTGGTATATTAATGGTCAGCACACACCTACAGACAGGTGGACAGGTGGTATATTAATGGTCAGCACACACCTCAGCACACACTTTCACTGTTACAGACAGGTGGTATATTAATGGTCAGCACACACCTACAGACAGGTGGTATATTAATGGTCAGCACACACCTACATTAACAAAGGGCAAACAACTTTCACTGTTACAGACAGGTGGTATATTAATGGTCAGCACACACCTACACCAACAAAGGGCAAACAACTTTCACTGTTACAGACAGGTGGTATATTAATGGTCAGCACACACCTACAGATAGGTGGTTTCACTGTTACAGACAGGTGGTATATTAATGGTCAGCACACACCTACAGACAGGTGGTATATTAATGGTCAGCACACACCTACACAACACAAGGGCAAACAACTTTCACACACCTACAGACAGGTGGTATATTAATGGTGGACAGGTATATTAATGGTCAGCACACACCTACAGACAGGTGGTATATTAATGGTCAGCACACACAACTTTCACTGTTACAGACAGGTGGTATATTAATGGTCAGCACACACCTACATCAACAAAGAGCAAACAACTTTCACTGTTACAGACAGGTGGTATATTAATGGTCAGCACACACCTACATCAACAAAGGGCAAACAACTTTCACTGTTACAGACAGGTGATATATTAATGGTCGGCACACACCTACAGACAGGTGGTATATTAATGGTCAGCACACACCTACATTAACAAAGGGCAAACAACTTTCACTGTTACAGACAGGTGGTATATTAATGGTCAGCACACACTAACAAAGGGCAAACAACTTTCACTGTTACAGATAGGTGGTATATTAATGGTCAGCACACACCTACACAAACTTTCACTGTTACAGACAGGTGGTATATTAATGGTCAGCACACACCTACAGACAGGTACACAATATTAATGGGCACACACAACTTTCACTGTTACAGACAGGTGGTATATTAATGGACAGCACACACCTACATTAACAAAGGGCAAACAACTTTCACTGTTACAGACAGGTGGTATATTAATGGTCAGCATGGTCAGCACACACCTACAGACAGGTGGTATATTAATGGTCAGCACACACCTACATTAACAAAGGGCAAACAACTTTCACTGTTACAGACAGGTGGTATATTAATGGTCAGCACACACAGACAGGTACATTTTTCACTGTTACAGACAGGTGGTATATTAATGGTCAGCACACACCTACAGACAGGTGGTATATTAATGGCACACACCTACATTAACTACTGTTACAGACAGGTGGTATATTAATGGTCAGCACACACCTACATCAACAAAGGGCAAACAACTTTCACTGTTACAGACAGGTGGTATATTAATGGTCAGCACACACCTACATTAACAAAGGGCAAACAACTTTCACTGTTACAGACAGGTGGTATATTAATGGTCAGCACACACCTACATTAACAAAGGGCAAACAACTTTCACTGTTACAGACAGGTGGTATATTAATGGTCAGCACACACCTACAGACAGGTGGTATATTAATGGTCAGCACACACCTACATTAACAAAGGGCAAACAACTTTCACTGTTACAGACAGGTGGTATATTAATGGTCAGCACACACCTACATCAACAAAGGGCAAACAACTTTCACTGTTACAGACAGGTGGTATATTAATGGTCAGCACACACCTACAGACAGGTGGTATATTAATGGTCAGCACACACCTACAGACAGGTGGTATATTAATGGTCAGCACACACCTACATTAACAAAGGGCAAACAACTTTCACTGTTACAGACAGGTGGTATATTAATGGTCAGCACACACCTACAGACAGGTGGTATATTAATGGTCAGCACACACCTACATGGTATATTAAGGGCACACACACACTTATCACTGGTGGTATATTAATGGTCAGCACACACCTACACACAGGTGGTATATTAATGGTCAGCACACACCTACAGACACTGTTACAGACAGGTGGTATATTAATGGTCAGCACACACCTACATTAACCAAAGGGCAAACAACTTTCACTGTTACAGACAGGTGGTATATTAATGGTCAGCACACACCTACAGACAGGTGGTATATTAATGGTCAGCACACACCTACAGACAGGTGGTATATTAATGGTCAGCACACACCTACAGACAGGTGGTATATTAATGGTCAGCACACACCTACATTAACAAAGGGCAAACAACTTTCACTGTTACAGACAGGTGGTATATTAATGGTCAGCACACATTAACAAAGGGCAAACAACTTTCACTGTTACAGACAGGTGGTATATTAATGGTCAGCACACACCTACAGACAGGTGGTATATTAATGGTCAGCACACACTAACAAAGGGCAAACAACTTTCACACAGACAGGTGGTATATTAATGGTCAGCACACACCTACAACAGGTGGTATATTAATGGTCAGGCAAACAACTTTCGTTACAGACAGGTGGTATATTAATGGTCACACACACCTACAGACAGGTGGTATATTAATGGTCAGCACACACCTACATCAACAAAGGGCAAACAACTTTCACTGTTACAGACAGGTGGTATATTAATGGTCAGCACACACCTACATTAACAAAGGGCAAACAACTTTCACTGTTACAGACAGGTGGTATATTAATGGTCAGCACACACCTACATCAACAAAGGGCAAACAACTTTCACTGTTACAGACAGGTGGTATATTAATGGTCAGCACACACCTACAGACAGGTGGTATATTAATGGTCAGCACACACCTACATCAACAAAGGGCAAACAACTTTCACTGTTACAGACAGGTGGTATATTAATGGTCAGCACACACCTACAGACAGGTGGTATATTAATGGTCAGCACACACCTACATCAACAAAGGGCAAACAACTTTCACTGTTACAGACAGGTGGTATATTAATGGTCACACACACCTACACAGACAGGTGGTATATTAATGGTCAACACAAACAAAGGGCACACAACTTTCACTGTTACAGACAGGTGGTATATTAATGGTCAGCACACACCTACAGACAGGTGGTATATTAATGGTCAGCACACACCTACAGACAGGTGGTATATTAATGGTCAGCACACACCTACATCAACAAAGGGCAAACAACTTTCACTGTTACAGACAGGTGGTATATTAATGGTCAGCACACACCTACATCAACAAAGGGCAAACAACTTTCACTGTTACAGACAGGTGGTATATTAATGGTCAGCACACACCTACAGACAGGTGGTATATTAATGGTCAGCACACACCTACATTAACAAAGGGCAAACAACTTTCACTGTTACAGACAGGTGGTATATTAATGGTCAGCACACACCTACAGACAGGTGGTATATTAATGGTCAGCACACACCTACATCAACAAAGGGTTCACACCTACATCAACAAAGGGCAAACAACTTTCACTGTTACAGACAGGTGGTATATTAATGGTCAGCACACACCTACAGACAGGTGGTATATTAATGGTCAGCACACACCTACAGACAGGTGGTATATTAATGGTCAGCACACACCTACAGACAGGTGGTATATTAATGGTCAGCACACATTAACAAAGGCAAACAACTTTCACTGTTACAGACAGGTGGTATATTAATGGTCAGCACACACCTACAGACAGGTGGTATATTAATGGTCAGCACACACCTACAGACAGGTGGTATATTAATGGTCAGCACACACTAACAAAGGGCAATCAACTTTCACTGTTACAGACAGGTGGTATATTAATGGTCAGCACACATTAACAAAGGCAAACAACTTTCACTGTTACAGACAGGTGGTATATTAATGGTCAGCACACACCTACATTAACAAAGGGCAAACAACTTTCACTGTTACAGACAGGTGGTATATTAATGGTCAGCACACACCTACAGACAGGTGGTATATTAATGGTCAGCACACACTAACAAAGGGCAATCAACTTTCACTGTTACAGACAGGTGGTATATTAATGGTCAGCACACACCTACAGACAGGTGGTATATTAATGGTCAGCACACACTAACAAAGGGCAATCAACTTTCACTGTTACAGACAGGTGGTATATTAATGGTCAGCACACACCTACAGACAGGTGGTATATTAATGGTCAGCACACACCTACATCAAAGGAGGTATATTAATGGTCAGCACACACCTACAGACAGGTGGTATATTAATGGTCAGCACACACCTACATCAACAAAGGGCAAACAACTTTCACTGTTACAGACAGGTGGTATATTAATGGTCAGCACACACTAACAAAGGGCAATCAACTTTCACTGTTACAGACAGGTGGTATATTAATGGTCAGCACACACCTACAGACAGGTGGTATATTAATGGTCAGCACACACCTACAGACAGGTGGTATATTAATGGTCGGCACACACCTACAGACAGGTGGTATATTAATGGTCAGCACACACCTACATCAACAAAGGGCAAACAACTTTCACTGTTACAGACAGGTGGTATATTAATGGTCAGCACACACCTACAGACAGGTGGTATATTAATGGTCAGCACACACCTACATTAACAAAGGGCAAACAACTTTCACTGTTACAGACAGGTGGTATATTAATGGTCAGCACACACCTACATCAACAAAGGGCAAACAACTTTCACTGTTACAGACAGGTGGTATATTAATGGTCAGCACACACCTACAGACAGGTGGTATATTAATGGTCAGCACACACCTACATCTATATTAAAGGGCAAACAACTTTCACTGTTACAGACAGGTGGTATATTAATGGTCAGCACACACCTACAGACAGGTGGTATATTAATGGTCAGCACACACCTACAGACAGGTGGTATATTAATGGTCAGCACACACCTACATCAACAAAGGGCAAACAACTTTCACTGTTACAGACAGGTGGTATATTAATGGTCAGCACACACCTACAGACAGGTGGTATATTAATGGTCACACACACACAAAGGGCACACACACTTTCATTGTTACAGACAGGTGGTATATTAATGGTCAACACACACACACTTTCACTACAGACAGGTGGTATATTAATGGTCAGCACACACCTACATTAACAAACACCTACAGGGTGGTATATTACAACACACACTGTTACAGACAGGTGGTATATTAATGGTCACACACCTACAGACAGGTGGTATATTAATGCACACACCTACATCAACAAAGGGCACAGACAGGTGGTATATTAATGGTCAGCACACACACACACCTACAGACAGGTGGTATATTAATGGTCAGCACACACCTACATTAACAAAGGGCAAACAACTTTCACTGTTACAGACAGGTGGTATATTAATGGTCAGCACACACCTACATTAACAAAGGGCAAACAACTTTCACTGTTACAGACAGGTGGTATATTAATGGTCAGCACACACCTACATCAACAAAGGGCAAACAACTTTCACTGTTACAGACAGGTGGTATATTAATGGTCAGCACACACCTACATTAACAAAGGGCAAACAACTTTCACTGTTACAGACAGGTGGTATATTAATGGTCAGCACACACCTACAGACAGGTGGTATATTAATGGTCAGCACACACCTACATTAACAATGGGCAAACAACTTTCACTGTTACAGACAGGTGGTATATTAATGGTCAGCACACACCTACAGACAGGTGGTATATTAATGGTCAAAACCATTGTAACCTCATATTTAAGTTTCCAATTGATATTATAAGTTTAACATCTATCCGAATTTTCATACTCAGCCTTAGTGATTAAACACTTCCTAAAACATGTACACTGTATAAGTAAGCAAGAGGCCTGTGGACCTTAACAGTCATCTGACTATAAAGACTTATATATGAAAGAGGCCACTTAACCTAAAATAAATTGCTCCACTACACGACAGCTTACATAAATGACAGTTATTGGTTCATAAAGACATTTTCTGCAAACATGAAATTGTATTCTTCATACGTCTGTTATATCAACACTGAATCATACGTCCTGTGTTTGGTATATCAACACTGAATCATATGTCCTGTGTTTGGTATATCAACACTGAATCATACGTCCTGTGTTTGGTATATCAACACTGAATCATACGTCCTGTTTGGTATATCAACACTGAATCATACGTCCTGTTTGGTATATCAACACTGAATCATACGTCCTGTGTTTGGTATATCAACACTGAATCATACGTCCTGTGTTTGGTATATCAACACTGAATTATATGTCCTGTTTGTTGTATCAACACTGAATCATACGTCCTATGTTTCTTTATGTATTACCTTCACAAGAGAATCCATACTAACTTCACATTTAACACAGAAGTCAACAACACCCTGTAGCAGTCTACAAGGAAGCAAAGGATTTTCAACCAGGGTCTGAAACAAATAAACTCACTGCTGCACTTGATTTTTTATTATAAAGATAAATCAGAAAGGAAAAGATGTGTGGCACTGCGGTTTAAAATGATAGAAAAAGAGTCACAAGACTGAAACTTTAAACCACATGCAAATAGTTTTCCTAAATGTTTTGCTAGAATGAAATAACACAAAAATATTAGTAAATCATTGTTCAACAAATAAACAGGATCTGAAACAAAGGACAAAGTGAAACCTACATATAAAGTCTCAGAAGTCCATCCAGTACTTCTCAAAAAATAACAAAAACAAACTATTACTTGTACTGTCAGCCATCTTATTTTTTGGATCAGCATGAAAATAAGACACTTCACTACAAGAGACCAAGGGAACCCCACTGATCCATCACAAACTTCTCAATAAATAGTGATGACCAGAATTGTTTAAGGACAGAGAGACAGGCGTTAAGTGATTTGTACAGTTGACCATCAAACAAAAACATTAAAAAATTTCTGAAGGATTCATTTCAATTTCACAGACATCAGATCTTCAGAAGTAGTTGTTTTAAGTTTTTTATGTATATGTCTTTATACTTTCAAATAGGGAACCTGGCTCTAATATAAAATGTTCCTCTACATGTCGAAAGATATTATCTAGATTAACTAGTAAAATTCTGATACTGATTGCATTAGTCAGAACATTACTATAATTACCTGTAAGAGAAGTATATTAGCATGTTGCAGGGCGTCGAGGTTCAGATCTAGACAACAAGGACTTGGCACATACAGGGACAATGCCTTGATACATCTATCCAACTCAGCTCGGTATGGTCGTCCAACTGTCTCGCTGTACACCTTCAACATAAACCTACTGGTATCATGTAGTTCCGCAAGTTCATTTACATGCTTAAGTGCCTATCCTAGGAATTTGAACTAGAGACATTTTTGCAGTTCTGATCTTTGAACTTATAAAAATGTAAGAAGTGAAATGAAAATGTTGAATGTAATGTCACGGAAGCAGACAATTTGTCATGGGAGGAAATAAAAAAGAAACAAAATATCTTTGCCATGTCATTACAAGAAGGGAAAATGTGTCTTTGTAGAAACACATCTTGGATTTGAGTTTAAAGAATTTTTCTCCTGTTTCAATGCATCCTTGTAAATCTAAGGATTTTCCCAAATTAATTAAAATATTTACTCTCTGACAGTAGTTCGCCCAATTAAAGGCATTGTGTATAGATTTGTCATTCCAGCGAGTGATAGAGTCCCCTCCTGCTTGATGCACAATGTCAGCAAATGTATACACATTCTTCATCAGTGTGTCCACAGACATGTCTCTTCTTTGATGCAGTCAGCAAGCTGGGTCATACTCGTGTCAACCACTTTATGATTAGCATATCGGACTTTGCCTTCAAACAGCAACTGAAGCAAAATTTTCAAAAAATATATTATAATACAATCACTAACAAGGGGTCAGCCTCACTCATGGCCATCCGTGCTGCAGCTTATAAGGATAATTGTCGGTCAAGTAAATGCGAGGTCTAAAACTAACTCAACCTGACTGCGTTGGCGAATTTTTTCGCGTCGGTGTGACCGATACAATATTGCCAAACATGATATAACACAATTTCAAATGTCATGGACCTGTGTCTTTTATTCATTGATGGTTGTAATAGTGGAATAGTCCACCTCATGTAGGTCTCCATGTTGTTACAATTCCCGTGACTTACCTTTAAAACAAGGTTACTGTAATCATCTCATCTTAGCGCGTTAATTTTTGAACTGCGTTATCTCCCTTTACAACGGTGCGTTCGGGTAAGAATCATCACTCAAAACAGAGACATTTGTATACATGCATTAAGTTTCCTTGTAGGCATAAACTTTAATTTCCTCGAAGAATCTTTTCAAGAATTTATAACATGAGTAGAGAATCATATACAGAGGTAAGCGTTATCCGGCCCTCATTTGCAGAGAAATAAACTTGACATTTGTCGCAGAGTTTGAAAGTAACCCGGTCCGGAATCCATACTATCACATTAATTTCAAACTTTCCACTAAACTCTGTTGGAATACTTTGAAATTCTGTCACTAAGAAAGAAATTATATTGAATTAACGATTTTCTTATATTGGCTATTTCGATTCAAAAGAAAATATAAATTTGAGTCTAAATTTGAATGTGATAGTTTGCAAAATTGAATTATCAAAGTGTTTAGGTAACTCAGAAGTCTTGCTCGTCTATAAAATTTCTGACAAGCTATTATAGCTAGGATGTCTTTGTTACTTTAACCTATATTGTAGATACACGTTTTCGTATTATATATGTCGTGGCTTTCATTTTTTTTTAACTTTAAAAAATAAGGCTAGTAAGAGACCTTAATGGCGGATATGTATTCACATAAGTTTGTGACATGTTCGCGTAACTGCACTTACTATGCCCAATTTTAGCATAAATCTCTCCCTAGTGACGCTGATATGCTTCCGCATTGCGTAAAAACGGTGTGGTCGTGGGGTTATTTTCTTAATCTTCAATGTTTCGGTGTGTTCCCGCAAAGCTGCTCTCATATCAGCACTTTGTGCCGGGTTCTCGGTCGATGTGGTGTCCGTTTGTGCAATATTGATTTAATCAAATATACTTATAGATAGTAGGTCATGTGTGTTTAGAGTGAAACAGTACTTCAGATAATTTTACCTCTAACACACAGCGTGTAGGTCACCAATACACGATACAGGTAAGAATATTTTACGATTAAAATGCCGATAATTTCTTTACCAGCACAGACGTTATTCTAATGTTAATCGTTCTATCTCAGCTACCGACATCGTGATAACATTTGATTTTCAATACACGCTTTTAATCAGCTAATTCTAGTATTGAATGTCACATGCATAGCGACGATTACAGACTAGATCTTGGGTAATAACGACGAATTCAGCCGATGTAGACGTCACAATCACTGCCGCGTGAAGTTGCATCCAGTGTTAGAGACATGCTTGAAATGTCACTCGATATTCAGTGTGGATTATAAAACGTCACATATCAAGCAAATGAGTGGTTGGGAATTTCATAATTAATGTTTGTTTTGTCTTTTCGTGTACATTTCCCAGCTTTAATCGTAATATATTGCCAGTGGCATACACAATAGTTATATGCTTTCAGGTCCTTCCAAGATTTATATTTAGACTTAAGATGTCAATCGATAGCAAATGCTATTCGAATATTCGTTTCCGTGTAAATTCCATATAGCACCCAACTTTCACTTTATAATGGCACACTAAATCTATATAGTGTACTGTATCGGTAATGTCTTACCAACATGGAACAGGACGGAACGACTCGGTGTTTTCAATATAATGAACGTAACACATAGCTAGTTATAATGAAAATGTTAGTTGTGAGAAATGAGATAAATTTCTAGCCTTAAGACCTTGGTAAACAAAGATGCGAAAATCGTATAAAAATGTCACGGGAAATGGTAGGACGTGAAAACACAAATGTGTCCTCATATATTTCAAAACTCGGGAAAATAGTCGTTATGGAAATAATTACAGCATTTTACAGCATATTTTTTTCACGATTCGTGTATTTACGAAAAAACCACTAAATCCACATCCGGTACAATGGTGGTCTATGCTGGTTAATGCTGCAATTTTGTGTGCACTGAAATACTGCAGACGTCTTGTGGAGACGGTACCAACAGTTTGGACTCCCAGAGACCGGCCTCGGTCAGGACGTCCACGCGTAACATCTAATCGCCAGGGTACGTTCATCTCCGTTAACGTCTAAAAAACTGATTCTTTGACGGATAGAAGTATTCATGATATCCAGTCATAACGTCTTTTTCTCCAGCAACGTCATCGTGTAGTACATTTAGCCTGGTGTCACAATCACTTAACGCGGCAGGATTGGGCATGTGAACTTTTTACGGCTTTTGTCGTCTTTGGTGGGTTTTCTTTTTTTTCGTTTTCTCGCTTTGGTGGGTTTTCGCGTTATTTGATTGGTGATCGGAAAGCTTGTATACTGCTTGCTCGACTAAGAAATAATTCTAGTACTTTAAACAATGACGTTTTCAGACCCATTTTAATAGCTTACCGTCACTGCCACTGAAAACACTTACCACTACTTGCAATAATTATGCGGATCAGAGAGTATTTTTTTACCGAGAACTAAATGATTTTATCCCACTAAACCTGCAGATGTAAAAATATGTCAAATCACTCAGCAATATATACTTAACTCTAACAGATTTTGAACTACCTCTTTCCTTATCTCTCTCACCCTCTCTCTGAAATAAAATGTTCATGTCTCTCCTCACTCCGGCCAACTTGCGGTGAGAATACCAAGAAGGAACGGGATGACAGAAGAGAGTGGGATAAAGCACGGGATGTAATGAAATATAGAATAGCTCGCAGGCATTGAAAAGTGTACAATTGTAACTAATACAAGTGTTGTCCGCGTGCTTACATTCGGACCAACAAGAGTGTTTGATATAAGCTTAAAGCTAGTTTCGCTATTGTTGTAAAATCAAAAGTTTCTAAGTGATAGTAGATAATACACATAGCTTTAGATTCCACGGGAAAATTTTTGACAGGTAAAAGTTCGTATTTGCACGAGGGATCTTAACAGAAACCAAGTGACTCCTATATGAGGATTCTGTTCATCAGAACACATTTAAACGGTGAATGCCTGCCTAATATATATCGATACCTCAAAGGTAAACACACAGTGAAAACTCCCCCTTGTAAAGTATTCTACATTATAATCCGTTGATTATGAACAACTCAACGATACGGGAATTCCATGTTGCTAATGCCTGATCTTATCCTTGATGTGACAGTAACAAGTAGTTCGGTTTAAAAACATATTGGTACTCTCTATTCTTACTAAGATACATATATAAAGATGTATATTACGTGAAATAATCAGACTAAAAAGATAGTAATTAAATTACACCCTGAATACTAGGAAACATTTGACAAGTCGTACTTTTCAGTCTTTGCACAAATCAAATAAACAAGAACCGTTGTTTAAAGTCTGAAATCTTTTAAAGATATATATTCGAGCAAATACGACACTGGATGAATATCGACATTTTTAGGCGGGGCGAAACTAGCACTGGATGAATATCATCATTTTTAGGTGGGGCGAAACTAACACTGGGTGAATATCGACATTTTTAGGCGGGGCGAAACTAGCACTGGATGAATATCATCATTTTTAGGTGGGGCGAAACTAACACTGGGTGAATATCGACATTTTTAGGCGGGGCGAAACTAACACTGGATGAATATCGACATTTTTACGTGTGGTGAAACTAACACTGGGTGAATATCGACATTTTTAGGCGGGGCGAAACTAGCACTGGGTGAATATCATCATTTTTAGGTGGGGCGAAACTAACACTGGATGAATATCGACATTTTTAGGCGGGGCGAAACTAGCACTGGGTGAATATCATCATTTTTAGGTGGGGCGAAACTAACACTGGGTGAATATCGACATTTTTAGGTGGGGCGAAACTAACATTGGGTGAATATCGACATTTTTAGGTGGGGCGAAACTAGCACTGGGTGAATATCGACATTTTTAGGCGGGGCGAAACTAACACTGGATGAATATCGACATTTTTAGGTGTGGTGAAACTAACACTGGGTGAATATCGACATTTTTAGGTGGGGCGAAACTAACACTGGATGAATATCGACATTTTTAGGTGGGGCGAAACTAACATTGGGTGAATATCATCATTTTTAGGTGGGGCGAAACTAACACTGGGTGAATATCATCATTTTTAGGTGGGGCGAAACTAACATTGGGTGAATATCGATATTTTTAGGCGGAGCGAAACTAGCACTGGGTGAATATCATCATTTTTAGGCGGGGCGAAACTAGCACTGGGTGAATATCATCATTTTTAGGTGGGGCGAAACTAACATTGGGTGAATATCGATATTTTTAGGCGGAGCGAAACTAGCACTGGGTGAATATCATCATTTTTAGGTGGGGCGAAACTAACACTGGATAAATATCGATATTTTTAGGCGGGGCGAAACTAGCACTGGGTGAATATCATCATTTTTAGGTGGGGCGAAACTAACATTGGGTGAATATCGATATTTTTAGGCGGAGCGAAACTAGCACTGGGTGAATATCATCATTTTTAGGTGGGGCGAAACTAACACTGGATAAATATCGATATTTTTAGGCGGGGCGAAACTAGCACTGGGTGAATATCATTTTTAGGTGGGGCGAAACTAACATTGGGTGAATATCGATATTTTTAGGCGGGGCGAAACTAGCACTGGGTGAATATCATCATTTTTAGGTGGGGCGAAACTAACATTGGGTGAATATCGATATTTTTAGGCGGGGCGAAACTAGCACTGGGTGAATATCATCATTTTTAGGCGGGGCGAAACTAACATTGGGTTAATATCATCATTTTTAGGTGTGGTGAAACTAACACTGGATGAATATCGACATTTTTAGGCGGGGCGAAACTAACACTGGGTGAATATCATCATTTTTAGGTGGGGCGAAACTAACATTGGGTGAATATCGATATTTTTAGGCGGGGCGAAACTAGCACTGGGTGAATATCATCATTTTTAGGTGGGGCGAAACTAACATTGGGTGAATATCGATATTTTTAGGCGGGGCGAAACTAACACTGGGTGAATATCATCATTTTAAAGGTGGGGCGAAACTAACATTGGGTGAATATCGACATTTTTAGGTGGGGCGAAACTAACACTGGATGAATATCGACATTTTTAGGCGGGGCGAAACTAGCACTGGGTGAATATCATCATTTTTAGGTGGGGCGAAACTAACATTGGGTGAATATCGACATTTTTAGGTGTGGTGAAACTAACACTGGGTGAATATCGACATTTTTAGGTGGGGCGAAACTAACACTGGGTAAATATCGACAGTTTTTAGGCGATTCGAGATGGAGCGGAATTCACACCGGATAAAAATTGACAGATTTTAAGCAAGAGAGAAATTATCACTGTCGCTATTCATCAACAGTTTAGGGGTAGGCCGAAAGTAACCATGGATGTATGCTGATTATATGAGGCGAGGAGGGCACCAACACTGTGTGAATATCAACAGCGAGGGCGAAACTAACACTGTGTGAATATCAACAGCGAGGGCGAAACTAACACTGTGTGAATATCAACAGCGAGGGCGAAACTAACACTGTGTGAATATCAACAGCGAGGGCGAAACTAACACTGTGTGAATATCAACAGCGAGGGAGAAACTAACACTGTGTGAATATCAACAGCGAGGGCGAAACTAAAACTGGGTGAATATCAACAGCGAGGGCGAAACTAACACTGTGTGAATATCAACAGCGAGGGCGAAACTAACACTGGGTGAATATCAACAGCGAGGGCGAAACTAACACTGTGTGAATATCAACAGCGAGGGCGAAACTAACACTGTGTGAATATCAACAGCGAGGGCGAAACTAACAGTGTGAATATCAACAGCGAGGGCGAAACTAAAACTGGGTGAATATCAACAGCGAGGGCGAAACTAACACTGTGTGAATATCAACAGCGAGGGCGAAACTAACACTGTGTGAATATCAACAGCGAGGGCGAAACTAACACTGTGTGAATATCAACAGCGAGGGCGAAACTAAAACTGGGTGAATATCAACAGCGAGGGCGAAACTAACACTGTGTGAATATCAACAGCGAGGGCGAAACTAAAACTGTGAATATCAACAGCGAGGGCGAAACTAACAGTGGGTGAATATCGACAATTGATGGCGAAGGCGAAACTAACACTTTGTAAATATCCACAGGTTAAGGCGTGGGCGAAACTAACATCGAGTAAATATCGACTGTTTCAGAAGTTGACGAAACTAACCTCGGATGAATATCGACAGTTTCAGGTGAGTGCGAAACTAACAATTGGTGAAAATGTACAGTTATAGGAAAGGGCAAAATTTACACTTGGTGAATTTCGACAGTTTGGGCGAGGATGGAACTGACAATGGAAGAATATCGACAGTTTTCAGGTGATGGTGAAACAAACATTTGGTGAATATCGACAGTTTTAGACGAGGACGAAAAATCCTGAGCGAACGTTTCCCCATGTACAGCATTACAATTTACTTAAGTGGATCATACAATGTGCGTGTGGCAAAAACGTGCAAGAATTTTAGGTTATAAAAACGTTTTGATGTGCCGAACACTTTTTTAACATATACTTATCATTGGTCATGGATAAAACACAAGATTGATCAAATTAAAAACTGACGAAAAATCATGACTTGGAGAATTATTATTATAATCATTATTACATTCTTAACGGCTAATCAACACATGAAAAGTCATTAGGACCATCAAACGGTAAAACACACAGCGATCCAAAAAGAAATAACATTAAACAAACCAAAAGGTAAAAGACAAATGTTTAAAATCTTAAATGGGTATGTGACTTGGAGAAGTCATAAAAATCTACCAATAGTTTATAAAAATGGTAAAAAAAGAGAATGATACAGGTAACTATTTGCCAGGAAATTTTCAAATGTAGCTTGAATAAGATTACAAAGTATACACAAGCAACGCTATAAAAATACAAACTCACGTTTTATAACTATACAAACCAAGCAATCCAAATAAAAACCGATGTGTTTTAGTTCCCGGTTTTCTTCGTTGTAGGATATTATTATTTGACCTATAATACATAAATTGTTTGTTATGATTAAGAAAAACAAACATGCTTTATAGGAAACAATAGTATATTATGCACATTAACATATACACTGATGTTACTTATTTACAGAAGCAAAAATTGCGCAAAAACTTGTCGGAGATACATTGGGACTGTTTTCCGTATTTGTTGGTCCTTGTGATATCACCTATAATCTTTATTTCACTGTCACTTTCAACATGTGCTGTCACCTCGAAAAGCGCATCACTGGGAGAAGTTTCAAATAATATTGTATATTTATTTTCATCTTTGACCCGTGTATTTAAAAAATCTCTTATCGTGAATTTTTTTGTTTGATAACGCTCGAAACTTGACACTACCAATTGAGCATCTTTTATTTGGGACAAAGATAATGTCGCACAAACACTTTTGTGTTTATAAAGCATGCGGTTGATTTTATCTATAGAGAAATTCACTATTTTTTGTACGTTTGGTGATTTTATATCTGTAGGCTTGCTTATAAAACATGGGCAAAATTGCTCACTTATGCTAGCGTTTGCGCATGTCCGCTCCTTCGGAATCTTCCGAAAGAGACTTAAACCTCTAGGATGTTTGTAACGTAAGAGTGATTCCAGGTGCTGGTCGAAATTTTGGTGTAATATGTCACCGATCATTGCGTTCACGTCAAAAGCCGTTGTAAGAACATTTGTGTTTTCTTTCATTGTTTTAACAATATCAGGATGTTGTTGTTTTAACCTTTCGGGTAGAACGATGGTAAGGAGAGGCATTCTAGCTTCTATTCTTCCAACCGCAGTGTTTCTAAGGTCGTCTATTCTACTTCCGTGATCACTCAAAAACACCAACACCGTGTTATTGAGATGACCTTCAAATTTCATCCATTTGAGAAAATCTGTGAAATCTTGATCAGCAATTTCAAGGTAATATGGATAATCATGACTCAGTTCACTCATCCATGAAAAGCTAAATTTCAATTTGGTCTTGTAAGCGTTCAAAAATCTCTTCAAGTACTCTAGGAAAATAACATGTTTGGTCCGATGTTTGTAACACAATGATGACGGCAGAATTTTGATATGTTTGTTTTCCAAGTAAAGATTCACTTGTTCCAAAGAAGTAGAAACTGGTGCTAACTTTTTCATCGTGAGATACATTGGGCGTAAATAATGGTCAGTCGGCTGCACTTTGAAACCGTTTGCTAAATAATTGAATGTTGAAAAGTAAGGCCAGTCCTCCGCATACATTGTGACGTAGCCTGCATGTGAATAGTTATACTGTATAAGCGGGTAGTCGTCGAAATAATAGTGCTCCCATGCTGGACCTAGATCAGTTTTATCCGCTCGCTTGCCTGTTAACAATGGAACAACATTCGGAAAAGTGTTAGCGCCTACTTTGGTATATCCTTTGAAAGTGATGCCTCCTAAATCATCTTGAAGATAATTCATTGTTTTTGGAATTTTTCTCAAGGCACCGGTTCTGGATAATGAATCGATTCCAAACAAAAGTACATTATATTGATCCGCAAATGCAGTTTTTATTTGCTTTCGTTCCAATACAGTTTTAGAATCTACACTTGTAAGAACAGCTTCATATATCAATTTGCCTTTTTTATCTAAACAATTAGCGACTACGAAATCCCACTCGATATATTCCGGTTCGTTAAACTGTATTTTAGGTTTCAAGATGATGTCATCGTCTCCGCCAGTACGTTCCACTGGAATATAAGCGCAGTCAACATCCGATTTTGAAAGTTTATATAAAGTTAGAGATGTATGATTAAACTGGATATAGCCTTCCATATCTATAAACAATAATGGCATGCTATCACTACACGATGGTGGTCTGGGATGTTGGTCTAATTTCATTACCTCTTTGTCAAAGGGGTCAATTTCCGGTAGAACGCACTGCGCATGCACATCGCTATGACGCAAATCTAATGTCATTGGTGTGTTATATTTGTGGTTGATAATGAACAGTAAAAATAAAACACACGCGAAAAAGATCATTCTCTTTTGTTTGACATTTGGCGACCACATTTTGTCACTGACGATTGTTTAGCGACCAAAAGCTTTTAATCCGAAGCCGATAATATTTATTTATAGGCGAAGTTCTATTGACGTCACATAGGTATACAAGTAGAATATTAAGTATACACTTTCATGTACATTCCTTATGATAAACCCGTGCTTGTTCTGTCAGCGTTTATTTTAAAGGTGCGTATTACCTTGTACGTGCATAACTCAATACACGCTCCTTTTACAACTCAGAATATACAAAAATGAATTATTCACTTTCCGTGGTGATAATTCGAGGAACTTTCCTTCAATGAGTATTGTTATGTTGATAGGTCTGTATGCTCTCCTCCAAATTCCTCACAGAGAATCCCAGTCATCCGAACACCTCATCACCTGAAACATTGTTACAACTCTTTAACACCTGTATACAAATTTTATACACTCGGTCCTATTTTCCGTGTACTTTTTCAGGAGTCCCCATGTAATTCATTCTTTTGTTCATAAATATATATATCTTTTTTTCAACCTGGTTTTATTTTTTTATTATCATTGTTTTTTAACTGCTTTGGTTTCTTTGTTTTTGTTTTGTTCTTTTTTACATATAACCATATGGTATCAGTGTAATACTAGTCAAAAATACCAGACAGAAAACTTCTAACATAACGCTACCCAAATTTATACCTTTTACGGAAAAAATTGTCCGTCAACCCTTGCGAATGCTACATGCAGAAATTCACACTGCATATGTTAAAATAACAACATCTTAAGTATTTATTCAATACTGATTTTATTGCACAAAGCATCTAAGTTTCTCTGCAAGGCACTTTCGAAATGGGCAAAAATGTCATAAATATTCCTATCACAAATAATACAGTCGTGCGACGGGTATTTTTCCATTCCATCTGGGCATTTTTAAACATGACCAACATAATTCACTAAAAAATCCCAAACATTCACTGGTTGAACGTTTAAATGTGTAGATGTATGCAGGTACCTTCTTCTAGGCAAGACGCTGACCAGAATAAAGATACTGTGTTTTAGCGTGTAACGCATATCAGATTCTCTGACAGCTTAGACTATTCGCCAGTATATGTGGAATACACGTAAATGTCGAAATATTGTGGGAATATGTCATGAACATTACATAACATAATCACGATTGGTTGATAAACTAGACTTAACCAAGCAAGACTTGTCAATACGTCAGACAATGATAAAACTGGGTCATGTAACAAACCCGAATTACAGCTGTCAAGTATAAACAGTCTACAGTTGGTAAATAAATTCAGATACAACTTGAACGTGCCCGGAAGCACATGGTCCGTTCACCTAACCGCTACGAGCATAAATACGATGTGGAGTAACTTATTTTCTAAGAAAATACGACAAATATACATACACTGGGATCTTATCGGAACATTCGTACAGAATTTACCTTGTTATGAGAGTTGCCGACAGTTGCTTTTATTTTTTTCCAATGACGACGGACGACTGGCAAGAACTCTTCTGTGCGTGAAAACAGATATGGGCGGCACGTGCGTTGCCGCGATACAAGTACAAATTAAGATTGTCTCCCTTCATTCAGCTTTCCCATATTTGAGCTTAAGCCCGTGATTAGAATCCTGCATGAACTATCATGGTACTGAAATGGTACTGAAATATGAAACGAATCTTATTTCCAAATCTGGTAACAAGTCAACTCATGGTTGCTATATGCATTACAAAATAACCAAATGAAGTGGCTGGAACTAATCAGTAATGGTAACACAGGTGAACCGGTATCGGGTACCAATAGAACCAGTATTGGTTCTATAAACATAAATTGAAACTCTTTGTAGTAACAATGGTGTTTAACCCAATGACCAAAAATACTCAATTTATTGCATTGTGGAAACTAATTTACAAAGTAAATTACATTTTTAAATATTAATAATTTTGGAAACCGGTATCGGTTACTGACAGCACCGGTGTTAGATACCAGCTGAACCGGTATCGGTAACCGGAAAACTAAAGGGAACAAAGTTACAATTTTATATGGTTCTAAACCCAATAACTTGCACCATAGTGGTGATAATCTGTTTCAGAAATAAATTCAGCTGGAGTTTCCAAGAAAACAGCAACCATGGTCTGATTTTTACCATGATTTGAAATCTTATAGAAGAGAGATTCTATGTTGCAATTGTAGCAGACAATGAAAGTCTTCAATAACTAATTAATAATTGAAACTTTATTAGGTTACTGGAAAACCATTGCTGGATTCATCATTGTTATAATATATTTGGAATGATAAATAATTTTGAAAGAAATATATGAAGCCTGGTTTTGCTTTTCGTCAAAACGCTTAGTTTGGGGCGAACCTTATGTCTTTTTCACAACCATCATTGATATTAAAAAATCAAGTGAACTTTAGAACACACACTTAGGAATAGAAATACGTTACATGAGCTATAGGCATACCGCGGCGTCCGTCGTCTGTCTACTTTCACAACACATTGCAACTATTCTTGAACGACAGAGTGGATTTTAATCAAATTTGGCATGAAGCATCCATAAAGAAAGGGGAAGCAATTTTGAGTAAATGGTGGATCTGTCCTATCCTCGGGTCTCTGCTCCCTGGGGCCCAATAGGGAAAAATCTTCTCTTTTTTTCCAATTCTATCTTGCTCCCCAGGAGAAATCTAACCCCTAAGTAGATTAAGTTCATTTTCATATCATTGCTGTACACCATCAACAATTCATTTGGATCTTTGGTTTTTTGAAAAAGTTATTATCTCCACTGAATACATATAGCATTGCTGAGCATCAGGAGATAAACGCAATCATAACTTATAATTTGTCCCAGGGCCTGGTCCCACCCCAGGACAGATTATATCTTTGAAATCATTTAGATTATCATCTTATAACTTGAAAGCATTGCTGGACATGAAGAGATTAACAATTGATCTCTGTCCCCGCCCCTAGGGAATTTGAAGCAGAATCTGTTGGGCGAGGCTCATCAGGGGAAATGTTTCCCTTCTAAAGAAATGTAGTTTTGCATTATTTGCTTAAATAGGTGAGCGATACAAATGCTCTGGGCCTCTTGTTTTTATTGGCAGCAGAGATGAAGTCATTTTAAGAAAACAAAAGAAAATATTGTTTTGTTGTATATAAAGAACATGACTCATAAGTCCTGAAGAGCTATTAGGTATTAAAACATTTCCATGTAGTTATTAACTACAGTGAAATCATGTGCTATTAATCATCAGATAAAAATAGGCCGACAAATAAAAGCTTTGCAGGATTAAGATTAAAGGTTGCTTCATATTCTGTTGATTTTGGATTATTGTTTATTTCCATGTGAAACATTTTTTTTTTGAATTTTTGAAATGGATACTTCAATGGAATAATGTACATACGTGTATATTTAAGCGGTACCTATATATAGCTTGATGTCAGCTTAACAAAATTTAGTGAATGTTTCAAGTTTTGATACACAATGGTAGGCGCCCATGAACTTTGACATTGACTAGTAACAGAAAACTCAAAACAAACATATTTACATTATTCATATTCTATCATATTTCTATTTTATTTCAAATTGAATGTGCAATTCGGTCATTTGAATCCAAACAGCAGTTTGCAGAAAACAAGTCTATTAAACGACAAACTAAAAAAAAAAAATAAAAAATAAAAACTTTAAATGAAAATGCGCTGAACCATATGATTGCTGATTTTCATCTTAAAGTAAATCCAGTCACATTGTAACCAGCTGAGGATGAGCTCCATACTTCGATACACGTGTCACATTCATATTGTAGCCAGCTGAGGATGAGCTCCATACTTAGATACACGTGTCAAAGTCACATTGTAACAAGCTGAGGATGAGCTCCATACTTAGATACACGTGTCACAGTCACATTGTAGCCACCTGAGGATGAGCTCCATACTTAGATACATGTGTCACAGTCACATTGTAACCAGCTGAGGATGAGCTCCATACTTAGATACACGTGTCCACATTGCACAGTGTAACCAGCTGAGGATGAGCTCCTTACATAGATACACGTGTCACAGTCACAGTGTAACCAGCTGAGGATGAGCTCCATACTTAGATACACATGTCACAGTCACAGTGTAACCAGCTGAGGATGATCTCCATACTTAAATACACGTGTCACAGTCACATTGTAACCAGCTGAGGATGAGCCCCATACTTAGATACACGTGTCCACAGTGCACAGTGTAACCAGCTGAGGATGAGCTCCTTACATAGATACACGTGTCACAGTCACAGTGTAACCAGCTGAGGATGAGCTCCATACTTAGATACACGTGTCACAGTGTAACCAGCTGAAGATGAGCTGCATACTTAGATACACGTATTACAGTCAGGAGACATCTCTACTCTGAAGATGGCCAAAGTAAAAATAAATTCTCGAAGGAGGTAGAATTAGTGCCATTGATAAAAGCCAGCCATCCAATAAATTCTTGAATGTTTTGAAATGCCATCCAAGATGGATAAAGAGAAATTCATAAACACTTGTTTGTATGTCCAATGAAACAAATCTGAAAGAAACAATGCGATTTCTTGGTAAGACAATGTAGTTATTAACTTTCATCTTTAAATCATATTGATACATGTATTAGTAATTTAAAAACTTTTTCAATGTAAGTCATTCTTTCATATTACAGATTATAGCCATACCAGATGTTGACGCTAACTGATTATCTCCCTTTTATCGTCTTCTCTCCACTTCGTGCCCGAAAAGAAAACTCAAACCCGCAAATACTCATTTGCCGTACTAGCCCGTCACGAATTAGTGCAGTAGGCGTTTAATAATACATGGTGTAGAAAATACATTGTACGTACGAATCTCACTCCGACAGACGTGACGCAAACGTCCCTGACGCACACACTCCTCACCCACGAGAGCGTCCTAGACACTCCATACTCACCTCCCATCACAGAATGTATCGCGCGCCCAGGAAAAACCGGAGATAATCCCCGGAAACCTGTGTCCAACGGGGCTGGAATCGATTACC